GAGACTTGAGACTAGGTATCTCGGCGACACGTCTCTCATAGCTTTCGATTGTGGCGACCAGGGCTACGCCGTGTCGTGCGACCTTTGACTTCAAAGCAGCGGACGTCTCTTCTACGGCTTGTGATTGCGAAGACACAGAGGCAGACTCTTCTGCGGTCTGTGATTGCGAGGACGTAGCGGCAGCCTCCTCTTTAGCCTTCAATTCTGCAAGCTTAGGTGTGGCCTCGTCAGCCCAAACCTTGGCGGCAGCTTCAAACATGTTAAGGTTGTTCTGAAGCTCTGCGATCTGCTTTTCAAGTTGAGCTTTCTCGCCGGCGAGTTTGCGTGCATTACTGTCGTCGTCGATCGAAGAATCCCACATCTCCTTCTCTTGGTCAGCAGAAGGAGCTGCAATCTTGATAGCTGCATTTGCCTCAAGCCTTTCTTCCAGGGATTGCGGACATCTGCCGTGTCTTGTCTTGAGATCCTCGAGTTCTTCATTGAGCTTTCTGATACGGTCATCCTTTTCTGAGGGCTTGGCTGGAGAATCACCAGTGGAAGTGGGTGCTGTGGAGGTACTGCTGGGCGACGAAGGGTCGTGCTCGGACTTGAGCTCTTGAATCTCCTTGTGGGCGTCGGCAAGGTCGTTCTTAGCCTTTCGAAGCTTATCGTTGGCCTCAGCAAGGTCACGTCTAGCCTCGTCGGTCTCGTAGTTACAGCCGCGAACTTGGTTCTTACGGATTCTGTACTTCTCCTCGAGCTCTTTACTTTGGCGTCTTGCATCTGTGAGTTGCTTCGAGAGGAATGCACAGTCGTCGCAGTAGGGTGGGGGCTGTGCTTTGGCAGCTGCTGAAGAGATTGTAACAGAAGCAGGCTGCATCTGAGTCAGTTGACTCTCCAATGCATCAACTTGCTGTCTGAGCTCTCCAATACGGCCGTCGGCTTTCTGTTCCGCCATATGGACAGTATTCTCTTTGTCTTCTCTGGCCTGTCTCTTCGTATCTCTGAGCTTCTCATTCAGCTCCGTGATCTTNTTCCTCATTACAGGACAGTAAGGACATGCTGGAGAGTCAGGCAACTGAGCTCTTTGAATCTCTTGATCTCTGCTGTATTGATCATTCTCCTTTCTGAGTCTAAGGAGTTCCTGCCAGTAGTCGTGTGGCGCGGATGGAAGATCGACGCCGCCATCAGAATCGGAAGATGACTCGTTTCCAGCCATCTTCTTACTGAATGCGGCAGCAAGTTCTTGCTTCTGCTTCTCGAGATCTCTTATTGTCGCCTCGAGATCACGATGAGCAAGGATGCCAAACATTTCTTGCTCAGTGGAGCCGCTGTTAGCAGACCCAGATGAAATGGACCCTTCGAGCTCAGTGACTCTGTCTCTTGCCAGCTCAAGATCAGTCTCAGTCTTGATCAATTTTTCGTCAAGTTTGTCCATTGCCTCAATAAGTTCGGTAAGACGAGCGACGAACTCTTGACGAGAGACAGGCTTGTCTGCAAAGACAAAAGTGGCGAACACGTCGAAGTTACCATAGCACAAGCCTTGCTCGATCAAGATACGCAGAATCTCCTGTTCAGTGTCATTGTCGAGGTAAAGACCTAGAGAACGAATCTCCCCAAAGATCTTGCGGAGTCCCATCTGTCCAGCAAGCCAAGAGACAACTTGGTCTCTCGTCAGCAGCCCAGAAAGGGGAAGCTCTTCGACGAGTCCGTTAACTTCGAATTGGAGGTCACGAACAGGACGGCCATGTGTAGCCATATCTGCGGGTTGAGCAGGCTCTTCAATCGGCTTTCTGTTATCATTGACCATGGTTACGATTAGCTGAGCGATCATTTCTCTGGTGGCGACTGGCCATGGTTCTTTGACGGATGCGTAGTGAGCGAAAGACCAGACACGTTGTTCGTTGGCAGAAGTATACAGTTCGCGATATCTGGCAGTGTCCTCTCTAGCCTGAGAAAGAAGTTTCTCAAGAGCAGAAACCTTGCCTGAGAGCGAGGAGTTCGAGTCTCTTAGTGTTTCGAGTGTCTTGGGTGTCTTCGGTGATGCTTGGACGCTATCGACCCTAGACTCAGAAGATTGTTCAGCAAGNCTGTACTTTGAAAGGCTGTGCAGCATCGAGTTTTTCCTCTACTGATTGAGCGTGGGCGTTCTGGCAGTTTTCAAGTTGGACTTTGAGTTCGGCATTCTCCACCTCAGTCTGGTCTTTAGCATCCTGCAAGTTCTGGACGCGGACCTTCAACTGGGTGTTTTCCTTTTCNNGAGGGCTGTGTACGCTTTGTTAAGCTTATCGATGGCTTGCTTCTGTTCGTGCATCTTCAGCTCCGTCTTGTCCTCCTGTTTCTCGAAGAGGATTAACTGGTTGTGCAGCTGCGACAACTTGTTACGAAGGTCCTGATTATCGTTTGTGAGGTGCTCATTTTCATCGCGAAGCTCTTGCACGTTATCGAGTGTGGAACGAAGTTTGTCCATGTCCTGAGAAAGGGTCTCACGTATAGTGTTGAGCTTCTGAGCGTGCTTCTCGACTTTGTCGAGAGACTCAATCGCTTCGGGGGATAGCTTGTCGGGCGACGTAAGAATGGCTTCACGAGTCTCATCTTGAGTTCGAGAAGCACGCAACTCTTCGATTATCGCTTCGGCGTTGGTAACCTCTGCCTCAAGCTCTGCGCATCTCTGCTCGTTGGCAATCGTTTTACGGTCAAATTCAGATTTGATCCTCTCAACCTCGGCCCTCGCGAATTGTCTCTCTTGTTGCAAGGTAATCACTCCGTCGAAACCGGCCTTCAAGTCGTTCTTGTGCCACGTCTCGGTGATGGAAAGAATTTTGTTGTCTTGATTGCGTATGAACTCCCAAAGCGTGACGTGGTCCCATCTGCTTAAGTCGTAGTCATTGTTGGCTCCATTTCTCCGCAAGTCCTCCTGTATGAGCCTATACCTGCTGTCTTTCAGAGACTCTTTAGCATCTTTGGCAGAAGCAGATCTGCGGTGACTAAGGGTACCGATCTCTGCGGGAGCTCTAGAGCCTGGGATACTGCCTTGCCGGCTGGCGGGGTTATTCTGTTCGACTTCAACCTCCGCATCAGCTGAAGACAGCCTGAGTTGTGGTGATCCAGGCCGTTCAGGAACAGGAGGTGGTGTATGCTTGGGTCCATTTTTGCGGGCCTCGGCAAGTCTAAGAATTTCCTGTTCTTGAAAGGCCTGCTCAAGAGCGTCGTGAATGTCTTGGGAAAGCGCCACGGCTTTCTTGACAGGAGACAAGGTGAACTGGCCATCTGCCATAGACTTGTCTAGTTCTTCGACAACCTTGGGGTCTGTGATGGTGATGGTGCCATGTGTAGGAGAGGTGACAATAACTCTGTCGCCGTCGCGGGTGATGGACTTGATGGCAAGAGGACTTCTCGATTTTGTTGCTTGGCGCCTGGCACCCTTCGGGAGGCCTTCTTGACTACGACGTCGTTCAGCGGTTGTTGCGGCATTATCGGCCTGGCCAGCAGCAAGAGTGGTGAAACTGATGCGAGGAGACATGTCGCGGTCTCTAGAGGACCTGCGAGGGCGTCCTCTGATTTCCTCGTCCGAATCAGAGGATGAGAAATGCGAAGATGTCACGCTCCCCTCGTATTCCTCGTCATTGACAGGAGAGATAGGTCTTTGAAGGGCTTCTGCGCTGACTTCGAATTCGTCATCCTCGGGNGACACCAATGGCTTCTCCACAGATTCGGGGACGACATCAGCCTTTGTTTCAGAACGAACCTTGGGCAAAGCTCCATCGTCCTCGGTATCGTGCGATGCTTGAAGCAAGTCTTCAGAAGACTTGGATACTTTGTTCTCGGTCGAGCCTTCGGCAGGCGTAACGACAATACCGGGAGGCGAGTGCTTGATGGACTCCTTGTCGGGAGCCTGCTCTGTCGAGCCGGATGTTGGGGGTTGATCCCCTTGATCCGCCATGTTGTTGTTAGTCTTTCCAAACAGGGGTAGAATACCTTTTCAATATCTCTCTTGTCTTCTAAAGCAAAGGAAAAAGAAGTGTAGGATGGGTGATAGGGCCGAAAACAAGAATAGCATACGACGGGATGGTAGTTGCGAATCGGAAGAAAGCTGGTGTTGGTAGCGGCAGAACTCTCTCTTGTTCGTTGAGAGAAGAAAGAAGGTCGAAAGACCTGTGCCTTTACCTCCATATGTGTTGAAAGCGTGTTGTGTCGAAAACAGCCTTGGGTATATCCGCATCCGGATGTGTATGTGTTGGATATGCGCACAAAGAAGCCATGATATGCGGGCGTATTAACAGTACATGTTCGATGTGTACTTGCTCTTGAACAGAGCTATCGCCGCAACATGAGCATTAACTCGACATGATCGTTCAAGATGGCTTCTAATAGTCGATATGTGGTATACCGACCGTATCGATTAAGGCCTGCAGATTTTAGCGTACGGGCCAGCCGCCGAGCAGCGTCGTCTGGACGAAGGCACATCGAGGAATGTAAGTCTCGACAAAGGATTGTTCGTGACCGAAAGCGGATCTTTTACAATGACGTCCGCTACCATCCATAGCGACTTTCATATCCGTCGCGGCGATGTCTGAATGTCTCTGAGTCTTCTTGAATGAAGTACGCTGTGATGAAAGACCAAACAATGAACGCAAAGGCGGAAGGGGTCGTGAGGTCAAGAACGAATCGTCTTCGCGAAACTCAGAATGCGCCCGATCGCTCTATCCGTGACTCTAGATACAAATCGTGATCAATACTACGCACACCCAAGACCCATCTATTCAATACGGTGTTGTTTCCTTTGACTCTCAATGAATGCAGCATACAGTCAAAAATTCGTGCAAATTCTCATGTGAATAGAAAACTGGAGACGTTTGTGATTGTTGCCACGAAGCTGTATATTTTGTACACATCAACATCAAAAGCACCGACTACATATGTCTTGACCATTGCTCTTCGAACCAGGTTGGTGATCAAGAGATTTAATGGACTCCCTATCCGGATAGTAAATCAAAAATTACAAAGTACCAACATGAACATCACTTCTTCTGCTTCTTCAGCATCTCCTCAACCTCTTCTCTCGTCGCCGGCATCAGCGCATTCGGCGGCGGCGTATTCTTCTTCTTAAATTCGTCCGACATCTCACCCATCGTCACCCACTCAACACCATCATGCTTGTTGATATGTTCGATAATTCTCTCATGCATCAACAGCACGTGTGGTCTTCCGCTGACATCAGGGTGGATCGTCATAGGGAACACAAATTCGTCATGCTCGCGGTAGAAGTAGTCGAAATGATCCATCCAGAGCTGTTCGACATCTCTTGCGCTGACCCAACCGTGGCTGTTTGCCGCTTTCTTGATGAACATCATTGGTGGTAGGTCATCAATGTACCAGTTTGCTGGGATCTCGACAATGCCTGTGTCTTCGCCCTTGACGAGAGGCTTCATCCACTCTTCGGCCTTCTTGCTGTAGTCGATCTTGGTCCATGAATCGCCTGTGNNCATACAATGTCAGCCGTCTGTTCTTGACTGCTTCGCAAGGCTATCAAACATACCCGTGCGTAACCAGTACATCTGACAATCCTCGTGGCTCATCGAGTGATCATACTCGATACCATATGACAGCAGCAATTCCGCTCCTTCACGGCTAGTCTCCCACCATGGAGCAACGCTGCCCTTAGGAGGCTTGCCGCAGAACTCGGTCAACATCTTGTATGTTTTGTCCAGCACATCGCGTTGTTGTTCAATTGTCATGTCGGCTGGGTTCTCATGACTGTATCCATGTAATCCGATCTCATGATCTTTGTCTCTGATCGCCGCGCAATCTTCTGGAAACGTCTCGAGTGTGTGTCCGGGGATGAACCAAGTCGCTTTGATGTTGTACTTGTCGAACAGCTTGAGTAATCTTTGGGTACCGACTGTGCCAGCAAAGAGTCCNTGTCGCGATAGTCAGAACAAGCTTACAAAGCAGGAATTGAGCATAGTCTTACCTCTACTGATATCGCTGGTCGAGTCTTCACCACCATATGAACCTAGCCATCCTGCGACGGCATCAATGTCGACACCTNNGCAAGCTCTCGTCAGCGACACCTCCATTTAAGATGCAATCGCCAGGGACACACCATAGCTGATCAAAACTCTCTTCTTGCCCATCTTTGCTGTGCGTTTACTGTTTGTAGGTGTGGTGGTCGGGAAACAATCAATGCGACTGGGGAATTTACAAGTGGCTACCCTTGACCTCAAATACAGATCGCCCAGGCCTCGCCGAGGTTATTCATTTGCTAATGATTTGGAGCTCATGCCCTCGATAAGAGCATCCTTGGAAATATAGTGAGGGGTGGAGGGGTTAATCTTCGTCATTGTCCCGCTCTCGGCTGGTGGGGTAGCAAACAGGGTCCTGTTCGTTATGGAGACCCACTGTTCGGGGTACTACCCCAATCTTATCACTGGTTTGCAGAACCGATGGAGTAACAACATATCTGAGCTGTCGCTTCGTGTGAACAGAGATCTTTGTAATGGAAGGAAGTAGGTATACTGACAACAAACATACAAAGCGAAGAGCTTGCGTTTGAATCGGGTCTGATTGTCCTTCACAGCCCCAGAAACTCGGGGGCACTTACCTTCTAGGCTTCTGTACTGTGCCCTCTATTCCTTCATCACCACAGCCCATCAATCCATCAAGAATCCACCAAATATGGCCCATCTGAGCAACTTACGATCAGATAGTGTTGTTGCTGTGGAGCTAATAGAGCTAATAGGCGTCGAGGCTCGAGGTGCATTTGCGGCTTGGAGTCATGTGTGATTACAGACAGGATTGGCCATCTGCATATCGGATTCAGCCTCGCGACCCGTGCTGGGTCAGCAGTCAACAGTCTGCCTGATGTTCGTTGAACATATCTTTCTAGAGCCTTTTACTTTGTCTTGCACCACAGAGCCATCGAAGTCCGATCATGGCGGACCTTCGAGCTCTGGAAAGCGGCGATCTGTATACCGTCGGATGGATCTCCGCTCTGCCTTAGGAACTGGCCGCAGCCACCGCTATGCTCGACGAGAAGCACGCACCCCCGACCAACTTCGTCCCCTCACACGCCGACAACAACGTCTACAGCTATGGCCGCATGGGAGAGCACAATCTGGTGATCGCATCACTTCCTCCTGGTGTTCATGGGACGACATCCGCTGCTACCACTGTCTCACAGATGCTCTCGTCTTTTCCAAACGTCAGGATCTGACCTATGTTAGGGATAGGAGCCGGTATTCCAAAGACAGAAGATTATGACATACGCCTTGGAGATGTTGTTGTCAGCCAGCCCGATGGCCGTTCTGGAGGAGTTGTTCAATATGACCTCGGAAAGGCGCGCGCTTCGGAAAGCACTTGAGGACATATTCTATGGATAGCTATATTATGTCTGTTATCATCTAGCAGCACATCTCTTTAGTCACGGTACCGATGCACTGGAAGTGGTTCTATCGACAAGTGGGTCTTAATGTCCCCTCCCCCATTGCAGGAGACAGCTGGAACCATCGAAGCACTGTTCAATAGCAAAGCGAGCAAGGCGAACACTCTGCCTCATCTTATCAGAAGAGCAAGCGCAATCACCTGGGCTTTCTTCCGCCAATTTCCGGTTACAATGTCTGGGATGGAGGGTGTCTGGGAGACACTAGCTCATGTCCTTGCAAACACGACGGCGTCAGCTCGCATTGAGTGTTCACAGTTCAGGGCACGCAGTGAACATCTTCACACATCATGCCAAATTTGTAGTGCATTATCAATAAGCATTTCAATTATGCTTACATCAGTTGGTTGCGTGGCCCAATGGCAAGGCGCTTGACTACGAATCAAGAGATTCCAGGTTCGACCCCTGGCGTGATCATTTTGCTCCTCTTTCAGTCGCTCGTCTGACAAAAGGCCTTTCTTTTGTTGCATTGTTGCGTCAAAGCAATTTTCTGCGTCGTTGTTGGTGGAGACGTTGGTTTTGTTGAAAGAGTATATTCTCGGCTGAAGCTTCAGACCGCCAAAACGCTTTTGATATCGGCGAGGGATATATTCCAGTTGGCTCATAGTGACTGGAGACTGAATGAGACTCGTACACTGACCTCTATACGCTACTCGTGTCTATGCTTCTTTTTTCTTAAAGTTGCGGCATCAATTTTCACAACTCACGATGTAAAGATTGAGGTTGCTCTTTTTTCTTTTTCTTTTCTTTTTTACCTATGTTACAATGCTTGGGGTATGACCCTGTCTTTATTCTTCAAGCTGTAACATCAACCACTACAGTTGAGTACATCTTTATTTTGATACTCTAACAGTGTCAATAAGTCTCAATGAGCATATAGTACTTCTAAAGCATTGTTAAACCTAGTGGTAGTGGGTGAATGATGACAAGTTGTGATTACAGCATTTTCCATATCTGAAGTTGTGAAAACAGACACGACACAAATAGGTCTTTGATCACATTTCAGCTACATGTTTGAAAGATGCGAAAACATATGTCACCAGCCACTGATATGACCCAACTTGGTCACTCTGTGTCGCCAAAAAACAAAAACAAAAAAAAAACAAAACAATGGTAACTGAAAACCTCTAGATGCTTTGACGATCCCATAGCATAGATATACCAAAGGCCATCTCGCAAGAAAGTGTGGTGGAAACAGCACTGCTTGTTAATCAAATTCCGCATGCTTGAGAGGACAATCACACATGCTTTATCAGCCAACAATCATCGTGACGGGTCAATGACAGTTGAAACCAGGGTCGATTGGCAGATACCTGGCTGTTCTTGTGAGTCATGAAGCAATAGTATCGAGAGATGAGACTGCGCAAGTCACAGCAAGGTGAAGCATCACATCACATGCAGGACCGGAATCACAAACGACAGTGAAGACAGGTAAAGTTGAGCAAAAAGTATATTTCTCGTAGTATATAAACACAAAACCTGTACCTTTACTGCTAGACGACAATCACAAGATCTCATTGCTATAAAACAAGACAGCATTGTGAATATCGTTAGACATCAATAAGGCATATATGTATCTCACCATCAAACCGGTTACCCTACTGAAGTCTAGGGCAGACGGTCTGCAGGCGAGAGGGGTTTTCAGCCCCGGGCGTTCAATCTTCGCTAGTCGTATAACTCTTCCAAGCCATGGTTTTGTTGGCTTGTGAGTAGATATTCTAGCGGTGAGAGGAAGTAGAAAAAAAGAAAAAGAAAAAGGAAAAAAGTCAGTCACAGTAGTCGAAGCAAGAAAAGTTCTCATCGTGTCCTCGTGCTCGTATCGGACAACGAAACAATTGCATTGTCTTTTGAATGGTTTTGATTCATTGCCGACAGATTGATCGAAAACCTCCTTCATAACCCATTGATTTGATGACCCCCATTTGCCAATGAGGAGAAACCCCGAAACGCGCTAGAAGAAAAGGAGGAGTAAGGAAGCAGGAGGATTGGATTCGGTCGTGCTCTCTGTTTTGGGTATCGGAGAGGGATGCGGGAGAGAATGGAACAAGACAGCAAAGCTTTTTCGGGTTTCATACGACAGACTCAGTCAAGTATTTAAGCCTTCTGGGTCTTCTCCTTGTTGAGCTCACGGCCCTTGGCGATGCGGGCAAGGATCTCCTCACGGTCCTTGTCGAGCTTGAGGGAGGTGATGACGACCTTGGAGGGGCGATGCCGAGGGGAACGGACTGGCCGTTGGACTTCTCGCGGGCGACGCGGTCGACGTGGATGACCCACTTGAGACGGTAGACAGATGTGACCTTGCCCTCGCGGCCCTTGTTGGAGCCACGGACAATGGTGACCTCATCGTCCTTGCGGATGGGGATCGAGCGGACCTGAACGACACTAGATTAGCATCATACAAAGACAGCCGATCGACGAGCATTGTTTGGTTTGTAGGGGGTTGTGGTGCATAGGTCTTTTGAGAGAAACAACGGCATCAGATGGTCGTGTGGGTCATCGAGTCGGGGTCGCGTCGCTGGAATTGGCGCTGTCTGGTGGCAGTGTCGTCGGTGGGGACGGTAGGCGGTGTTCGCGTGCGATAGGTGTTGGGCGTGTCGAAGTCTGATTCTTGGTGCCGTGTTTCTCCCAATGCCTCCATCTCTTTCTTGTGCGATAATGCGATCGTCGTCGGTGGGTTCAGGGCGTGCATACGTTGTACTTCTCACGGAGCTCCTTGGAGAGAGGGGCGCTCATGATGGTGCGGCGGACGCTGGAGGGGGCAGAGAAGTGCGCCTTGCGCGACTTTCTTCTGGAAGAAGACAGGGCTGCGCGGACGAGGGTTAGTCTGAGCGTGCATTGCTAGACAGCACAGCGCATACAGGTGTTGATCTTGGTCATCTTGTCGGTGGTTGGGCGAGTCCGGATAGTCTGTCGGGTTCAAAAGTCGCTGGTCGTCACGAAAGAACGAGCAGGACTGGCAGCGCAAATTCTCGCGCCGTCTGTGGGTGTGGCAGATCCTCGGCTTCGAAGTGACGGCCAAGCCACGCTAACGTGCTCCCCGGCCGCATTGCTCGGGCCTGTGCTTTCCCTAGGCTTCGCGTTGCTCTTGCGCCGATGCCTGCGCGATGTCTTGATGAGGCGGCCAGAAGCACGCGCTGGAAACAAAGTCGAGTCGCAACTGCTCTCTGCGTCTTCTGTACACATTGGAATATGCATACATCTCAGTCTGCCAGAGTGGAGCCCAACCACAGCTACACCCAGGCCTCACGGCCCAGGAACCCGGATACGGCGCGTCATTTCGTCTGGCTCCGGTGGTCGCGTCTTCGACTTCTCGATTGAGCTTCCATACCTGCACTTACTTGCTGTCGCATCGTTATGGCCCCGTACAACAGCCACTACGGCACTCGCTACGACCCTGTGGGAAGCCAGTACAATCAGCAACACCACCAGAATTATTATACCCCAAACTCCCAGCAGCCCGCGACGCAGCAGCGACAGACGACCCAGACTCCTCAGCCCCAGCCGTCTGCTCCACCTGGATACCAACCCTCATACACTGCAGGATACTCGAATCAGCCCTACTACAACTATCAGTCAACAGAGAGCCGCGCTGCCGAGACGCTGAGCCACCTGAGCGCACAGGAGCATACAACCTCTCGCTCAAACCCCTCGTGGAACACGTCCGACCGCCCTTCGAGTCAGCAGCACGACTCTTCAGCCACAACCTCGACTTCCTGGCACAACGATGATCGACGAACCGCCAATCCTTCTCCGCTCTATCAGCAGGAACAACGACCAGCGACCACTGCTGCCAACTATAGCCCTGCGCAATCTTATACCCAGCCAGCAACCAACACTGGTACATATTCATACTCTTCATGTACCCAGTCAGAGCGGCCACGAGCTCAGACGACCACATCCAACCAGCCGACCTCCTACGACTACTCTGCCTCCAACTTCCGCCCTTCTAGTTCCTGTACCGCTCGCCAGCAACAATACCCCAGTGGTCCTCGCTCGAGCATCTCCTCAGTCGCATCGACCGCCCCTCGCGATCATCACTTGTCAGCAACCGCATCACACACGTCCGCTAACGTCGGTCAACCGCGTGCCCCAAGTGTCACTCCGAGCTCGATCCAGCAACGTGCCAGTTCTTCATACGCCCGCCAGTCCAATCCTCCCGATCAGGGCTACGGTTCTGGACCCACCACCGTAGATCCTGTTCAGGTCTACGACCCTTGGCCAGAGCAGCAGCGCAAACTTGCAGAAGCACGACGAAAGGCTGAAGCCGAAGAAAAGCGAAGACAAGAGGAAGAGGCAAAGATCAAGGCAGAGGAAGAAGCGAAACGCAAGGCCGAAGAGGAGGTGGAGCGAAAAGCTGAAGAAGAAGCAAGGATAAAGGCAGAAGAAGAAGCTCGCAAAAAAGCAGAAGAGGAAGCGAAACTAAGAGCAGAAGAGGAGGCTAAACGCAAAGCTGAAGAAGCAGCAGCAAAGCGCAAGGTTGAAGAAAAGCGCAAGGCCGAGGAGAAGCGCAAAGAGGAAGCCAAGAAACAAGAGAGCTTGCGCCTTGCGCGAGAGNGAAGAAGCCAAGCGAAGGCAATACCAACATCTCCGGAACATGGCTTCCCAGCAACGTCAACCGCCTGACGCTCCTGCAGTCACAACCGTCCATAATACTCAGCGTATGATGGCTGCTGCTATGGCGCGTGGTTCTTCTGGCGGCNNGGTGGTGATCTCGAAACCGAGATGGCTGCAATCTTCAGAAAGATGCGCGATCTCAACCAGGCCGATCCTCAGATGTTTGCACGCATGTGGGAGACTGAGAGGCAGGCCCATCTCACGAAATCACAAGGCAACACTCCGGCTCCTGCTCCAGCTCCTGCTCCCGTTGCAGCACAACGAGCCCAAGCTTCTGTGCGTACTGTCTTTACACCAGCACAGAATCAGGCTCCTCACGCACCCATGGTTTCTGCTGCTCCTGCTCGACCATCCGTCCCTGCTCCATGTTCTGCGGCTGCTGGATCCAGCAACAATGCGCAGTCGAATGCCCGGCAAGTGCCCCAACCTCCAGGAGGTCCTAACGCTATCTGGCCTCCTGGTAAGAAGGTGACTCTGGCCGAGACCGCTACCAAGTGGCTCAATGCAAGACAAGAGAATCTTAATAAGCTGGTCTCGGTCGAGGCCATCCATGCATTACTTGCACCGAACCCTTCGTACATGACTCTGTGTGAAAGCCTTGAACGTATGGATTTGTACGTCGATCGTGCTCAGTTTGCCCGTGCTTTGTTATCTGTTGTCCCCGATGCTGCGAAAGCGAACCAGAACAAGGCGGCATCTCCTGCTATGCAGTCAGCACAACCTCCAGCAGTAGTAGCTCCTCCACCTCTCACTCAAGCCGTGACGCAACCTACGCCGGCGTCAAAGAAGTATCCTAAAATTGGCAAGTTTCCAGGACAACGAGGTCGGCCCAGCCGTGCTTCTTTGGCTGCTCTTCAAGATAAGCAGAGCGTGGTTGATCTAACCGGTCGCGACTCTGTGCTTCCGACGACATCTGGTCCACCTGTCTCGCAGCCATACTACTCTGGAGCTCATCATGTTGACGCGCCCACTGTCAATTACCAGGCGCAGTGGGCTCCTGTGGATGATGTGCCCTCATATATAATGTCGCACACGCCACCCCAACATAATCAGCAATATCAGCGACAGCAACAGCAACAGCAGCAGCAGCAACGAGCGGCGATACAAAATCTCCAGGACCAACGCCGTAAATACTCCAGTCCATACTTCCAGCAACAAGGTCAAGCGTCCAACGTTGCAAGACCGACACCTCCAGCTGTTCCAAGATCGCCTCCGGCCAACAAAGGAGAGGCAGCTCGCAAGCGTAACTTTGCCGAGCTTGTTGACATGTCAGCGATGAACTCTGATTCTGATGAGGATATGCCTCCAGCAAAGCAGGTAAACACTGGACAGTGCGACACTGGCACGATTTCAGAACAAGCAAACACCGCTCATAGCAATGGTCATTTCAACCCTCCTGTGCCGCCTAACAACCTTCAGCAGTACTACTTCAATGGTATTTACCACCCCATGTCGGCCCCTGGGCCCTCATCTGCTGCCGCAGTTGCACGCCCGATGATCGTCAGCAAACACATGGAACTCAAGGGCCAGACATTGGTGGAGCCAGTCAGACGTGCAAAGGTGGCGCGCAAGTCCAGATATGATCCACGAACAATTTGCAGGGATGTTCTCCTGGCGACGGGACGTCATCCAGACATGCGACCTCTGAACCAACATCTCCACGTAATGCACAACTTCCTCAAGCTACATTCCAAAGATGTTGAGCTGGACAAATTCGATCTCGAAACGATTCGCTGGGACCTCATTGACCCCGGCGAGCCGATAGTTGAGCCGATTGAACCTGCGGAAGCAGATAGAGAGTCTACTGTCGAAGCCGGAACGAACGAGAGGAACGCAACAGACGCCGACGACGAAGGTGGAAGTGAAGACGAAGGAGGAGCACCACTCACTTCTGATGTCCCACCTGTCACTGCTGAGGCTTCCACAAGTGAAAACACACCAGCACGTTCGACATCTGGTCGCCACGCGTCAACCAGCCAACTCGTCGCCGTAGAGATCGACACAAGCAAGGGCAACCAAGGTCGTACCAGGAAGCCGTTCCCTAAGGCCAGGGTTGGACGTCCTCGCAAGAGTCTGCCTGCAGCCAGTGTCAGTGTTGGCAACGGCAGATCTCCGGCTAAACCCTCGACCCGCCGTCATACCGACATGCATCAACGCGCGACATCGTCCATCGCGACTGACACACCTCGCAAACAACAAACACCGAACATGTCGGCAACACTGATTCCAGATAAGCCGGTTGGCTACGCAGCATTCCGCTCAGCGGTCACCGAGTATGATGAAAATGGTAATCCGATTAAGAAANAAGGTCGCCCGGTCGGCTGGCGCAAGAGCGTCCATAGTAAGGCAGCACTTGCAGCAGCGGCTGGCGAAAGCATCGACGGCCCCAATTCCAAGTCATCAACGGCGGCTCAGCGCACATCTCGAGGTCAAGCAGCGCCGAGCTATGCGCCACCAAAGCAGCGTCGTGGCAGACCGGCCAAACCTATTGTCGAAGTCAAGGAGCCTGAAGTCGATTTCAACGTTTACAAGTGTGAATGGGAAGACTGTGGTTCAGAACTGCACAACATCGACACACTGCGCAAACACGTTCTCAAACTTCACGGCAAAAAGACATCAGAAGGCGACTACGAATGCGCATGGTTCGGATGCTTCCAAGAAGACGAGGTGACTGCTTTTGACGACATGGCGCAATGGATGGAGCACATGGAGACGCAGCATGTCAAGCCGATCTCGCGAACTCTAGGCGATGGACCTCGCCAAGGACTTTCAGGTGGCTCTTGAATACCTTGACGCATTTGAAGAGTTCCACCCTTTCTTGCTAACCGTTGGTATANNTCAGACCACTATTCTGAACAGTCAGATGCCTATCTCTCCGACTCGCGCGGCAGATTGGTGACGCCAATCATCTCGATGGCACCGCCCAAGCTAGGAACAAAGGAATGGCGAGAACAGCAAGCGGCAGAGGCGGCAGCCAGAAGACTCAGCAACCTCACTGGATCGAGACTAAACGACGAAAAGCTGTTGCAGCAGTTTGAGGAGAAGAAGAGGATTGTTGGACCTGCATTGACAAAGGCAGGATGCATTTTGTGGACCGAAGAGCGCAGGCGCAACTTTCTCCACGACGAAGACTTTTTCGAGTTTGTGGATCCCGAGGGAGAGCCGGCTTATCCACCGGATAATTTTTGATCAGGGAGTGTAAGGTGTACGATACGAAAGAGAAACGGGCGCAGTATAGCTCAGGAAGCATTAATAGCTTTCGACAGAGACCTGGCCGCAGAGAGCAGACCAAGGCGTCTCTGTCGCAATGTGCATAGCTAAATCCCAAGACATCATTCTACGACACGACAAAACAAAACTCTTTTGGTATCCCCTGTACTTGAAACGAAGCAGCCGACTCGGCGACTGACTGATGAATGTAAACTCCCTCAACGCCTAGCGATGTAAATGAAACCCTTCTCCTCTACTGTGTCCATGCGGCATGATATCTCTGCTTCCCTCGACCTATCTATGACCTAACGGGTTTCGCACCAGGCACGGTGTCGGCTTTGCGCTCGGCGGACAGNGGAGTCTTGCCGTCGTCTTCGGCATTGACTTCGAGGAAGTGGTAGAGGACGATGAGGAGCATGCTGACACTGCCGAGGAAGATGGCGAGTTGGTAGAGTTGGTCGTCGGTGATCATGATTGTGGTGGTTTGTGTGTGAGAGCTGGAGAGTGGATGGTGAGCTTGGCTGTTGACAGTATGGGTGGTAGAAGGGAATGGACTTACGAGTGTGGTTGATGGGAGATAGAAGGTTCGAGAGAAGAGTGAAATGGGGTGGTAGATTGTTCAGCTGTTGAGGGAGGTGGTTGTTCAAGGTGGACTCGGGGTATGCGGTATAGCTCTCAGATCAAGGTGTCCTGAGCGTACGTGTACAGTGGCCGCACGCCCAAACGGGAAGGTGCAGCGAGGCCCGCCAAGATTTCACGCTTTCAATCACATTTTGAAGCAGCGACGCAGTGACGACAGGTGGGGACACTGCGCGACTGCCCAAATTCACATTTTGACATCCGACCTTCCTGCCCTCTACCATTCTCTTCCTGTCAACCACTGGTCTGCACACCTGTCACCCAGCCACGGGTCTGCCATCTCACACTCTTTTCGCTCTCGCATCGCCACAAGACCACCGCCCACCATGCCGCCCAAAAAGCAGGACAATGCGCCCAAANAGGTCGCCGTCGACAAGACCTTCGGCATGAAGAACAAANAAGGAGGAGCCGCCCAACGCGCCATCAAGCAAATCACCGCAACCTCCAACCTGCCCGCCGACCAAAAGAAAAAAGAAGCCGAAAAGCTGGCCCGCGAAAAGGAAAAGCTCGCCGCCGAAGCCGCAAAACGCGAGGCTGCTGAACTGTTCAAGCCCGTTCAAATCCAAAAAGTGCCGTTTGGTGTTGATCCCAAGACTGTGCTGTGTCAGTTTTTCAAANAGGGGGCTTGTGAGAAGGGGAGGAAGTGCAAGTTTTCGCATGACTTGAGTCAGGGTATTAAGGGTGAGAAGAAGAGTTTGTATACCGATACGAGGGAGTTGGAGAAGGAGCAGCAAGAGGAGGAGAGAAAGAAGGATGATATGGCCGATTGGGATGAGGAAAAGTTGCGCAATGTCGTCATGAGCAAGCATGGTAACCCCAAAACCACGACGGACAAGGTGTGCAAGTACTTTATCGAGGCTGTCGAGAATGGCAAGTACGGTTGGTTCTGGACTTGTCCCAATGGCGGCGACAAGTGCATGTACAAGCACAGTTTACCACCAGGGTATGTTTCCTCTCTCATCCACATCATCTTTCTCATCCTCACGCTAACACCCCTTCCCAGCTTCGTCCTCAAGACAAAAGAACAGCGCGCCGCCGAGAAGGCCCTCATGGACAAATCCNCCCTCAACACCCTCACCCTCGAAGACTTCCTCGACAGCGAACGCCACAAACTCACCGGCACCTTGACTCCAGTCAACGAAGAAACTTTCCAAAAGTGGAAAAAGGAACGCATGGACAAAAAGGCCGCCGAACAAGAAGCCCAGAAAATGAAGGAAGCCACCGGTCGCGCCTTGTTCGAAAAGGGCGACTGGAACGACGAAAACGACTCAGATGCCGAAGACGACGATAACTGGAACTTGGAGGCTATGAGAAGAGAAACCGAGGCTGCTAGGCAAAGGAAAGAGGAGATTAGATTGGGGATCAATCTTGATGAGGCACAGCAGATTACGACTGATGCGAGTGAGGGTGTGGGGGAGATGGTCGAGGTTGCTGTGGAGCCGAATGGAAATGTCAAGGATGACGAGTAGAGGAACAGACAAAAATTGCTGCATTTCTTGGTTTGCGCAAAAGGACCTATCGTTGCATTGAGGGTCTAGGTAAACCGTATCTTTCTTGACGAGAGAGGCGGCTGGACTCAATGGCGGGTTCTGTTTGGGGAGTTGAAGCTCTCTCATCCTGTGTTTTTTCTTTTGACTGCTGTTTTAGAGCGGTCTTTGCTGATATGACATTTATGCTTTCCACCTACCTCGATATCCCATTTCTTCTTCATTCGATCACTGGCACGTGAGATTTCTTGCCAGATGAAACTAGAAGCGCCACTTTGCTACCGTCAAACCACATCTGCAACTACAACATTATCGTCGAGTTTCCATATACTTGTCTGAATTTGTTTGTGAAGATGCTGAGTCTCCCCAGTAGCGAGTCAGAAAATCAACCCAAACAGAGAAATATCAGTCGCCCGAGACTGATACAGAATCCTGATGTTGATCTTCGTCTTCACTCTGATTTTTTCTTCTTCTTCTTCTGCATTGGATTCCCTGTATCTTGTCTTCTTTTTGTTTCGGTTTCGAGAAGGCAAGAAGAAAAAAAACACTGTGGGATACGATGGTGGTCAACAGTTTTGAGGTAGTAGCACGTCTTGTGCTCACGTCATCCAGCATGCCATCAGGAAGTCGAAAGTCAGAAAGTGGAAGATTGTATTAGTATAGAGAAGTTTTGACAACTGTTTTCCTAGATTGCCATCATACCAAGCATACCAAGAACCATAGCAACGAGACCGTTGCTGGCTCCTCTGTTCACTGATCTCTCTGCTCCAGCCGTCGACGTCGTGGCCACATCACTCGCCCCTGTCCCTGACACTGTCTCACTCGCACTCGTCGAAGCAGTAGTGGTAGCGGATCCCGTGACCCTACTCCCGCTCAACGAGCTCGAAGTCGTTCTCTGCAACCCACTCACCACAGCAGCACCCATACCCTCTGTATTTGGCAATGTAGATGTTTTGCCATTGATCACTACCACAGGCTCAGCAGAAGTGGTTCCAGAAGTGGGGAGAGGAGGGATGGAGTAAGTTGTTCCTTGCACAGTGACTGCGTCTCCTTGTTTTAGTGTTGTGGTGCCGATGGCGAAGAGAGGGATATTTCCAGTAGAAGCAGTGGTTGTTGATAGTGCTGAGGTTTTACCATCAACGATGATAGCGGTGCCTGAGGCAGCGAGAGAGTACGTCGTTCCGCTGACTTCAATCTGAGTGCTTTGAGACAGCGTCTGTCCGGCAATGACAACCGCTGTCTCCACAGCAGTAGAAAATGGACTTGTTGCTCCATTGACGACGACAGCAGTGCCCGAGGGAGCAAGCGAATAAGTCGTCCCCTGCACTTCGATGCCAGAACTTCCAGGTACAAGGGTCTGTCCTCCAATCACAAAACCAGAAGCAGAGTTTTGAGTGATTACACTAGAGCCGATGGTGAGTTCTGGGTTAACAGTGCTGGTGATGACAGAAACCACTGGCGATGTAGTAGCGATAGGGAGAACAGAAGTTTCGCCATCGACAACAATAGCAGTCGCTGAAGGAGGCAGCGAGTACGTCGTCCCCTCGAGTTCCAAAGCAGAGCCACCTGGCGAGAGAGTCTGTCCTGCAATCAAGTACTCAGAAGCCGTGTTTTGCGTTACGATGCTAGGACCGGTGGTAACTTTCGGGGCAACGGCACTGGCGATGATATGTACCGCTGGCGACGAAGCAATGGAAGGAATGGAAGCAGGAGCGATGGAAAGAATGGAGGTGACGCCATTTTCCACAAGCAGAGTTGCGGAAGCGGACGTGAACAGCGAGTAAGTCGTTCCTTCCACTTCAATACCAGAACTTCCTGGTGCCAAGGTCTGGTCTCCAACCACGAACTCAGTGTTCGAATTTTGCTTGACAGCACTTGAGCCGATGGTGATGGCAGGGATCGCTGTAGTGATAGTCCCTTTTGTACTGCAAGAGGTGAAGTAACGCCATTCTGCACAACAAAAGTCGATGACTTGGAAGTTGCGAGCGAGTAAGTAGTGCCACTAATGACTACTGCTTCTCCTCCTGCAGAAATGGTCTGAGTTGCGTAGACAAATCCATTGCTGGGATTTTGTGCGATGACAGAAGAACCCATTGTAATCTGTGGTACGGTAGATACAGAAAATGTAGAAGCAAAAGATTGAGTCTGCCCATTTCCGATGAGTGCACTTGCAGAAGTTGCTAGAGAGTATGTCGTTTCTCCAATCGTGATTGCAGGGCCACCGGGAGCAAGTGTTTGAGAGCTGATGATGTACTCGCTGGAAGGGTTAGGGGCTATAGTTGTTGAGCCGAGAGTAAGTACTGGTGCAACTACGACAGTTGTGCCAGATGTCGAGGAGGATTGGGCAGGTTCGTTGCTTTGTGCAGCAGTATAAGGCGCGACTTGACTCCCTCCAACATCTTGAGAGGCTGTGTTGGCTCCAGATCCGACATTCGAGGTTGTCGTACCTACTTGCTGAGGTTTGGTAGATTCTTCACTAGTGACGAGTGCCTGACCACTCGTTGGCAGGTTCAGTCCAGAAGAAGCCTGATGACCACCATCAGAGCCTGCCACTGTTGTAGTCGCGGACGAAAGTGGTGCAGCGCCAGAGACTACATTCGTGCCCGTAGGTGCCCCTTCACTGTTTCCTGTGCTGCTCGCTTCGGTCGTGCCAGGCACCTGAGATGTTGGCTGTGCAGCTGTCGTTGTCGAATCTTGCTCAGCGGTTGTGGAAACGCTCTGTTCAACAGAGGTTGGTTGTTCAACGATCGATGTCGGAGCTTGTTCTGCGCCAGTAGAGGTGGATTGCCTGTCAGACGGAGAAGCTTGTTGCGCAGTCGTTCCCGCGGAGTTGGTTGCGGAGACTTGTGCGATGGAAGTCGCTGAGGACTGCTCAGAATTTCCTTCTGAAGTCTGCCCTGCCGCTGTTGTCGAAGATTTAATCTCAGTGGATGCATCAGATGTCGCTTGTGCACTAGTCTTGGTCGTCACCTTACTGGAAGAAACAGGAATAGCCCCACCAAAGTTCGCGGGCCTCGTCGCAATAATCGAGCTTGTTGTATGTGTGAGCGTGCTCACCACGACATGTACAGTAGGCGCTCCCGTGGGCCGCTTGCTCACAAAATTCGTGCATTCGCTCAGCCAAGGGAATGAAGAAGAGACGCTAGCGTTCCGCTGAACCCATTCGATGAACTCCAGAGGGATAGAGTCAAAAAATACTTTTGCTTTTTCACCGCAATAATTAGCAAGATGATTGGAGTAAAGGAGGCTGACGAGAGGAACGTACAAGGCCAATCAACGGTAGAGTTAGACCAGACACCGCCAGTATATCCCAGAGTGTATAGATCTGTGTAATTCTTTGCTTCGACAACATTTCCAGACTCGTCCAAATATTTGACATCGAGAATACCAAGGATGGGCTCAACGTAGGGAGTTGGTGAGGCTCTATTTGCAATCAATTAGTCAGTCGATAGCTTTATATTTGTCGTGAAACTTACACCACAGTCTTTGTTCTCGTAGCGCTGATACCCCACTCAGTGGTAATCTCGGAGTATGTATGGAGTCTGGTCTCCGCATATGTGAACTCAGTCGTCGTGGAAGGAAGCAACGAAATCAAATCCGTAGGGACGCCCGGAAACTCCCATTGCATACTTGCTAGAACTCCTATGGTGGCCAGTTGATCGAAGTCGGTGTAGACTGCTGTGTATACCTTGCCCGAATTATCGCCTGCTGTGTTAGTGTAACTGGCAGTGAAACCATCATAACGAGTGGATGAGTTGGCCAAGACGAGGGTGTTGTTGTATTGGATGTAGTAGTCCATTTCCGTTGCAACCTGATATGACTGTGTGAGCTGGGATGTTTGCTGTTGATAGAAACATATATACTGACTGTAAATGTGGCATGTTCAGTCCACCAAGAGTTCAAGAAGATCTCGTTTGGCAACCACCACCCGCAAGATCTGGTCAGACTGGGACCGACAGTTGTTTCCGAGCCGACTGAAATGGAAGTCTGTGTCGCTTTTGATATTGTCGAATTTGTGAATGCAGTACCTTTTGATATCGTCAAAGATGGACTCAAATTCGGATCGAAGGGGCTTACGCTGCGGAAATGCAACAGCACCGGTTGCCGCGAAGAGTAGAGCTGCAATTATCAGGCGCGAGGCCTTGGCCATGATCGCACTCATGCTTGTGAATCCTTGAAACTATTCCAGCTGTTAATTGTTTGACCTCTCTGTGTGGAACATAAAGCACTGAAGTCGCGATATCAAGCTTTGGTCAACTGAACAAAAGACGGCCACAACTCAAGCGAGAGGCAAGAAACAGGAAGATAAAGAAGAAGAAGCAGAAAGCCCTACATCTTTGCTCAGCGCTTACCCTGCCAGTCATATGTGTGAAGTCTGCCATAGGATTCGATCACCACATGCATGGTTGCGACCCAGCAAATACCGCGCACTTCACGGGCCGTGCCTTAGAACTTTCAACCGAAATGCGAAGATCATTGCATTGTTCCTGGGCACCTGCAAGACTTGTATATCAGAATACAGCGGTTGAGGCAATGAAGCGAAAGAATAGATGAGGTGATATGATTACCTATAAGCAAGTGCGGTACAACAGATCAATGATTGGTGGATGCTGTCTCCGAAGGATTCAGGCGCAAGGGCCAGAAACATCAATTGCATTAGGCGCAAGGTACATCCATGTCTTTGCTAGAGCGGCTGGTCGTTAGTCAAGAACTCGATACTACAAGAATACCAGCCACTTGGAGGAAAACCATTGTCTGGATGAACATATCATAGCGGCGCAAATGTGGGAAGGTTTGCGAGACGACTTGTCGGTTGATATGGAATCGAAGTTGAAGAGGAAGCCGCCCTTGGTGGAGTGCAATATATCCAGTCTTGGCGTGCATGACCTTCGGTATTGACTCTGTTTTTGGCAAGAGCGAATCTTGGGTCCCTCTTTCTGCTTTTACCTCTCTAGAAAAGGCTGGCTATGATTATTGTCGTTCAGTATGTACATCACGAGTAAGTTATGAGGTCCGTCCCCATCACGTGTATGTAGGACTTTAACTTGCTACACTTCGCATGTCCTTCTGATCAGTAACAGGGTGGGGAGTCATTGCATCGTTGAGCAAGCACAAGTTCATAGAGCCTTGCACTGCTCGAGCAGACCGGACAACTCGTCCCTCAACTCCTCCCAACTAGGCCACTGGCTCTCATCCACTTCCACCATGCTCAAGATCCATTTCCTCATGCCTTTGCATTTAATCTTCATATCCAGATCACCAGATATGTCACCTTTNTTGAGCTGATGCAGCATTTCATGCCTCTCCATTCTGGTTCCAAAAGGATGGAGTAGTTCAAAGGCGATGATCCCTAGAGCGTAGACATCCAGACTGGGATGATTGTCGCGAGTGACAGTGTAAGGACGATAAATTTCTGTACCCACTGCTTTGCACGAAACGCCGGCCATTGGAGGTGTATCTTCTGGTCTCGCAATAGCAGAGACAAGGCCAAAATCACCAATACAAATGCTGACATTGAAAGAGCGTGACATGTTCTGACCAGCACAAGAGGTACAATTGTGCAGGGAGATGGCTCCCGGAGGAGGCTTGGATCCTTCGCGTACAGCGAGGAAGATGTTACCGGGCTTGAGATCACGATGGACTATACCCTCTGAGTGCAAGTATTCGACACCTTCGATGATGGAAGAGAGAACTTCGAGCGATGAATGAGCGTGGAAACAGTGGCGGAGGGAGGTGATATTGTCGGTGGCGATAGGGTATGTGGCGGGAGCGAGGAAATCCGAAAGAGTCATGCTGTATAGTGACATCTGAATATGGAGCGTCAGAGAGGGCGAGGAAGAGGTATGGTGTTGTTGGTTGGTGCTGAAAGACGACTCGTCATAGCTACTTTCTGAAGGCTCGTTCTTGCGTGTGATGACTTCGACTTCGCTCTCTTCGCTCACGCTTGCGACTGTGCTGCGACTCTGAATCTTTTGCAGAAGTGCACCTTCAGAATACGANTCTGTGACGAAAATTAGCAAAACTGGCTTCGGAGATTACAGTTTGTAATTGGATATAGCCCAATCGACTTACCCTGGTTGAAGAGATTGAGTATCAGAAGTAGCTGGTCCTGATCTTCTAGAGTCTTCGAACATGATGTCCTCTTCTTGCTGAGTTGCGAAGCGTTGGGTCCGACCAGTTGACATCTCAAATGGACCTTCGTCATCGTCATCTTCATCTTCATCATAGCCGAACTGAACGTCGATAGCTGGTACATCTGCTCCGAAGCTTCCTGCGACATCGTCTTCTCTTGACTCTTTGGGCGCTTCGAGCAGCTTGTGACCATCGAATTCGAGTGACTGCTTGTTGGATATTAGAGGTGCCCACTCGATCCAGCCGCTGTGGTACCGAACAATATTAGGATGCTCCAAGCGTGCCAACGTCCGTACTTCGACGAGGATGTGATCGAGCTCTGCTTGTCCGTTCTCTTGAATTTTTCGCATGCGGGTCGGTCCAAGTGGTATCTTCTTGATTGCGTAGTGTCTGCCGTCCAGGTTGTGCTTGCATCGAAACACAGTACCGTAACCTCCTTTACCAAGAATGCCAAACTCTTCAAAGTCTCGAGTGTAGCGTGTTGAGTTGAGCAAAGGGTGACCAGGAAGTATGCCATTGCCGAGGAGTTTGGGTTGAGCATGCAGATCCGAGCAAGCGATTGCAAGATCACTGAATCGCCGGCTCATGTCAATGGTTGCTGACTGCTCTCCTCCTATTAATCGAAGTAAAGGTCCAGGCAAGTCATTGCCTTGAGATTGTGCCAAGATCTCCTCAATGGGTGTCTGAAGATCGACAGATTTTCGCGTGATCACGGACAGACCATCTCGATAAGTCTGGCGAAGAGGTCCGAATTGTTCAGAATCCAGGTCGCCAGTTTCAAGACCATATCTGCCAAGTTGCCGCGAAAGTCGAGAATATTTCTCCTTGGCTAGTGCCTGAACCCGTGGATGGTCCTTGGTCTCGAATCCAGCGGCTTTCAAATCTTCCAATGCCTCATTATAGCAACGTTCCTCCAGTAGAGCGTGCAGTAAAAGATCGCGGTGATAGCTGGAGCTTCGAGAGCCTTCTGCAAGTGCCTGTGACGCGCCGGGCCCTGACTGCTCCTCGGCCGCGGTACTTGACCCCAAGGTGCGTACTCTTGTGATTTGGTGATCACTGCTGTTGGATTCGTCGCTGTTCTCATTCGACGTGCTTTCTTCACGAGAAGAGCTAATGTCTGCCGCCGACCTGAAGAAAGACGACATTACGTTTTTCCGGATCAATGGTATACTGTTGTTTAAGTGACATGAGAATTAACATCGTATGTGTTATGCTTGGCCGATGAAAGTGATTGTTGTTGCGATGTCTTTGACGTTCTTTGAGATTCTTCAAAGTCTAGGCAGTCGAGCGCATACAACACGTGCTTGCCAGCGAAAACTTCAGCATAACGCGATCTGATTTGAAGATTCAGAATTGATGCTTCAACTGACGTGATACCAAAACAATGTTATGGTTTACATTCGAGGAGGATCTGAGAAACGTTGCATCGAAACGTGGTTGGCCAGAAGTCTATACTCAGGCCCGCATCAAAACTGGCCAGAACTGTTGGCCACTATAATCCTTCTGCGCCTTCGTCGCTATTCTGCTCAAACTGCTCTAATCCTACACATCTCTATAGATAGCGCTTGCCTTCATTCAGAAACATGATGCCTCTCTTTCTGTACCTCCACATGCACCAGTTCACTCGTTTGCCATGCCGACAAGATCCCAAGTCACACGACTGATCGGACCTTCACCGAAAATCCATAAATCCTTTCTTTCAGGACCAGCAAATTGGATATTGTTGACTGTGAAGCCAGTCTCAATGCGTAAAAGCATTTCTCCATACGCGCTCAACACAGTCACACCACCACCTTCGGCCGCCAGCAGGTATCCGTTCTGAGCAACATGGAAGCCATCGTCTCCGAACGTCTGAGCCAAGTAGATGGGACGCTTGTTCGTGATGTATGATCCAGCTGGCGAAGCGACAACATCAAAGGCGTAGAGCGAGTTGCCACCGAGGGCGTTATAGGTGTAGCGAGGCAGAGGACCATCTGCGGGATAGTTCGCAAAGTCCGTCACGCCAGTGTCGCTTATGTACATGGTACGACCATCTGGGGACATGCCAATACCATTGGGCTGAGCAATGCTGTCCTCAACAATCGAGACACGTCCAGTAGAAGGTCTGAAACGGTAGGTCGCTGGTCGCAGCACCGGGTATTCGGTAACGTTGATGGCATAGCCATACCAGGAGTCGGTGAACCAGATGTCACCTTGAGCGTCAACCCAAAGATCATTCGGGCTGTTGAATGCCTGGCCAAAGTAGTTGTTAAGCAAGACAGTGACCTCGCCGGTAGAAGAATCAAGCTGATAGATGCCGGGTCTTTGGGCAACCAGCGATCCATTCTGAGGAGAAGGGAAGGAGAAACCTGCCTCAACAGCCCAGTAAACCTTGCCGTTGAAGAGCTTGCCTCCGTTCACTGCATACACAGGAGGGGTGGTAGTGTAGTTGTCCAAGCGAGGTGTCGAGTCATTTAGATGGATGATCTGTTGCTGATAAATCCCTTGGTGGGGCAGCGAGAAGATGATAGCGTCTAAAGTAGGAACGTATACTGGCCCTTCGTGAATAGAGTCGTTCCGACTAGCAAAAATATGGTCCAGCTTAGGGCAAGGTCCGAGAATTTGGCTCCCTCGCTCGTCAAAAACGACGAAAGTTGCATTCTTTACAAGCTGGAAAGAAGGATCGGAGGGCACCTGGGTGTCCACGAAAGTGTCGTTTGGAGAGAACGCTCCTCCAGTTGAGCTTTGTCGTTCAAAAGATGGTGGCATAGCCGAGGCATAGCGGTTGATACAGACCACATCAGTGTTGTTTGAGTAGCTAGGACATGCCTGAGCAAGAGGACTGATGATACCAGACTGAGCAAGAGCTTTTCCAAGAACGAAAGATAGGACACCGACACCTGTGAGCAAGGCCATGACGTAGGCTGAATCTGCGTGAGGAAGAGGGATACTCAAAATAAAGTGCTATGCTCAAATCAATCGGTTTTACTGCTGTGTATACTGATCTAGTCTGGAGAAGTTGTTAAGCTGATCTACAATGCAGTTTTCATCACCGTCGTCGACGGTCGAAGAGAAGAGCAAGCAACCCACTGTTGCGTTATGCTGATAGAGGGGCTGAAGGAGGAGCCGAGCCGACCCCGCATTGTGGCTGACGACATTGATGGAGTCTTCACCAAGACCAGGAACAGCCCCCGAATTATGGAAGAGCTCATGATCTGTTTGGTGAAACAGCTAGCCAGAGTGGTTGGTTATCTTCTCTAATGGACTGTGTAGTGACTGCAGATAGGCGTACAGAACCAATGTTCGAAGAGGGCTGAACGGTTGTGAGCTTATTCAAGGCTTGCATGATGAGATGGCGCTTTCTTGGTCGAGCGGTGTGAGCTTTCATCGGTCAGAGGGATATTGAACCATGTAACTATGGTCAAATAGACCTTATGATCAGTTGTCGTTATGAATGTAGACATGCAATACTGACTGACCAGCGCCATTGGTCCATTGCATGTGGTCGCATGCCACTTACCCAAACTCAACCTGGAACCGGTCGAATTGGTCCAAAATGGCTCATGTTTCCATTGCGACATGTTTTGTCGTCGTCCAGAGTTGCAGTTGTCTTGCGTGATTTTGTGTGAAAATGGCTCACAATTTGGTGGTAGACATGAAATCGCGCAGAGCCACAAGAGCGATGCAGATCTGAGTTTCGAGGAATGTTTGTGGCAGTGTCTGATGAAGAAGTTTCCTTTGTACTTTCACGTAATCGAGGTGCGGTACGACGTGATGCTACTTACTGCTGTGCCTGTACACCGCACTTCTCATCTATAAACAGGACACTCCCCTTGGAAAGTAAGGGTAGGAATATTACTTGCACTCACAGTCTTCTCCTGAATTGCAACACTTCCACCCAGAAAACACACTTTGCTCATATCACGATGTTCGAATCAACAAAAGCCTCAATGACATCCTCTTTGCAAGTCCCGACATCAGATGCAATGAGATCAAGTCCTCGTCGACCAAGTTTGAGTGCATTCAGATATCCCACAAGTCCAGAGACGACAACACACACAGGTGGGATCCAATCTTGATTTATTGTTTTGGACGCTTTTGATGTCAAGCAGNACTCCGCATCTTCGACAGCGCAAATATCATACGCGTACAGAAGGCGTTATGCTTCGTACTTGGCCGCGTCCTTCGGCATAAGCTTCGAGGCGGCACTTGCAGACACAGATGCGCAGTTGGCACCGCGGAGACCTTCATATGTATCAGAGTCGGAAGTTAGTCGCAGAGAATGAGTTTGCAATTATAAGGATGGCGTTTAGGTCGAGTGGGTGTTTCGGATCAGGAGTTCTGGTCATTCTGGCCAACCGTTTTGGCATCGTCTTGCTTCAATGGCAGTTTCCAATTCTCAGACCGGTTGCGATGTGACACGCCATGTTTCTTTTCAAAACAGTCGTAGGACATGATTGCCGCGCTTGCTTGACAAGAATGCAGGCTTCAACAATATACCATAGCCAATTGCTGTCAGACTTGAGAAGGACGTACTTTCGAGAATCCTGTGATGTAACCTCGGCAAAAGTTGCGGTCTGTGTGGCCTGATTTAGACGCGAAATCCTGACTCGCATCAATTTCCTCAATCAAATATCTCACAGAAAACCAAAGCGACCCGCTATTTGCACGTTTTCGCTGCAATCGGCCTCAAGTGTCTCTTTGAAAGACGCGCTCTTACAGTGAAGTACACTAACACCAACTTGTGGTGTCCCAAGACGACCGGTGGGCCAGCAGGCAGCTACGAAGCCTAGCTGTGCTCGACGCGAAGATGACCTCAACGGGTGACCCAAAATCATCCCAGGCCTCAACATTGAATGGGAAGGCCGCGCGAGATGAAAAGCATTCCCAGGATTCGAAAGCCGACAACAAGCAACAACTCGCGAAGAAAAACAAGTCCAACGGCAAAGTACTGACACCATGGGTCTACGATCTCGGCCTGGGAACCTTCAATCTTGCTCTGGATGTGTTTTTCAGAGAAATCTATCCGAGAAACACTTTCAGAATTCCAAAGAAGGGCCCAGTCATTATTGTTGGCGCACCACATGCCAACCAGTTTGCTGACTCTATCATCCTTATGCGACTGTTGAAGCAGCATGTAGGACGTCGCATGTCTTTCCTGGTGGCCGAGAAGTCGATGAAGGAACCTTACATCGGTGCCATGGCTGGCAAGATGGGTTCTCTGCCAGTGACCAGAGCTATGGATCATGTCAAGCCGGGTCAAGGCTATATCTGTCTACCAGATCCTGAGAACGACCCAACTCTGATTCGTGGTGTGGGAACCAATTTCTTGAATGGTCAGTACATGCACGGCGGCAGCATCATCATGCCCAAACGCCCAGGATCTAAGGCAGCACCTGAGAGTCAGTACATTGAGGAAGTTCTGGGCCCAAGGGAATTCCGTTTACGCGAGGCTTTCAAGACCGAGGACGCAATCCTTCAGCTCACCGGCGAGAGCGAAGCTCCCGATGGAAGCAAGATCAAGGGCACGAAGTTCAAGGTCGCTCCTCACATCGACCAAAACCGTATGTTCGACGCCGTCTACCGCGAGCTTTCCAAGGGCGCCTGTGTCGGAATCTTCCCAGAAGGTGGATCTCATGACAGAAGCGACTTGCTACCCTTGAAAGCTGGTGTTGCTATCATGGCTTTGGGATGTTTGGCACGCGACCCGGATTGTGGACTTACCATTATTCCTGCGGGCATGAACTACTTCCACGCTCACAAGTTCCGCTCGCGAGCCGTCATCGAGTTCGGTAACCCCATCGACGTACACCCTGATCAAGTTGAGGCGTTCAAAGCTGGAGGCTCCGAGAAGCGTGATGCCATCGGATCATTGTTGGAAACCATCTACGAAGGTCTAGCAGCAGTGACGCAACCCAGCCCGGATCACGAAACGCTGCAACTTATCCAGGCAACGCGTCGTCTGTACAACCCTCCTGGTCGCAAACTCCCTTTACCCGTGGTCATCGAATTCAACAGACGTCTCCTCAAAGGCTACACCAAGTACAAGGATGATCCACGTGTAGGAAAGCTGAAGAAGGCGGTGGTTGACTACAACCGTCATCTTCGTGCACTAGGAATCAAAGACCACCAGGTCGAATGGGGTGATGCTTCCGCTCGTCCTTGGTGGTGGTGCTTGGCCACATTGCTCTACCGCCTGGGAGAACTGTTACTCTTGAGTCTGGGTACACTGCCAGGTATCTTGATGTTCTGGCCAGTCTTTGTGACTTCAAAGATGATCTCCATCAAAAAGCAAAAGAAAGCGCTTGCTGGCTCGGTTGTCAAACTTCAGGGACACGATGTCATGGCTACCTGGAAAATTCTGGTCGCAATGGCTCTGGCTCCTGCTCTGTACATCTACTACACGGCGCTCGTAAGCTTTTGGCTCTACTACAACCGCGTTGGTGGACAGTACACTCAGACCCTACCCTGGTACCTACATGCGCGCACCTACATCCCTGACTTTGTCCCTCTTTGGCAGTTCTCCATTTTCTTTTTCGCACTCATGGTTTCTGTTTCTTTGGCTGCCCTTCGCATCGGCGAGATTGGCATGGACATTCTCAAGTCTCTTCCTCCCCTCTTTGTGGCTCTAAACCCAGCTTCCTCGGCTTCGCTCACTCAACTCCGCGCTCATCGTAATGCTCTTGCCAAACAAGTACGCGAGACCACCGACGCCATCGGCCCTGACGTCTTCCCTGGAATGGTCGCTCGCGGCATGGAACAATCTGAAGACGAACATGAAGGCGAAGCCTACCAGTCGCAGATGAAGAGGAGCTCTCTGGCCGATAAGGCCGATGAGAGAAGCAGAAGTCGTGGACCAGGTCCGTTCTGGTGGCCTGGAGCTCTGACTCCTGGTAGCAGATCGACTTCATTCTCCATGGAATCGCCTGCTCCTGAGAGAAGAGGCAGGGGTAGAAGCTTGCCGCAGCCGCAGGAAGATGAGGATGATAAGGAAAAGGTTGACGAGTACATTGACTACAGTTACTAGCGATTTTGCACAGTCTCCGATACATAATTGTCCAGCATCCCCAGTATATAACGAATAACCAAAGGTCCTCAACTCTTGTGTGCCAATCTCTCTATGCTTCGAGGAGGACGCGAGCGATGTTCCTGCTATGGACGAGCACATTGGAAAGGAAAAAGAGTGAAAAAATCCCCGAAAGCATTGCCGAAAGAGATAGACGGCTGCAGATACTCACACGTGGCCTGTTGCATAACAATCCATCAGTCAAATGCCTACGAATGGCTCGAGCAGACGAAATACGGTGGGATACATGATAGGTATGATTGGAGTTATATATTAATACCCGCCTCCCCCCCTCTTTTTAGGGTCAAGACGGGATGGTCTAGACACATGCGCCATTGTTTACCTCCCCCAAAACGTAAGCTATCTCTTCAACATAGGTAAACAAAACATCAGTGTGTGTTCCGTTTGGCTTGAGCTCATCTAGAAATCAAATAGGTTTTCCAACATGCCCATCTCAGTATTTCTCAGCCACCCACAACCGATCAATGACGAGCAAAAAGCTTCACCGCAAAATTCTGTTCATGGCTCTCAGAACGAGGATTCATGCCACGCACACTCGGGATAACTGATTACAGCGACTCAGCACCACTGGAAGCAGTTCGCGGCTTGATGTCTGAATGCAATGGCCTCATCTGTATCGCCTTCCGTCGCACGCATATAGAAAAGGGCACGCGATCGGTTCGCGTGGGCAGTCATTACAAAGACAAGCCTTTGAATGATCAATGGCTTACTTCGCCATGAGCTCAGATTGAGCCGGCGATGGCATATCAGATTGATCTTCCCATTTTGGTGTTAAGGGAGGCGGGTGTGCTTGATGATGGTGTGCTAGAGAAGGGAATTGTTGGGCTCTATATGCCGGAATTAGATCTGGGGGCTATGGGGGATAAGCATTATCTTGATTCTCAGGAATGGGCGCAGTTGGGCACACGATGGGAGAGGCATGTCAGGAACGTTGTTGATAATAAGAGTAGACCGCTGAGGCTGTATTGAGATTTCCTAGCATCAAGTCGCTCACGAGTTCAAAGCGGAGTCATATGATATTCTGGGCTGCTGCTGAAGAACCCTGAGTATACACTTGACGCATGGCGGAGCTGTGTGGGGGTATTTGTTGGCCAGTGACGCCACAAGACAGGGCATGCAGCATTGATGCACTCCTACAACGCTAGTAATCTCACGTGCATCTCCCAGCAAGTCCTCTTCTTGAGCGCATATCCAGGTTGTGTCAACAAATTTCTTTGTTCTCACCGTCGTTTCTGGCCTGTCTCGGACCACGATTCGTGCACGAGAAGCACATTTTCTAATCTTCTCTCTTCTTGTACAGTACAAGATAATGGTATAACCCTGGGTTGCCCTTTGTGACTGGAAACCATTCAGCATTGATGTTCTGGGCCTAGTGACTCTCCTTGGTTCAGAGGAAGTCAACGCATCCATCGGTCGGTTAGTTGCGAGTCGATGGTTTGAGTATATGCCATTACTANGCGGGTTCTGTGATCGCGGGTGATAGGTTCAAACCCAGATCCCCTCATTCCACCTCTACGACATCAGCAATGGCATCTACATCACCGATCTCTCTTTCTAGTTCACGAGGTGGATGCTCGCCCAGAAGTTTACAAAGCCTCGTAGCGTTGTCCATTGGGACATCGTCGAGAGACCGCGCGCAGGGTGGCTCTACCGTCTTATAGCATTCACCATCTCCTTCTGCTTCACTGGATTACTCGTGGTCATGCCGATCCTGTCAGAGGACTGGTACGGTCTTGTGAATGCTGTTGCGATAATCGTCTCGATAGCCGTTCGAACGTATATTGTTCAAACCAATCGTGACGCTATTGACGTCGCTGTCGAGGAGACGAGACTGCACTCTGAACTCGATCCATCTGCTCTCAAGCAGTGGCGCAATAGAGACAAGGCAGCAAGGTTGGCCGGGTCAGCTGAGAAGACGAAGCCGGGTGATCCATCCTGGAAACATCAACAAGCCAAGATCATGATAATTATGCCGGACTCCAAGGCGATAACGATGTTCGTACCTCAACGGCTGATCATTCCAGTCTTAGTACGAGATCCTGAGCCGAACATGATTTGGTTCTACCAGATGTTCCGTTGGCTTGGCTGGGCCGCTTTTGCCGTTCACATCGTCATCCTTGGTATGTTAAACCTGGCTAGTTAGATATACACCGTGGCATTGCTTGTCATTCCAACTGTACTCATCTGTTGGAAGGCCGGTTGTGATGACTCGAGATGGTTTTGCAACTGGGAGGGAGGTTCAGGAAGAGAAACACCACCATCGTATTCCTGTCGGATTGGATCACACTTAGAGGCGAGAGTGTCCGAATGGCCTGAGAATCTCGAGTTTGTGGAAGAGAATGGCACCTTGCGAGGGGAGGAAGAAGACAGCATCTTCAAGTGGGATTTGTTACCTCATGTTCGTAACAAGGACGATACGTGGCTTGTTAAGTACAACAAGAAAAAGAGCTTGATCCGAGACTCGCTACCAGATATGCNNGAGGCGCTCAAGAAGGTGTAAATGAGGAAGCAGCTTCTCACATTGAGAATCCACTAGAGTCCAGGGGCCCCCAAGGAAGGAATACCGGCTTGACTGCCAGTGGCATAACAGTTGTCATGGACAAGACGACGTGACTAAAACGCATGATGATCGGCAAGCGGCTGAAATGTATATCAGAGCATCCGATTCACCACTTTGGATGCATTAAGGAAGAAGGCGGACGGGAAGGCACGATTGAGGTGTCGAAGAACGTGCCAAGGCAAGCTGATGACTAAGCACAGCTCCGCCAAATCAGTAATCACTTCTCACTTGATCCTTTCCTTTCCAGCTCATCAACGCATTGCAGACAAATTTCTCTCGAAGCTTGTCCAATACAGGCTCTGCTGATTGAAGGTACATCGACCTGATTTTAGAGTAACATAACTTTGTGACACGTGAGCAATTTTGCCTTCTCCAACCCCAACACTCACGCATTGCAACCTCTGCTATAAGTATATGTCTGTTCCCAGTATGACTGGTCGCGGAAGAGCCGCCGCTTTGCCGGCAAGACCAGTTCCGCCTGCAGACCAAACTCTTACAACCCGTCCTGTTCCACGACGCCGCAAATTCAGCCCGCGATCGTTTGGACCTGGCGCTGCCAGCGACAGTCGCGATCGTGTTCATTCGATTCGCGACCTTTTGTCTTCGGCAGACGAGACAACTTATATACCCACACGCACGCATGGGTTGACGGTAACGAGCTATTCACCCAATGGTGACGATGTGCGTCATCTACTCAAGGACTGCGCGGATTGGGAGTCGGTGAGTTTTCGCTCTGACGAAAGAATGCCACCACCTGATCCTACTTGGGGTTTTGTATTGTTCGTCACCGCATATGACGACTTGTCTCAAGAGCGGCCACCGCAAGCTGTTGAGAATTGGACTCGTGTGCAGGAGCGCAAGCTTGAGAACGGGTACACACTACCTGTATTCGCGACAGAGGCGTGGCAGCGTTTCAAGCTGGACATTATCGAAGATCAAGAAGCGCTTGACGGAGCTTCGTATGACCGTGTTCGTGCTGAATTCCGCGCATTGGTGCGAGACAAAGAGCTCTCAGACGATGAGGATCAGTTTCTACCCCCGGCACGAAACCAGGCGTGCATGGTCCTTGATGCGGCTGCAATCACGATGCTGGCTGGACTCAAGTTTCCTGAGGAATTGAAAGACGACCAGACAGAATTCGAAGACAAGAAGATCAAAGTAGTTGATGTCCAATGGAACAGACCGCAAAGTACAACAAGCAGCTACAGGGGAACAGGTCAACTGTCTATTACCGCTCTCGCACGATTCTATCATCTTCTCACGTCAGGTCCGGAAGGCGGGTACATGGAAGAAATGCATCCTCTTGACGGAGTGCCATAACACATATCGTGGACACTCTTTATTTGCCATTGATACCTTGGAGAATGTCTAGAGTCGACTCGACATACAAATCTATCCTCCTTGCATCGTCTTCTCTAGACTGGACCTTGACCATTGCAGCTAAAGCCATCCACATTGAAGACCTGTCTCACGGCATACGCTACGGACCCACCACTGCAAAAGACGGACTGATTGAAAGTAAAGGTAGTGCCGCCTCCTTGAGGGTCCTGGTAACCGAAGTTTGTGACTGCAGCACAACCACCTTCGCCTTGCAAGACAACCTGGAAATTTTGACCATAGACAGTCGCGTCGCAACCGCCCTCGATGCCGCTGAGATTCACAGTCCTTGGATGGATAAGAATGCGGCCATTAAGAGATTAAGATTTATCTGCTTACCAGGCGAAAAACAGAACGTCGTTTGTCGCTTTACAGAAGTCTGCTCGGACCAAGACGGGAGCAATCACTGCTGCAAGGAGAACAAGTGATTCGAACATCGTGAGTGGAATTTGTGTCTTAGCTTTGGTTGCTGATTGACGAAGTTGATTCAGGGGTGCGATGACAGGCTCTTTGATGATGGTGATCCTTGGTCTATATACCGTTGGGTCTCTCTTCTAGTTCAGCTGTTATAAAAAGAACCTCTCCATGTTGCTTGCGTATTCTCTGGACGACCAACATTACCGGTCAGTGTGCTTGCGTATGTTCTTGAGTTGCCAACCCACGCAGTGGCAATCTCCACCATGACCATGTACAACAGCGGCTCAGCCACCAAAACAACCACCATAACCACTTCAATCGCAACCGACATCACGACTTTCGCACCAAGCACCGATACCACGAGCTTGAGCTTCGTCTTCACCGTCAATTTTGCGACCATGAGTCCCAGCGACATCATGTCTGTATATAGCAGCGCTACTTCCAGTGTTATGGACGACATGATGAGTTACATGAGCACTGTCATGTCTTCTGCCATGAGGAAGTGCAGTGATTACTTGACATATGCGGATTATTATGTCAGTGTTAATGCGGCATCGGCTACTGGTAAGACCAGTGGCAATGCCAGTGGCAAGACGACAAAGTCTAAGGCTACCAAGACTGCAAAGTCTTCTTCGGCAAAGACTACCTCGCCAAAGACTACCTCGCCAAAGACTACCTCGCCAAAGACTACCTCGCCAAAGACTACCTCGCCAAAGACTACCTCGCCAAAGACTACCTCGCCAAAGACTACCTCGCCAAAGACCAGCCAAGCTGTCGAATCCGCTGCTGCCACCAGTTCTTAGACTCGGCGACAATGAGCACGTGTTGAGGAGGAAAGTGGATATGGGAATTTGGATTAGGTCAGAGGCACATGAACTTGGTCACAATGCTCAGGGGTTTGGGATAGCTAGTTTTGCAATAATTTGACCAGCTACAACATCGTGTCTGTCTTTTGTCCATGCGTAATGAGTGCCCGGAATCCCGTTATGAAACTGTCCATTCGATATCTAGCCCTTTCGTAACTTGACGCAGAATAAAGAATGCAAGCTCGCCCCATGGTGATTTCATGAACGCAGTTTCCACTTCATCTGCATCTTTCCAAGCTTGATCTGATTCACTGCCTCTGACTGCGACTGATAGATAGTTCTGTACTGCTTGCTCATTCTCTCCGAGCACGCAAAGCATGCCTGTGTATTTGAACACCAGGACATTGAGAATTAGACGACAGGTACGGCCGTTGCCATCCACAAAAGGATGAATGTTGACGAACTTGTGGCAGTATTTTGCTGCCAATACATAAGAGTCGATATGGCCGGCTTGTTCTGCTGCAACAATGTCGGCTGAGAGGTCTGAGATGGAGGTACGCATTCCTTCAGGGACGTGCTCAGGAGCTGTGAATATGGTGAAGCCAGCGTGGACTGGAGATGTACGGTACATGCCGCCGTAGTCTTTGTAGCTATCAGATGCAGAGTCAACCTTACGCGTTAAGATCTTGTGGGCTTGAAGTATTATCTGCTCTGACAAGGGCTCTTCACAGAGAACGAGAAGTTCACTCTGAATCTGCCTGAAGGTGAATCCACTACTCGCGTTGGTTCTCCACAGGCAATATGTGCCTCTGGAGCCATCGGAGACCGTTTCTCAATGGCTATATCTGGCTCCGTCAGTACTGCCGACTCAGAATTCTTTCGAATTCTCGTTTTTAGTGAGGGAGGTCTTCCTGCCTTTCTTTTGCACGCATGTGTCTCGTCGTTTGTTTGTAGGATCAAAGGGATAACAACACAGCTTTCATCTTCACTAGTCCCAACACATTTCCAGTCTCGCTGTTCAAGCAGTCATGTCCCCTATTGCTCCTTCTCCTTTACTTAATCTAGCTTCCTACTTTCTCAACACACCAATCAACCATCTCAGCATGGAGATAGACACTGAATTAGATGGCGCTTCGGTCAGCATGACAAACTCACCCACACAAGGTACACCAGCATGTTCCCCCTTCGTTCGTCATGTACTAACACGTAACAAGATTCGGCCTTCCTGCGCCTGCCACTCGAGATCCGCCACAAAGTCTACGATCACTTCATCCATCTCAAGAGCTCCACGACCATGTCCTTAGAGATCACCTTCTACCCAGCCAGCGGTCTTGATCCCGTGACAAACATCCTCGGTGTTTCTCAGCAGATCCGCTCTGAAGTGCAGGACTTGATTGCCGCTGTCACTACATTCCACATCAAGGCCGGCGTGTTCAAGGACCTCACGCTCATGTCCTACTCCACCGCTCTCAAGATCAGCAGAATCAACCACGAGATAGCTCGTGAAGAAAGACTCGCCTCTATGATGAGAACCCGTGACATTATTCGGGGTGCATCAAGATCTGCCCCTTCTAGAAGCGGAGATGACTCGAGGGCACATAAAGCAAGAACCGCTCAGCACATCAAGGATTCTATCAAGGACAAGGAGGTACCACGCCAATTCAAGTTCTATAGAGTCCGCATCTCCATCCTCAGCACCTATGGAACAGTCAAAGTCATCGTCGGGATTGACTTCAGAAAGAAGGAAGTCTGTGTCTCCAAACCTGATCCTCTTCGAGGCGCCTTGCGCGACTGGGAACATGCTCGCTCCCTCAAAGGAGCTTTCACCAAGGTGGTGCAAGAATTCGTCAAGGAAGAAGGTTTCAATGGTATCACGGTGCAAGACGTGTCTCAATTTTTGGGACAAATTGTCATGCCCGACCCCAACGGCTACTCACCTGGTTGCCCATCCGGTTTCTGGACATCGCAGGAAATGTTCACTGAGCCCAAAGACCTTCAATGTGACGAGCTGAAGGAGGACGCAGGTCACGCTTTGACCTCGAACGAAAGTCTTCTTGCCGTTCGCCCTCGTTTGGGTCTGGTGAGATCTGCTCTGGAACGCGTGAGATACGGCTTTGTTATATGGTTGCCTGTCTTGCCATCTCCTTACCACCAAGCTATGGCCATGGATGGCAATGAGGAAGAGGAAGAGGAAGGATACGATATGTGATTGGAGACAACCAGACATGATGAGCACACATCAATGGAGTTGGCTACATGTAAGATAAAATATTGCACAGAACTTGAGTTTACCACACATTCCATGAGGCACTCTCAAAGACATTCTAGTCAACAGGTTTGCTGTCTCAGTGTTGCAGATTATGCCCCCACTATCCCTGCATTTTTCTTTGTTGGTGGGCTGGAGCTGTGAGGAGCTACCGTTTGTTATTCTCTCCACAACCGCTCTGCTCATATATCGTTGCCTTTCTCGCCACTTTACTTTCCTCATCCAAAGATCGATCCACGTTCTGCGAGTATGGATTCTCCAAACAATACCTCTACAGCCACAGATGCTCCCAACAAGGTAGACGATGTCAAGATCCAAGGTACACCATATCCGCCACCCACATCCAGTCCAGATACTGACTATATCGCAGACTCCGCCAACCCTTCTGGTCCCATCGATCCCGCCGACCCTGATTTCCTCAATCTCGCTGTCGAAGAGCGCAACAAGATCTACTATCAGCTCCTCGACCCTAAGGGCACCAATACTCTGAGCATTGAGCCTCCAAACTCTCTCAAAGCCATCAACAAGCTTCTCAGTATCTCTCCACAAGTCCGCGCTGAAGTCACCACTCTAATCGCCGCTGAGACCAAGGCTCGTGTCCAAGCTGGTCTCTACTACGACCTGAAGCTTGAACCTCACACCGTCGCGATCCCCAGCAAGTCCAAGAAGAAGAAGTCAAAGAAGTCAAAGAAGCAGAACACGACCACCACCGAGCTCTCCGACGACCTCAAGTTCTGGAAGATGGACATCATTGTCTTCACCGCCCAAGGTATAGTCAGAGTCAAGGCAGAGATGGACTTCAAGGACAAGACTGTCAAGGTCAGCCTTCCTGGCTTCGAGGACGGTATGGGCATGTTCAGCTCCAACTACTGCGACTACCTCTTTGGAGATCTCGAAGATGCCTTTCTCAAGCCCTTGAAGACCTTTACCGACAAGGATGGCTTTGATGGCTTCGTGCTCAAGAACATTCTTGACTTGCTGCACAAGATTGAGATGCCTTGCCCGGAGTACTTCTGGGATGGTGACGAGCTGTTCGGTGAGGACTATGACGAATGGGACGAGGAAGATGATTGGGATGAGTACGATGACTATGAAGATGAGGGAGTGGGCGAAGGCTATGATGACTTCGGCGAGGAGAACGAGGATGGATACAGTGACGAGGAAGACTACTCTGATGGGGAAGGAGGCGAAGATGAGGAGGCTGGTGAGGATGATGATGGACAGTCTCTCAAGACTGATGGCAAGGTTGAAGTCAACGCTGAAGATGCCAAAGCCGAGGCTGTCAAGACTGCGGACATCTAGGCCGAGGACGTCAAGGCTGGCGAGAGGGTCAAGGATGAAGCATCCAGCAACCCCGGTGTTTAGATAGTAGAACGTAGCGTCAGAGCTGGAAGGCTTCGCGAGAAGGAAGTGGCGATTGACAACTAATTACATCACAATCAATTCCTGCGAGTCGAGTGGGTGAGTCGCTCTTTCCTTTCATCTCCACGCTTGATCACACCAAGATCTGCGCATGCTATAACCAAAGTTGGAGCATTCGACTTCTCTTCGCTTTGCAACTCGACGCTGATGATTTCTTAGATTCTCCCTTCTTTCGCTTGCCCNTCGAACTCCGATTCATGATCTACGACTACGTCTTCGAAGAGAGAATTGAAAGGAGAGGCAAAAGTAAACCGCGCTCAAATCTTGACCCTCTTATCTGTCTCCTTCACACTTCTCGGCAGATTCGTGTCGAAGTCCAAGCACTGGTCGCTGAGAGTAGACTTGAGGTCTACACTTCTGTATCACTAGACGGACTGAATCTACAGCCCTGGCATTCGGGTTCTATTACTCACGGAGTCAGAGAGATTGGTACGAAGACACTGGTACCTTGGATCTGGTGGCACTTTGGAACCAATGCACCCTTGAGGCTCAAATTTTGGAGGGTCCTACTGTTCTTCTCTCAAGACAGAGCCCAGGGTACCGTCGTTGCCGAGATCGATCTGAGAAGAAGGGTTGTACGTATTTTGGGCGAGAGCGAACTGGACAAAGGCCGCAATCATTATGCATGGGGAGTGGAGCCGCCGAGTGATCGTGAACACCCCGCTCACCTCTTCCAAGAGCCTTTGACAACGGCAGTGCAATCAATTACAGAGAAGAAAGAGCTTGGCGGTTCCACATTCGGAGATATATGTCATCTACTGGAGCAAGTGAAGATGCCTGATCGGGAGCACTTCGGTGACTGGGAAGGTTTGTGCGATGGTCCATTCCAGTGATACGAAATCAGAAGGTGGTGAGTGATACACAATTGAGGTACCGGGATGAACAATGGTATGAGTCGTGGTATGGCTGTACATGACTCCTTTTTCACAAACTTCTGAACAGCAAATATGACTTCATCACGAAGATGAGAAAGCTGAGGAGAGAACCATCGCTACTGGTTACATTTGCTTTGTACATAGTGCATAGCTACCCTCAAGATGGCTACCAATGCCTACCCTGGCACCTTCTCCGCAACCTTTACTTTGAAGTCATTATCTATGCTTGTAGGAATCAGAGATGTTGGTCCAGATCGGTTCGTCAATGCGCAGCTAGTGATATTCCCGGCCCAGACGTCTCGGCATCTTGATCAAGCACTCGTGCCTTACCAACTAGGTAAGAACGTTGCTGCAGATCTCCGTATGCGGTATACGTTGTTGTGATCGACAGGAACGTCCGTTGGCTCGCCACCTACTTGCCTTTGGTGCATATCACAACTAGCAGATCTATGCAGAGTAGACATTCATCTAGCAAGTACGAGAAGTCACGGAGCAGAATGGAAGAGAAAACATCGAATCAGGCAGTATAACGATGTTGGTATTTCCATCTAATTCTTCGTAAAGAACCAGACACTCTATCTAATTACATAAGCTTTGCCGCCTCTAAGGAACAGCAATCAAGAAAGGACATCTCAAACCAGTTGAAATATCTCTCCTTGACATACTTTCCTCCAAACACTGCAAGCAGTGACTGTCCACCTCCATTAAACCCCATCCTCCACAAATAGAAATCCCCTTCTGACGAAGAAGAAAAAGAAAAGAAAAAGTTGTTCCCATCCAAAAGGGCATCCAAGGCATCAATCCCTAGTAATTTTGTCGTGCGTTGTCTCACACAAAGAAAGCGTTCCCACTTTCCCAACTCGTTCCTTCGAAGCATCAAGAACGAGGGAAAGCAAGAAAAGAGAAGAAGAAGAAAAGAAGCAACTTCTTAAACAGAAGGAGTGGCCTCAGCAGGAACCTCAACAGTAACAGTTCTGCGAACCTTTCTGCGCTTCTTGCAGGCCGAAGCAGTGGAAGTGGCTGCAGCCTTCGAAGTGCTGGTAGTAACTTTGGCGGCAGTGGATGCAGTGGTTCCGGTCGAGGCGAGCAGACACTTGCACGATTTTGTGATTTGGTTGGCGCTGACTCCGGGGATGGCTGAGCGTGTGCGAGGACTGTTTGATGCATTATTAGTAAAATGAACAGAGTGGGGAGTGGAGGAGAGAACTTACATCAAGCCCCACCATTTGCAGTAGGATTGGAAGTTTTTGGGTGCCTCGTTCTTGATCAGGTTGATGTCTGAAGCGGCGCAGGTGTTTGATCCGGTAGAAGGCACGGAAGTGGGGTTTGATTGTTTGTTCCACTCGGCCAGGAGACACGAGCATGCACCGGTCAACTTGGCGGCAGTCAATGTGGGCAGAGGAGATGAATCGCGAGATNNCTGGATTCGTTGTTAGCAATGCGTTTGAGAAAGGTGGTGAGGCTGGGCAGAAGGAACATACTGAGCATTGTACATCTGGCAGAAGACATTGTAGTGGTTGATGCGGTCCTTGACGGCTTGCATGTCCGACTTCCAGCATGTGGCGCGGGTCTCGAGATTGACAAAGGTGTCGGCGGTATCAAGGGCAGAGACATTAATGACCGAGCCATATACCGAAGAGGCTGCCAGAGCGACAAAGGTGAGTGCTGAAAACTTCATCTTGTGTTGTTGTTGTCTCTTGATATCCTGATCAAGATAGGTATGTTTCTTTTGTCCTTCCTGAAGGTTGTTTGGATTTCTTTGTGTGTGAAGAGCTTAGATGTTTTTGGATGTGGATGAGAAGGAAAAAGGTAGTAGAGGGGAGTTGGTGGCACTTGTTATATAGCAGTCTCTCTCGATACGGCCAAGGGAATAAAAGAGGCTTGGGTCGTTGTGACCGTTGAGACCGTTCGGCGCATGTTGCCCTGCGGTTGTGTCCCTCAGCCATCTTGGTTACTGCTTGCCTATATTGAACGTCTTTTGATACGAGATGGAAGCCTGGAAGTGAGTAACTCGACCATTCTTGCGGGTCAAGCTGTGACAGATGACTACCGCCTTACTATACTGATTTTTGAGCAATGCGAGTACCTACCTATTAATCTTGATGCCGAAAGAACCTTTTCCTTCAAGATTAAAGGACATGGATTACCACGACGGTTATACAAAAAAGCCGTTGTCTGCCAACGGGACCATCTTATGAATATTGCCAAGACCCAGCGAAACCACGCAGTGCCAGCCCGCACCGTTAGCATCAACCACCGAGACAACAGCATACACCTCGCCAGAAAGAGGCGAACACTTTATCAAAGACGTTGCCTTGCAGTGGCGGGCATACCTCTTGAATCATGATGCCGATTTTGCCAGTTTGAGTTGCAAGGAGAGATTGTTGATTGTGATAGGCGTGCAAAGGCAGAAAACCGTTCGTACGGCAGTCGGGGAGAGGGGCAGAGAACTTCGTGTTGTTCATCTCCTTTTTCCGAACTCAAAGCCAAGACGAACGTTCTCGAATGATGTTTTCTTGGATGTTGGGCAGGTCGAGTTTAGCACGGCAACCAATGTGATGATGGTGATGTGGTCGATTTTCAAGTGTCAGTGACCTGCGACGACTTTGGCCTGAGTGGAGCTGCAAAATTCTCAAAGTGCTCTATTATTGTGGAGCTCACGGCATCGTATAATGCACTGACCTTGTTTTGAGAGAGCTCTCCTGAGACAACTTTGATATGGACCTGGTCAGCAATGGAGACAAGGTACGAAAGGATGTGATGTCACAAACCCCACGAGGGACGAAGGGTGGCTGGGAAACGGGTCTCGGATGGCTTCGAATGACATCGATCACCATCTAGCGTTCTCAATGTTTGGACTGTGTGTTAACAACAGCGCATGTGAAGCTGTCAGGGTTGTCCCCTCGACTAGCATCAAATTGAACATCAACGAGATATCTCTACCACGCAGATGTTTTCCTGACTTGATATGTATGCATAGTTTTCTTTGATGTACAATGTGATGTACTTGAGGCTTATAAGTACTCACGATCGATATTGTGGTTGCTACGTCGAGTTTCATGATTTCGATCCAGGCTTACCAGAATCCCCATCCACATCCATGCACTACAAGACCAGAAATTCGGCACCAGGAAGAGAAACAGAAAGTCAAATTCAAAGCAACGAAACGAAGTGCAATGTTTTCTTGCTATGTATCGCAAGGATGGGATTTAGCGAAAGAAAAAGTCGCGTACATCTGCAACAACGTGTCAGTAAAGCACAAGTGAGCAGAAGCCACACTTTTGAGGCTCAAATACCTAGCCACCACTGCCACCGGGTCAATGCGCCGCGCAGACGACATGCCTTGGACGACATGCCCCGATTACTTAGGGACTTAAGCTGGACTTCGACAAAATTTCAAGTATACCTTTACCTATGAGTCGGACGCAGACAATTCACGACCGAATGTAACATGGACACACCGCAAGGATGGAGGAACATCGACGTGGGTCAAACGATCATACGTTCGGGTATGATACCGCGAAACGACAAGACTTGAACAACCAGGAGACAGCAAGAAAGTGAGCGACGAGAACAAAACATCACATTGGCAAAGCGAAGCAAGATTTAGTGAAAATAGGAAACTAGGATTATTTTCGAGGAGCTATGTATATTACAGGACTGCTGTGAACCCCCTAGCGCTGAAAGGAACATCATAATCGTGAAAGAGGTCGTGAAAAGACGATCATCTCAAAGTCAAAGAAGTGGTGGTATCATTGGGAACAGGTGGGCGAGACGCTTAGTCCATCATGCCCTTCTTGCCGTCGTGGTCGGAGTCCTTCATGGGGTTGAGCTTGTCCATGAGAGGGNNCTTACCGGTCTTGGAGTCAATCTCGGACTCGCGACCGTAGCCAGTGCCAGTGGTACCGGTGGTGGAGTGGTGGTGGGAACCGTGCTTGAGGTCCTGCTCACCCTCGCGGACACGCTCACCGAGGGTCTCGCGGCCAGTGGTGTTGGTGTTACCGTAGGTGTTAGAGCCGGTGAGGCCTGAGCCAGTGCCGGTCAAGCCAGCGCCGGTGAGACCGGTGCCGGTATGGTGGCCGTGGGTGCCAGTGTGGGTGGAAGTGTGGGCACCGCCAACAGTGCGGGGCTCACCCTCAAAGCCATCGTAACGCTCCTCGCGGCCAGTCAGGACACCACCCTGCTTCTTGAAGTCGGCCATGGAGACAGCAGGCAGAGCAGAGGCGCTGTGGTGCTGGGCGGCGTTGTGGTGAACCTCGTGGATGGGGACGGTGGTGTGGACAACGTGAGGCTCGATGGTCTCCTTGTTGACGACGGGCTGGATGGTCTCGTGGACGTGGTGGTGGATGTGCTCACCGCCGATGGTGGGGGCAATCGACTTGGAGTGGACAGCCTCAACCTCGGTGCGCTGGTCTCTAAACTGAGCAGCCTCAGCGGCGAGACGCTCCTTTACCTGAGAGTCGTTGCCGTGCTCGAACGAACGGTGCTCCACAGCGGCAAGGTTGTGGTGGTGCTGCTCGGGAAGAACCTCACGGTCCTTGATGGGCTGGATCGAGGTGTGGTAGTGGTCCTGGTGAACCTCCTTGTCGATAGCAGTCTGGATCTGCTCGTGCTGCTGGAGCTGATGGCTCTCGTGGGTGACAGCGGGAGCGACCTTCTCGTGGACAGTGGTGTCGTGGTGTCCCGACTTGGACCTGAGGGGTGTGTGAGCAAACGTTTGATGGAGGTACAGAGAGAGGCAGCAAGATGCTTACATGAATTCCTTAACGGCGGCCTTGGCTGAGTCCATTGTGATTGATGTGATGTATGTTAATGGGAAAGGGTTGTAGTGAAGATGGGATGGAGTTGTTTGGATGAAGATGTGTTGATGAGAAGAAGAAGGAGGATAAAGACGCGTCGACGTCTCTTTTTGTAAGGTTGAGGAGTGAAGGAGCTCTCGGCTGTGTTGACATCATCCGTGTCGTTTTGCAAGGCAGTAACCAAAAGTGACGATTAGGCTAGCCTGCCCTGCTCCAGCAGCTTGCAGCTCACTTCCACAACGGTGGCTAAAACGACATGGAGCCACAGCATGTGATCATGCTGGCGTAGACCTCGTATGTACCGTTGGCGAGCAGCCACAGTGTGGAGTGGATTCCTCACAAGAGTGGTTGGTGATCTCATAGTTAGCTGTCATGTCTTGACTCTCAGACCTGTTCTTGCACCGGCCTTCTCCAGCGACTTACCTACGAGCGCCTGCGACCCGGAGCAGCCGAACCACACCAGTTTCGATTTGGTTTACCTCGTGGCGGTGCGACCCCGCTATATCCCGCGGATGGCCAAGGGAATCGATGGGTATGTGTGCAGTTGTAGCATAGGGCTGCATAACATGACGCTGGAGNCACCGACGTTGAAAGCTCGTGGCACACTACCCATATCCTGCACTGATTACTACACTGGGCATATCCATAGGGTCGCAAAGTCTCACAATGTCGGTCCCNTCGGATGCTCGAGGAAAACATGTAGTGGTCTGAGAAAAGCATAATCTNCATACGTGTACATTTTTAGGGGCCCTTAAGCAAACAGCCTGGGTCTTGATCGACGCGCCCAGTTATGCAATGATCGGCCATGGAAGCCAATAGTTCNNAATTGCGACGTCTTCTGTCTAGAACACGCCCGTTCGCTTTGAGAGCATTTTCTTGATTGCGCCTGCTCGGTTTGGAAAACACAACCATCCNATATCGACGCATTCAGGACATGCTCGCTACAAGACACCAACCATTGGCTGCATCTGCCACCGCATCCTCTCTGAGCCAGCCAGACGCAAAGCTCGGATCGTGATTGCGTATCAGCATCGAAGCTTTGACGGCCCGTGAATTAAGAACGGCCGGGAAATGCACCAGGCGCGCAAATCATCGATCCTGAAGCAAGATGTGGCGGAAGAAGTGAGAGCACGGAGCTCATGTTTTCGCGAGCATTGCAAGTGCCCCGCAGTTTGCGTCGTTGTCGACGTCACGCAGCATCATCGAGACAGCTCCAAAATTTTGGAGCTTCGAAAGTTCAACAGCTTTCCTGCATGAACAGGGGAATACTGAACGTTAACAGCACGCGTATCCCGGGGTGATGGTCGCACGGTGGAAGGGATGCAGGGCTTGAGCTCTCAGGCAAGAAAAGAGGCGCCTGTGCAACAGAAACCAGGGCTGCAGCAAGCGTCTAGATTGTTGCCAGGACTCGTTGGAGAGCTCCAGATAGCTCCAAAACGGACTCGGTTGTGTCATAAGAACGTAGCTACATAGACAGAAGGAGTGCAAGCAACACCATCGTAGCCGACGATGGCACGGGCAGCGACGGGCGGGTTAGCGCGTGGCGTGAGTTTCTCTATTATTGAGAAAGGCATAATATGACGTTGGGCGAAACACAGCTCGTACGGCAGTGACATCGCCATCCGCCAGCATCCTACAGCACAGCACAGCACCCTACGCAGCTGCCAGCCATATTGATTCCCATTCTCCCTCGACCCTCTAGTTGGCCAGTTGCTCCCCGCACGCCTCGCGATAACCGCCTGTCAAAGCAATGCCGATTCGTGAAAAGATCAAGAGCTTGTTGCACAGGCACGATGATGAGACAACTCCTCCAAGCAGCCCCAGTCGCAAGTCTCGCTATGAAGACTCCCAGCAAGGAGTGAGTCCTCAACAGGGCCAGAGGCCAATTTCAGGAATGGGTACGAGCTCTTGTTCATTTGTGATGAAAATTGGACAGAGACGGCTGACTTTTGGTGNNACAGATCAGCCTTCGCAAGCGTCGCCTGCAAGATCCCGGTCCAAGCTGCGAAGGTCGCTTGATCGCAAGTCTGCCCCTGTCGCAGACGACTCAATTGCCAGAAGAAGTCTCGACAGCAAGCGCAAGAGTCTTGACCAGCGTGCAATTAATGCTGGCGAGGCACCCCAAGTCCCAGCAGTTCCCAGCACTTACAGAGATGAGGCAATCGCCCGTCCGAGAGTCTCGCAGGACGCCGAAATAATGGCGGCCAAGGAGAAAGCTCGCAAAAGTTCGAACGTGATCAATTTCAATCACAACAACACTGCCTCTCAACCACTTTCTGGCAAAACTGATAGGTATTCAGAAGACGTTGCTGATTGGAATATCATGAACGCTGAGAAACCCAGTCCCACTCACGCTCCAGCACCGCTGAATGTCATGAAATCGTCCACCAACAGATCGCGACGGTCTTCGACGTCTTCATACTCCACAGCACCCACGCCCGGAATTACTCAATCTGTTTCACGTAAGGCTGTCGGCTCCGAGACTGTTAACGATGTCAATGGCAGAAGGGGCAGTGTCGCGAGCACCAAGCAGAGATCGCGCCTTAGCATGGACAAGCCTCTGCCCGCTCCACCAAAGCAAACTGCTCTCAGCGACGACCCAGCTTTCGGGCAGTTCCTTCCCAGAGACCACAACTACCTTGTCAAAGATGCTCCTGCTGCTCCTGTGCTTGAAGGTGTTGTGAATCTCGAGAACACGATTGACACTGACGTGACCGAGACTTGGGCTCNNCCGGTAAGTTCAGAGTCAGTTTCTCAAACGAATGCCATCTACTGACTCTCCATAGCTGTTGTCCACGAGACTGTTATGCCAGAGGTCCACCACATCCGCGAAGAAGTCATTACTCGCGAAATCCATAACCACGACGTCTACCACCGCATCCTTCCCATCATCGACATTGAAGTCCTCCCAGCAAGACACTTTGTACCCACCGGAAATGGCGACGAATTGATGGAAATCTCTGCGGACGAGATTCCTGGTAGAACTGGCTACAACCAGCAGTGGTTCGTTGGTGAGATGCTGTCCAAGCTCCCCAAAGACTCCAACTTCTTCAGAGAGCCACTCCGATTCACAGCCAGAGAGTTCCCGGGAACCGAAGGCGACTACAAGGAATACGTGCGCAACGGCACTCCTACAACAGAGACAACTTGGGTACATCCACCGGTGCTCGACGACATGATGTATCTTGCTGGACAGACGCAGCCATTCCACTTTGGGTGCGAGAACCCCGCAGACAACGGTCTTCGAATTCGCGCGCCTAACGGGCCAGTCGCTGGATCGTCGCGCTACCACAAGGTGCAGCTTGAGCGCAGAGTAGAGGCAGTTGAGCCACCAACAGAGTCTATGAGGAACCTGTCGGTAGGTGACTATCTCCAGGCTGTTCCCTCTGGCGAAGCGACGGGCCACGAGGCATTGACGCCTCATGCAAAGTAGCGCTGAAGGGAGAGGCGGATGTGTAAGATCAGGGAGTTATGAGACTACGAGGCATGGACTTTCAATTATTGTGACAGCGAAGAGCGAGGCGTTTGCAGGAGCAGAAGAAAAAGGAGATACGTAATGTGTAGACAACCAAGCATACCTACCAATCCAGCTCATGGGATTATTGCTGAAGCTCCTCACGTCTGCTTGACCTTTCCGTCGCGTGTTTTCCCTTGTGATTTTGGATCGGACAAAAGCGGCTAGCGTCGGAGGTTACAGCTCCGAACGACAGGTCTCTCCGCATGCCGATCTGGACCTCGGTGGGGAAACTGGCGGACGCCTTGGCGGATCGAGGGTCGCTCGGGACCGGGGCATTCGACGACGAGATGCCTCGACACCGTCTGTACATGCCAGAGTAGTGGACATGGCTCGTAAGGCGCGCCAGAGGATCAGCTATGTGCTCCCTCTCACGAACTCAGCTGGAGGTCATCGTCTCGGCGTCAACGGGCTCGCCGTAGACAGCGACAACTCGATCCTGTACGTACCTGACCCACCAGCTGCCCACGCCTGTCACTGACGCTCTATCCGCACAGCTNACTCCGGAGGACGCGATGGAGTCATCTGCGCGTGGGACCTCAACTTCGAGGTCAACCACAAGTCGGACCAGATCACGGCTATCGACGCGAAGCCTCCCNCGTCACCCGCCTCGACCCTGCACAACCAAGTCCAGGCGCATACCCACTGGATCAGCGACCTCGTCCTCGCCCAGTCCAACCAAGCCTTGGTGTCGGCTTCCTCCGATATCAGTGTCAAAGTATGGCGCCCCGCTGCTACCGACTCGATGCCTCCCCAGACAATTGGTCTGCACAGCGACTACGTCAAGGTGCTGGCATCTCCTTCCTCTGACGCGTCGTGGGTTGCCAGTGGAGGCCTCGACCGTCGCATTCGTCTCTGGGACTTGAACGGCGCAGGACAAACACTCAGCATCGACGTCAGCGAGGATGAGAGCCTGACAGGCTTGAGCAAAGAGAAGGCGAGCGTCTACGCTCTGAAGGCTACACACTCCATCCTTGCTAGCGGAGGTCCAGACAGCAATGTACGCATCTGGGACCCGCGCTCGGGCAAGCGCATCACAAAGTTCGTCGGTCACACTGACATTGTGCGCGACATCTTGATCAGTCAAGATGGCACGACTGTCATGTCTGCCTGTTCGGACCAGACGGTCAAGGTGTGGAGCGTTACTGCTGGTCGCTGCACAAACACTCTGACCATGCACGATGCCAGTGTCTGGTCTCTATGGTCCGACCACCCAGACCTCTCTGTCTTCTACTCTTCTGATAAGAGCGGCATGGTAGCAAAGACCGACACCAGAGGCTGCGGTGAAGAGTTGGAAGAGGGCTTGAGTGTTGCCATCTGTCAGGAAGGCACTGCTGTACACAAGCTCGCCGTTGCAGGTGACTACATCTGGACTGCCACTCCTCGTCCTACCATCAACAGATGGGCCGATGTCAACATCGATGGTGCCGAGATTGACCTGCCTGACACTTACAAACAGCAGCGCTTCAGCTTGGCCACCTCCCGTTCAAGAATCCCCAGTCCGCCCGTCAACTCGTCCTCTGACCGACTCGCCTCACCGCCACAACTCGCCTCTCCTACCTCTCNNCCCTCCCCTCCATCAGGCAAACGCCTCCCTTTGAAGCACGTCCTCAGGCTGAGCAACGCCGCCTATTTCCCAAGACCCGTCGCACGAGAGAATGGTACAGACGCCGAAAATGACCAAGTCGAGCACACGCACCCCTTGAGGAACACGCCCGACTTTGCTATCGAAGGGCAGAACGGTTTGGTCAAACACATCATGCTCAACGACCGCAAGCGTGTTTTGACCCAAGATACTGCTGGCGAAGTCTTGTTGTGGGATCTGCTCAAGTGTGCACCCATCAAGTCATTTGGCAAANAGCATTTGGAAGATGTCCAGCCTGAGGTCAGCACAGTCGAGACGGTGCCTAACTGGTGCTCTGTCGACACGCGTACTGGAACACTGGCCATCACCTTGGAAGAGCACACAGCCTTTGATGCCGAGATGTACGCAGACGAGCTGGACATTGACCAGAATATCGACTTCAAGGAGGATCAGCGCATCAACCTTGGCAAGTGGATCCTTCGTTATCTATTTGCAAACTTGATCAGCGAGGAAATCTCCAGAGACTCGCAATATCGAAGACACTTGTTGGAGCAAGCGCAAAAGCAAAAGCTAGAGCGTGAAAATGCCCCCACCAGTATTCAGATGCCTCCTGGTATGACAGACGGCTGGAAGACCGATCCCTCAGCCCCTCTGTCCACCAATACATTGAGACCGACCAACACCAATACCATTGGCTTTGCGACCCCTGGCTTGTCTATTACAGATACAGCATCGTCTTACGTCGGATCTCCAACTTTGACAAGAGATGGCTTCATCACCGAAGAGGACGAACGCACACAAGACAGATCGTCAATAGGTGGTGACTACTTTTCCAGCAACTCGATCACGGCAAACTCCACGAACGTGAACAGCGAGAATAAGCTGGTACCTCAAACTCCCACAGAAGCCGTCACAACACCAGCCCCAGAGGACGCCTCGACTGCCGAATCAAACGATACACCTTCGAAATTCGGCAAGCGTCTTCGCATGAACATGTCTTTCAACATGAAAAAGCTCGGCAAAGCTCCTACAAACGACAAGGACAAGCCTGCCATCGTTGAAGAGACTAAGGAAGAGGCGGAGGCCGACACACAGAGCTCATCTGACAACAGCAACTCTCGTATTGTTGACGAGAACTTCCTTGGTTGCATCCAAAAGATCCGTTTTGCCTATGAGGACCACTTACAGGCACAGATTCAACGAGCTGCTGCTGTCGATGCTGCAGGCGGTGCATTGGGACAGTCAAAAGATCTCGAGTTGCCTACTTCTATCGTTCCGTCATTGCCTTCTGAAACGCCAGTGTTGAAGCCGCCCCCAAACACAACCATTCTGATCCAAGAAGAGCGACCAGAAGCTGGTGGTGTAGCGGATCTCTTCGAGGGCAAGGTAGGCAGCACGGCCGAGATGGCCGACTTGATCGAGAAGGTTGCTCCCATGTGGCTCGGTGATGCTCTGTTGCGAAACCAGATCCCGCTCAAGGATCTGGTCAAGATCAGTTTCGTGCTCGAACCATGGCAGAATGTGCTACCTAGTATTGCTGCAGATGGGTGTGTATATCCTTCCATCTTTTACTCTAACAAAACACACACTAACAAACCTTTCCCAGCANACAACCGGCTCAATGCCAACCGTATGCTGCGCGCCCGCAAGATTCTAGGCTATGTCGCCGACCGCATCGAGCCTGCACAAGATCCTGCTACAGCCATGCCCTCAGAAGAATACCTCGAGCTCTACTGCAATAATCAACTTATTCCAGCGAAGATGACATTGGCGACCATCCGCACACACATCTGGCGAGGCGGTGGTGATGTCTTGTTGCACTACAAGTCCAACGGCAAGAGAAGGATTCTCCACTCTGCAGAGACTTTTGTAGCAGCTGCTCCAGAAGATGCTGACGCTTCTCAACCTGCTGGGTCCAACAGTCCCCCACGGCGCCGTAGAGGTGTCAAAAGTGCATGCTGTATATTTCTGTCGTTTTGCTTTTCCATTTTCTCAGATTTTTTTCCTTTCTACGTTTCAGATTTCTTTTGCACGGAACCAATACCCTTTCTTCTTGGTCTTAGAAGGACCGGTCCTTCTTTGTATGTAATGTACCATATCCTGGAAATACAGACGAATCTCTTGGAATGATAGTGCCTTTTCTTGATGCGTGACATTGGAATATTTGTTCCTTAGGGGGTGGTAAATGCATTTGACAGTTATTTCTTGCTAAGAAGCATCCACCGAGTACTGTCTTCTTGAGGGTGAAATGTTATCGTCGTCAAGCATGTGATTTCGAGCAGCGCGTGAAGTCTTGGCATTTCCGGCGCGTCTGCCCAGCCACCGTGATGTTTTGAGATGCGCGATGGTTGCGAACTCTTCTTCCTTCACACAAGCTATTCCTCGATTTCTGCCGTGCCAAATCCATCGTCCTCGGTCTTGTATAAACTGGTCATATTACTGCTAACATCGTAGATCCGGGCCTCCAGGAAACTCTCATCTCATGCTTTGCTGGTCTCCCTCTCTCAACACACACCACGCGTCTCACTCTCTCCACAGTCACGAGCGGGGTCTACTGACTGTCATGGTCGGTATCTCTTCTGGGCTGTTTATTGTTGCTTGTTTTCGACCCAGTCACAATCCCGAGCCTCACAGCACGGTCTCATGGTTTCCCTGACTGTTGTTGGTCTCGAGCACTTCGAATGGGCATCTCCCTCGGAACTTAACCCTAAGCCATACATCGGTTCCAAACAACAAACAGTCTCGCGGTCCTTTGCAGGAAGTTGCCGGTTTCTCGATTAATTCACCGGCGCCGCTTTGTGCCTTCTCGCGAGGAAATTGCAGCAATGGGAATGAATAGAGTTGTCGACGTCTGACGGTATCATCATGCGTCGTTTTGGTAAGACTCTCTGAGAGAGCGCGCGTCGATTTTGCTGCGAGGACAAACATGCTCTGGTCGACTATGGACAGCTTTTCTGGTCTGCCGTTTTGGAATGCGCTTGGAGGGGATGGGAAAGCTTGTCGGGCACCTCGTATGAGGATCGTCTTTGGGGTCTTACACGTGTTCTGTTGCTCGTGCAGGGGGCGCTTCAGAAATCTGTTCAGTAATGCTGGATCTCCATCTGGACTTGGACGACGTTGAGAAACATCATGAGCATCCTGGTGCCTGCAACTTTGGTGGTTTGGAAGTGGTCGGGATGTTGCAGAAAGAGCTTGGCTATGCTTCTCCAAACAGACCGCGCCAGTCCTTGTGCCTCAGCATATGCTTGCACGATACTTGTTGGAATCGCACTTGTCTGCGTAGCAAGATCGCCAAGCCACACACAGAGGTACAGGGCGGTGCAGTCCTTCATGGCATGCCAAAGTCTCCTGCTTCTGCGACGTCTCGTTTACTTTCACACACCTCAGAAGCGGTTGATGTACTCCCAATGCTCGCTCCTCTTCCGAAACAAGGTGGAATTCAGTACGCATCAACGATCAGTGTTCTGTACGTCTACAGCCTGTCAAGTGACGAAACAAGATTCCCGTACAAGCGCCACTGTGCTTGCACAACCATCCCTCACCCACCGCATTCCTCAACCACAGCCGAAAAGCCTCTGCCACCAGCAACAGCTAACGNNGCAGAGTTGACCTTTGGTCATTGTTCTGACCAGCCGCGTCAATCATCAGTCTCTGCTTCAACTGCCGAGTCAACGATGAGCGCCGATATCCTCGCCTGCAGTATCTTTATCAGTCTCTGTTTGGTATCATGCCTTCCCCAAGTATGCTATACTTTCGGAAGATGGAAGTGGTTTTTACGGATGTACTTTGTCCACTTCGCGTTTTTACGCNAACAATGCTGTCCGGTGCTGGCTTNNTCTTGCTGGCTTGGATGGTGAACCAAAGACTTGTCTCTGAGAAGAACGCTACAACACACTGAGGGGGAACCCGAAGCTTGAGAATCATGGGAGTTTCCCTGCAAGTCTGGTGAAGCGGTGAGGTGTATGAGCCAGCTGATGTCGGATCTATCACAGGACTTTGGACAAGGCCGACCAGGATTGAGAAACAGCGATGGTTCTTCTCAAGCTTGACCTTATCACACCTCTGTCTTGGTTGTAAGGCCTCTGGTCTTTGAGAAGATGCACCAACAAAGGACTCTGGTATTCTTCGAGTCGTGCCTGTATTTCAACGCACTCTCCCACGGCTTTTGGAATGTTGATCGGTGGAGAAATGCATGTGCTGGATCGTACGTGCGGGACCTCTCTCGAGTGGGGATCAAAGCTCCGGCTTGTCTGCTGTATGGTTCAAATCTGCTCAACTCCCTCGTGGCGCATCTTCAAACGCCGCCGTGTGCAGAGGACAAGGCATGGCAATGAGGAGATCACCGCTCCGGTACTTCGACGTGCTCTTCTCGGGAGTTGGAGGTCGGGCAATGCAGATGTTGTGTGGTGACGGAAAGTGGAGGAGGGACTGTCTGGAGCGCATTGCGCGCTATGCCACTCTTTTCCTTTGGGATTGAGTGGCTCAATTCTTTTTGATAAGNNTGGTCCCGTGTTCTTACTGCGAGGTGGACGANNAGAACTGACTACGGAAGAGTTGGCTGTACCCCACCTTCTCCGCAATCGCGACCAGCCACCNCTCCACAATGATCTGCAGATCTCGAGTCGACACGCGAGGTATATGGTCAGAATCAGCAGTATCAGACGCCATACCATGCTTCGGCTACTACTTCCGTTGCCGACGAGTCTTATATACCATCTTTGAGCGATCGCATTCNNCATAGGCAAAAATCAAGCAAGATGTTTCTCAATACACGCTCCCTTTTCCTCTGGTCCCTTGCGGCTTTTCTGGAAGCGCAAGCTGCCAATCTGCCTTCCAAGTCACAGCCCATTGTCGTTTCACAGTGCCCGCCTAGCAATGCTGGTATACCTCTGGACTCGTTTGTGTCTTTTTCATTTGAGCTGTCTTCATGGCCCGACTTTGCTGGTATGCCTTGCTGGATGTTCGCTTGTGAGAATTGAAATACGGCTTGCTAATCATCTACACGATTTCAGNGCAATCTCAGTCATCCAAACAAGTTCTCGTATAACCTCATGAACAAAATTGGTCAACTCCAGGGCTCTATGCCTATTGCTCGTGTAGGAGGCAACACACAGTAAGACATTGAAGCTCTTACCTCACTATCCCGTTTCTGACAAGCAAAATAGANNGACATTGCCATCTTTGACGCTTTCCAAAAGACTGGTCTCGTCGGTGTCGTTCAACCCAACATTTCCGCCGACTATCCCACTATCATCACCATCGGCCCTTCCTTTTTCGACTCGTACAAAACCATGCCTAATGGAACGAGGTTCACCCATGGCTTCAACATGNGGGCCAATTCCTCTGTTGCAAGGCAAGCTACGTACCAGTCTGCTGCTTATGCCTGTAAAGCCATTGGAAGCAATTTGCTTTTCTGGGAATACGGCAATGAACCTGACTTGTTCCACGCTTCTGGATACAGACCCGGACCAGCCAATTGGAGCGAAGTCAACTATGTCGACGAATGGTTGAATGGAACAAGCAACATTCAGAATATTGTGCAAGAGGCTTGCCCACAACTTGCAAAGACTAAATTTATGGCGCCTAGTATTGCTGGTGTAGCTGCTAATGAATACTTTACTCTGGATCCAGTCACAGTGTTTAAGGATAACATCAACGCAGACAACAGCATCGGCATCATTTCTTCGCACAATTATATGGGTGTTTCCACTGCTGCTGGTATAACTCTGCAAGACACTCTCATGAATCACACCAATGTGATTGTCAAGGCTGCAGCACAACTCAATGTCTCTGCCAATATCGCTGCTTTAGGGGCTAAAGCCCCAAAAGTCCCATTTATACTCGGCGAACACAATAGTCTGGCGAGACAGGGACGTCCTGGTTTGTCGAATACCTTTGGAGCTGCTCTGTGGGGTGTAGATTGGAATCTCTATCTTGCGTCGCAGAATATTTCTCGCTCGCATATGCATCAAGGCACTAATTATCGGTAAAGCTCTTCCTCATCCTCCTTCTCTTCATCAAACAAACACTAATGCAAAACACAAACAGTTNACCAATCCTGGCAACCCATCACCACAAACCTCACCACCATCGGCACAAAACCTCCTTACTACGGTAACCTCGCAGTAGCAGCCATGTTGCATAAACCCTGTGCCTCTTCTGACCTTCGCATCACCTCTTTACCCGCTTCCACAGAGTTTACTGCTTTCTACACCGCTCATGTGGATACCACACTTTCCCGTATCTTGATTGTGGATCTACATACCTACAACACCACTGCAAACAACTATACTACGCCTTTTGCTCGCCCAGTGCTGCAACACAGCTTCAAACTGCCGAGCGGTTGCAAGGGTGGCAGTGTGCAGAGGTTGATGGCGAATGGTAGTGATGCAACTACAGGGATCACCTGGGATGGAAAGAGTTTTGCTTATGAGTTGGATGAGGGTAAAGGTATTAAGCTCTCAAACATCACGAGTGGGGAAATTGTAAAGGTGGATAAGAAAGGTGGGATCAAGGTGGATGTGCCGTGGAGTAGTGCTGCAATTGTGACTTTGGAGTGTTGAAGCAGCAATGGGCTGAAGCTGAGGAAACTTGCAGAGGAAGGAGTGAAACATTTCAAGCATTGACAAGATCACCTTCTCGTGTGTGCGAATGATGGTTTCTTGCTCGTACAGATCCTCTCGCCTCCCTCACTACTTGAATACATTCAATGCGAGAAACACAGGTATCGATCAAGTAATGTCGAAGATGCTTTCGTTTGCTCAAATGCCCGAACTTCCATTCCTCGACATCACTCATCAAAAGCATGAAACAAGATCGAGAAGAATCCATCTGTCACCACAATACACACGCCTCTAAACTTGAAACAGAAACAATCATTTAATTCTGGTCTAGGAAAGAAAGAAATCATCGGTGAGGCCGAAGAGATCTACGAATGCAGAAAAGGCCACAACGTGAAGGAGTCAACGCCTTTCTACGATAAAAAGAAAAAGACCACTCCCCTTGGAAAGAGGCAAGGTAAAGAAAACCACCCCTGTCTGTAGCAGGTAGAAAACTCCCGAAGAATCCCATCATCTACGCCTTCCTGCGCCATGCTAATGTGAAGAAAAAAGAAAGAAATAAGAAGAAACCGGAAACCTCTTGGGCTGTATGCTGTTGTTGAGGGTTGAAAAATGAGAAAAGTCGTGCTGCAAGGAAAAGTCGCTCTAGATAAGGGCTGGAGAACTTGTCGGCCTAGGGTGAAACTGTCAGGTTGTTGCCTTGTTCAGTCATATTTGGTCGGGTAGCGATCCAGAAAATTTGAGATCGGTGCCTTCTCGATCTGAAAGTCTCATCTACCAATAGCCAGCATCAAAGCCCCTGTCGTAAACACGGCCTATGAAGTTGTTGCCCTGGTTGTTGACATTATGAGCACCAGGGGCCGGGGCCAAGGCTGGACCGGGGAATGGAGGAGCCATGTTGACCTGAGGCTGTTGAACATGGTTGTTCAACATGAAATGCTCAAAATCAAGAGCGTTGACATTTCCTAGGTGGAATCCCTGATGCCAGTCTCCGTTGTGGTAGTTATGATCGCGTCCGGGAATGTTTGCGCCTGCTTGAGCGTCAAAGTCGAAGTCGAATTGACCGAGGGCAGGATCTTGGAATCCGAGGAGAGCTGGGGCGGGTTGTTGTGCGTTGGGGTTGTAGGCGGGGATCGCGGCTGGACGGTGTCTTGCAGCCCGGACAGCGGCAGGGGGATCCAAAGCGGCTCTGTATCCACCAGCTATAAGAGGTGGTTGATTACGAGGGACAAGAAACTGATCAACACCTGGCATCTCAGCAGCTTGAACAGGTGGCAGGACTCGACGACGGCGATCACGAGCCACATCTCCTGCATCGACCACCATTTGCAGCATATCGTTACGCTTTGGCTCTTGTGCTTTGGCAGCAGTCTCGATGGCGAGATCCTCTGCGTCAATCTCGGGATGCTCTCGCAAAACCTCTGCCTGTGCAGTCTCGGCGGCCACCTTGACCTCTTGTGCGTGTCTGGCCTCGAGGGTGAACTCCCCATCATGTAAGATGCACTTTGAGTCCGCTGCATGGAAGTGAGCGTAGTTAGCAGTCACGTCCACACCACAAAGATAACACTGCAGGTTGCCGCAATGACTGCAGGTGATTTTGTTACAGCCGTCGCTTTTGATGAAAGCTTGGTTGCACTTGTTGCAGTTGCGGATGAGGGCCTTGCTTCTGGCTTCTTCGATTCTGTGACGGTGGCTGAGAGCGTTGTCTTTGTCGCGCTTGCGCTGATTCTCCTCGCAAGAATCAGGAATATGCGTCTTCTCCTTGCACTTGCGACAGCTGGTGATGTTGCAGGTTGGTGATTGGCAGTGGAACTCAAAATCGATGTCAACAGGCAAGCACACAGTCTTGAAGTCGCAGAAGGGGCAGCTCTCGACATCGTCAATACCTGCAGTGCGAAGATCGTGCTCCTGACGGAGGCGCATGAGTTTGTCCGTAAGTTTATCGGTGTTTGGTACGAGGCGAAGTTGAGGTTCAGCGAATGTGCCATCGCAACCACCAGGACAGACAAGCTTGAANGCTGGACTGTCCTGTCTCAGACTCCAGATATGTCCTCATGCAGTCAAAGCATACGGGGTGCTTATCTGCTGAACCGCACGTGACGACTTGGTTGGGAGCGTACTCATCATAACAAGCAGCACTGTAGACGGTTAGCAGATGAAACAAGTGCAGATANNAGATAGAGGAATGATGACTTACCACTCGACGATGGTACCACTGGCTTTGGCGTGCTCCAGGGCCAACTCTTCCTCGCGGGCTCTTTCGGCGGCCTTGATTTCGTCTTTGATTTTCTGTGCGATGCTTTTACGGCGCTGACAATTCGATTCAATGGCAGCCTTCCTGGCAGACTCGAACTGTTCCTTGATCATAGGGATATTGGCCTTGTGCGATCTGGTGGCTTGGAGAAGATCGAAGTTGACGTCCTTGAGTGGTCTCCAGGGAGTCTTACCGTATGGACAAGGCTCGGTATGCTTTGCCTCATTGAGAGCCATGTAGGTAGGATAGAGATGCTTTTTGTCCTTCTGGACTTCCCTGATGTATTTTACAGGGATTGTGTTGAACTCATCTTTGAGCACTTCAATNGCTGGAGAACGTTAGTGGGAGATGAGTTGGTGAACATTGAAAAACACTTACATAGCATCCTTCATCTTGCCCGAGAAAGTGCAGTCAGGATTGAGCAACTTTTCCTTCTCGGCTTCTTCGGCCACTTTCTGGTCATGCAGTGCTGCTTGTCTGGCAGCTTCTTCCGCAGCGCGTCTCTCACTTTCCTTGGGATATTTGCCGTCCAGTAGGATGTCCAGGACTTGCTGGAGATTGTTGTAATGAGTGTTGAGTAACTCGGTGACATGATCATGCGCAACATCGGGTACGATATCGAGAACTTGGTCGAGCTGGCTGCGCTCAGGGGTCGGCGCAGTGTCAGTGATCAAAATGGGATCGTCTCGAGCATCAGGAGCCTCCTCGTAAGAGAGTGGAAGATCGTTAAAGTTGTACTCGAAGGGTGGGCCAAAGTCGTGGTCGCTGCTCTGCATGAATTGAGGGATAGCTGCGAATGCGCCTGGTTGAGCCTGTAGGACAGAATTGGGCTCGTCCTTGACTGGACCAGTATGGATAGGTCCTTGCATGTTGTTCTGCGCAATCCAGTCGTCCAGGTCGTAGTTTGGTGCCAGATGCGCTTCGTTATGGCGTGCCATCTTGTGTGGTCGTCCGAATCTCTCCAAGTGGTCCTCACTATGATCTGAGTGGATGGAGATGACATCGTGAGGTCTCTTCACAGGCGCCATGACTCACGTACGCGGGTCAATGCTTTGCGGCTGCGCCGAGACGAGAGGAGAGGACGGGGTTGCTCTTGTCGCGAAAAAGGACGTTGGACGGACCTTTGGCAGCCAAGATTTGAGAAGTCCAAAGATATATAACCAAGCAGTCAACAAAGGATCCGAGAGCGAGTACGAGTCATAGGGTGGAGGCATATGAAAGTATGGGTACGAAGGTGTTGTGGTTGTTGTTTGAAAAGCACAGGAAGGTGAGCGGGAAGTGTTGATAGTGGAGGGTTACTCATTGAGATAGCCGGGCGTTGCGGGAACTTCAAGAAACTTGCATTCACAACTGAGTCGCTTTGAGAGAGGTAGGTACTTTCTTCTTCACGCCGAGCACGTATGAGGGGTATTGCTAGGCTTTTGAAGACTTTTTGGTCAACAGGGCGAACACCGGGCAGGGAAGGTGCTTGGGAGGAGCCCTGTCATTCCGACAGCCGGCGACGGCGTTTACGTGTCACACGAGAGGCAGCCAGCGATGCAGAAGCAAGAGGGCAGGCATACATGAACCAGCAGGCGGCCAACCTTGAGAATATACTTGCCTGCCTCGCCCAACACTGTGGTTTCATGCAGATGAGTGCAGAGGGGAAACATATGGAAGAGCGTTCGACGTCGTCGAGGCCACAGCTCCAAATCCCAAGCGAGACAATGACGCTGTTTGCAAAAGTGCTGGGCCTGCAACCGAATACGCTGGCGTGATGACCTGTCAAAGTTGCTTGCTGACCATAAACACCTCATCTGCCGTTCTCTAACGAAGTAAAAGTCGTCAAAATATCTATTGCGCCATGTCTGCCCAACTGCCTGATGCTAGAAGCTCCGATGTGGAGCTCACGCAGCCAACCCACGAAGAAGCCGTACAACAGACCAGACTCAACAGTACTGAATGGAAGGGCGCTTTATCCCTCGATGCATACCTTGGTAGAGAGGAACATCTCGGCAAGCAAAAACTGATCAGTGGTGGTGGTCTCACCTCTTGGGCATTGGTGACAAAGACCGGTAGCCCTCGTGCCGTCCTTTCGAGCTGTGAGACCATCCGCAAGAAAGCTCTTGTTGTCCAAAATGGTCAGGTCAAGGAAGTAATCTGTCATGGCGTGGCTAGTGTATTCTGCCCTCCAGAATACCGTGGTAAGGGTTATGCCGGAAGAATGATCAAGGACTTGGGAGAGAAGCTGCACAACTGGCAAACAGAGGGGCGCGATTGTTTGTTTAGTGTATTGTATTCGGATATTGGCAAGGTAAGATGAATGAGCGAGTCTATCATATCTGTTCCTATGCTCACATCGATAGNNCAATTTTACGCCGCGCATCAATGGAAGCCATTCCCATCTGCTCACGTTTCGCTTCCTCCATCGAATCTGCAACACGAATCTCTGCCGGAAGCGAAGTTCCTACACGCTGGCGATCTGGCGGAGCTGTGCGATACTGACCTGGAGTTGGTGCACAAGAAGCTTGCCAGTGTTGCATCCTCAGGCAAGACGATTGCTTCGATCATACCCGATGTCGAAACCTTTTCATGGCACCATGCTCGTGAGGAATTTGTTGCAAATGAGCTGTACGGCAAGTCTCCTGAAGTCAAGGGAGCTATCGTCGGCAGCGAGAAAGGCAAGCGAGTATGGTGTGTATGGATGCGAACATGGTACAACAGCGATCCTCAAAGCACCAAAGACAACACACTGAATATTCTTCGACTCGTGGTGGAGGACCCAGAGTACACCGAACTGTCTGCAGCGACAGATGAAAGTGTGGAGAAGAGCAAGGGTACTTACGTGACTGCAGCCATCGCATCACTGTTAGCTGCAGCTCAGGCGGACGCCAGCAAGTGGCACATGGGCTCGGTCGACATCTGGAACCCTACAGCTTCAATGCTAGCGGCTGCANAGCAGCTGGACCACGCAGCACAGGTCGTTCACCGCGAGAAGGACAGTATTGCGAGCTTGAGATGGTATGGAGAAGGATCGGTGGACAATGTTGAGTGGCTTGATAACGAGAAATATGCTTGGTGCTGAGTAAGGAAGGACAGACAGGTACAGACAAGCTGAGGTACCAATTTCCATCAGACTCGATGTGGCAAGTGCACATGGGCCGTACCGCACAAAACGCAAAGCTCAAGTCGAACCGAATGGTGAAATGTGAGTAAAAAAGACGATAAGACACAACAAAGAGAGCTGGTGCTGCGAGACATGTGAATGTTGACGATGAAGAGGCAGGCAGATGCATGCATTGTCAAACAGAGGCACGTCTGGCGGCAGGAAAAGTGGTTAGCCTTCAGGCTTCAATTGACCCCACCCTGGCATCATTTTGCCAAAGCCATCTGCTTTTCGGACGGACGAGTTGCAGCTAGACTTCTCGTTGATGTTTTGTTCTCGGTGACCAAATATTTACAGTACTCAATATGAGGCGCAGTTAAATGTGCAAGCTGTGGCTGAGCGGTGGTCACAAAGTATATTATGATTTTTGACATCACATCCACCTCGCAAAGTGCCGAGGAGTGTGGAGGGGAACGGCAACAGCGGAGGGCTCTGAGTCTCGAGAAGACGCGTATCAATAGAAATTACTTGGTAGCATGCGGGCTACGTGGACAAAGAATCGAGATGTCGCAGCTGGGGAAGCAGTTGATGATGGTGGGAGAGAACAGTCCCAACAAACAAGAGTGCAAAGGTGGTGCCCGCAATGCACCGGCAGCAATAACAAGAGTTGGAAGGTGCCGGGTGTTTGAGGTTATCGTCTTCCCAAAATCCTTCCCAGTCTGTTTTCGCGTCGTAATTTGCTCGACGAGTGACATTCCCATGTCCAATTGTCTCGCGTATATCGGCAATTGATCTGCCTAGCTATTCTTTTTTCTTTCCTCGAACAATCTCGCCGCCGTTGACCGACATTCTGTGTTGACTTGTACGAGAGTGGTCGAGCCGAGAACACCCACTTCGCAGGCTGCTGTCTCCGCTCCGCTCCACCAAAACATCGCAAGCCCAAGCCAAAGCCCTCATTCAAGCCACACCCTTCCTCCCTCTTCATTCTTCACAACAACAACATCCGCACATTGTTACTCGTCGCCTCTCGACCGCGACTCTCCCTCCTGTCGCCTTCGTCTAGGGAGACCATCTCTCTTTCGCGTTCGGTCGGTGTTATCCCGGCGCGCGCTCCTACCCCCTCACGTCGCGTGCGGCTTTGCACCTATAAGGTGTATGCCTGTTAGACGACGCCAACCATGAGCAACAACGAGGATGCCGCCATTAGCGACCTGTGCCGCAAGATTGAGCGCGAGAAGACGCTGATTGCAGGCTTCAACTCTATGCGACAGGCCACAAACAACAGCCAAGTCAACTCGCGTATCGACTCGCAGGTTCGCGATGCCCAGAGGAACCTCAAGTACTTCGAAAAGACGCTGCAAGACCTGCAGTCTCGTAAGCTGGGCGATCATGTGTCCAACATGAATCTCAACAACGACGCAGGCCCGCCGGCGCACTCGCACCAGCACGACCAACAAGACCCCGGCAGCTACGGAGCCCCCGGTCCCGGCGGATACAGTGAGGGTGGCGGCAATGGCCTCATGCCCCTCGCGCTCCCTACGCCCCGCCCGCCCCCGGCCAATCCGGCCTTAAGAACANGACCCAACTACAGCCGGCTGGACCTCATCAAGGCCGAAACACCTCATCTCGGCCCACGCATTCAGCTCATGCTGTCACAACTCGAGTTCAAGCTCAGCGTTGAGAAACAGTACAAGGATGGTATCGAGAAGATGGTACGCTTGTACCAGCTCGAGGGAGACCGCAAGAGCAGGGCAGAGGCCGAGGGCCGTCGCATCGAGAGTAGCCAGAAGATCCACCTTCTCAAGCAGGCTCTGAAGCGCCACGAGGACTTGCACGTCGCCGACATCAGTACCGACATGCAAGACGACGACAGCTTGAACATCCCCAGTCAGCGCAAGCCCCTCAGCGGATACCTGTCCATTCGCATCCAGGCCATTGCCGACGTCGATCATGCCGCGACGGGTAGATTCTCGCGCGGACCCGAGACTTTTGTCATCCTTAAAGTCGAGGACAGCTTCAAGGGCCGCACCAAGGCCACACGAACGGACCGCTGGACCGACGAGCAACACGACTTTGACATCGACAAGGCCAACGAGATCGAGCTAACAGTGTATGATAAGGCCGGCGAACATCCCATGCCGATTGGTATGCTGTGGGTGCGCATCTCGGACATTGCGGAGGAGATGCGTCGCAAGCGTATCGAGACCGAGGTTAAGAACTCTGGCTGGATCTCTGCAGACCACATGGGCGACTCGGGCCCACGTCCTGACATGCAGTTCTCTCCTCCTCCTGGAAGCTCAGGTGCCGGTTCAGCACACGCCGGTCAGCAAGGGCCCTCTGGTGGCTTTGGAGGCGGTCCAGCACCTTTGACCAACCCTGTTGTCATTGACGATTGGTTCTCGCTCGAGCCCGTCGGCAAGATCAAGCTGAATTTGAGTTTCGGTACGTTGCTCCTCTCTCCCATTCTGTCTACAAAACTAACAAACCCTANNGTCAAACAAACCCGCGAACGCAGACCATTCGACGTTGGACTTGGGCGCAAGGGCGCTGTCCGTCAGCGCAAGGAAGATGCAGTCGAGCAGTACGGACACAAGTTTGTGCAGCAGACCTTCTACAACGTCATGCGCTGTTCGCTGTGCGGCGACTTCCTCAAGTACACGGCTGGTATGCAGTGCTCAGACTGCAGATTGACATGCCACAAGAAGTGCTACCCAAGCGTCGTCACAAAGTGTATCAGCAAGTCCAACGCCGAATCCGACCCCGACGAGGAGAAGATCAACCACCGCATTCCCCATCGTTTCGAGGCCTTCTCCAACATGGGTGCCAACTGGTGCTGCCACTGCGGTTACATGCTGCCTCTTGGAAGAAAACAAGCTCGCAAGTGTACCGAGTGTAGTTCTACCTGCCACAACAACTGCATTCACTTTGTTCCAGACTTCTGCGGCATATCCAACGAAAAAGCCAACGAGATTCTGGGAGAGATTCGCAGAGCTACCAAGGGCCGCCAGGGCACCAGCATGTCAGAGCGCAAGTTGCGTCCTGGTACAGCAAACAGTGTTAGGCCCGCAGCTCAACCCTCTCAGCCTTCGTTCATGCCCACGCCCACTCACCAGGACCAGACTCTAAACCCCCAGGACAGACCGCTTTCCTACGGCAAAGACCGCATGTCGGACGCTTACGATGCTCCTCCTCGAAACTCGCAGTATAATACTACTCCGGCCGCTTCCTCGGTTGATGCTGCTCGTGCATCTTTCGCCGCTCCCCCATCTCCTCAACAACCCGAAGCTCGTCCACCGCCCGCTCACCGCCAGTATTCGTCTCAATCCGCTGCAGCTGCCGCAGCTGCCGCTCTGTCAGGCAAGCGTTCGTCTGCTGCAGAGCAACGAATCCCTCCTTACAACCGCTCCTCTACCGATTACCAGAAGCAGCAACAGCAGGCGCAACAACAACAACAGCAGCAACCGAGTCAAAGAAGCTCCACCGCGTCAAGCAGTGCCGATCAGTATCCTCAGCAGAGAAACTCTCAGCCACAGCCTGCCGGCTACAACCCAGCAGACTATGCTGCTGTTAGTGGCTTCCCAGTCCAGCCCCTCCAGCAACCTCCTCAANCAAGCTCAACCCCTCGCCAGCAATACCCTCCAGCCTCAGCTCAAAGTCCTCCCTCTACCACTAACCCCACATCACCACCGGCCAAGACCGCGACATCCATGGGACCTCCTGCACGAAAGACTCAAGGTGGCAACATCCGTGTTGGCCTCGATCACTTCAACTTCCTCGCTGTGCTTGGTAAGGGTAACTTCGGTAAGGTCATGCTTGCCGAGACGAAGCAGTCCAAGCAATTATATGCTATCAAGGTTTTGAAANAGGAGTTCATCATTGAAAACGATGAAGTTGAGAGCACGAGATCGGAGAAGCGTGTCTTCTTGATCGCTAATAAGGAGAGGCATCCTTTCCTTACCAACCTTCATGCTTGTTTCCAGACTGAGACCAGAATTTACTTCGTCATGGAGTATATCAGTGGTGGTGATTTGATGTTGCACATTCAACGTGGCCAATTCGGTACCAAGCGCGCCCAGTAAGTACAATTCTCCATGGAATTTGAACACTGCTAACAGTTGTAGGNNTTTTATGCTGCAGAAGTCTGTCTGGCACTGAAGTACTTCCACGAGAACGGTGTCATTTACCGTGACTTGAAGCTCGACAACATCCTCCTAACTTTAGACGGACACATCAAGATTGCCGATTACGGTCTCTGTAAAGAAGACATGTGGTATGGCAGCACGACTAGCACATTCTGCGGTACTCCCGAGTTCATGGCGCCAGAGGTATGTTTTGTAGTCTGTTTGTTCACCACGACCATTTCTGACTGTTCATCGCAGATTCTTCTTGATAAGAAATACGGCCGTGCTGTCGATTGGTGGGCCTTTGGTGTTCTCATCTACCAGATGCTTCTTCAACAATCTCCGTTCCGTGGAGAAGACGAAGACGAAATCTACGATGCCATTCTGGCAGACGAGCCTCTCTACCCCATTCACATGCCGCGCGACTCGGTATCGATTCTTCAGAAGCTCCTCACCCGCGAACCCGAGCTCCGTCTTGGCAGTGGACCAACAGATGCTCAAGAGATCATGAGCCATCCTTTCTTCAAGAACATCAACTGGGAAGACATCTACCACAAGCGCGTACCTCCACCATTCTTGCCCACCATCAAGGGCAAGGCTGATACCAGCAACTTCGATTCCGAGTTCACAAGCGTCACTCCTGTCCTCACGCCTGTACAATCCGTCTTGACCCAAGGCATGCAAGAAGAGTTCAGAGGATTCTCATACACCGCCGATTTTGTATGAGCTCAGCTCGAATCAGTCGCTCAACTGGATGAGCAGAAGACCCACTCGGCTCTGAATGGATGAAGATAACATCATGCTCATAAGGGATACACCCACCGCACGCACTCATTGATCCATATCATTACCTCCACGAACCATCGTGTATGGGTCGTTCTTTATCATACCGCCCTCTACTTATCAACCAGACACCAGATGTAGACGAAGATAATGCTCAGCAGGACAACCGCAAAGGAGGAACATGGCATTAAGTCATTGACACGGCAGCATATTAGACAGGACGACATGAGCTAACGCATGAAGAGGCTCCATCTGGTGAATACGATTGGAGACTTGTCCTTGTTTTTTGTTTGGACGGAGAGAACAAGTCGAGAATTGACGGATATAGAGACTTAACTTCACACACGTTGTAACGGCATATGAACAGTAATTGACGAACAGTCTTTGTATTCTTGACATTTTTCTCCTTCGGTGTCTGTGGTGATGATGCCGAATCCTTGGCAAGACTTCAGCGAAGTGACCTTGGTGGACAACTGTTCCACCTAACTTCCATCTGGGCAGAACGCGATACGGAGATATATCAGAGTCTTGCCAGTCTTGCAACAATCTGCTTCCAATACATTGAGAGCGTGCAACTTGTACTCGTCGATGATGGCGGCTGGAGCCCTTTAAAATTTGCGCCACTGACTCGCAATGAAACCGTTGCGGGGAGAGCTCCTCCCAACCAAGAAGATGAGCTGCTCTTTTGCTGTGCCCGAACAGCGGCGCAGTCGGTCGTTCTTGTTTCCTCTTCTCTTGACATCCAAACGTCTCATAATTTATACCAATCGCGCGTCTGAGCTCGAGTCAAGCTGTTATCCAAGAGACGACTTCGCAGCATCTGTTTGATCACGACTCGACACTTCTTACGACCTCGGAACTTCATCTCATCCGGACATCCCGGACATCAAGGTGCTTCATCATTCAAAATGGGTGGCGGACACGAAACTCCTCATAGGCATGCCACGACTCAGAAGCCTGTTTCGGAACCGCAATGGAACAGAGGACTTTGGGGTCTTGTTGACATGGGAAGCAATGGCATCCGTCTATCGATAACAGACCAAAGCGCACCTACGACGCGTGTTCTTCCGACTGTCTATGCTTATCGCAACAAGATTTCTCTGTACGAGGCCCAGTACGATGAAGATGGAACCAAAGTTCCCATCTCTACTGAGGTGATGGATGATGTTGTTTCCATGCTTCTCAGATTCCAGATTTTCTGTGCAGACTTTAGGGTCCCGCCAGAGCAGATTGAGATTGTTGCTACAGAAGCCACTCGAGCTGCCATCAATTCCAAGGAGTTCTGTGACAAAATCAGAAAGGAGACTGGCATCAAGATGACGTTGCTCTCCAAGGAGGATGAAGGAAGAATTGGTGCTTATGGTGTTGCTAGTTCGTTTTCTGCTGTCCGTGGCTTGGTCATGGATATGNGGGGTGGCAGTACGCAGATCACTTGGATGATTGCTAAAGGAGGCGAGACACAAATCAGTCCCGTCAGTGCTGTGAGTTTCCCATACGGTGCAGCTGCTCTGACCAGAAGGCTTGAGGAGTTGAAGAAGGGAAAGAGTAAGGCAGAGGCGCACAAAGCTCGCGAAGAGTTTCGTGCTCAGGTCAAAGCGCAGTTCCACGAGGCGTACAGCAAGATTCAAGTCCCGCATGAGCTTGTCAAGGACGCCACGAAGAATGGAGGCTTCAGGCTTTACTTAACTGGAGGCGGGTTCCGTGGTTGGGGCTACCTCTTGCTGCACCATGAACAGGTGGCTGGTGGTGGCTACCCCTTCTCCATCATCAACGGTTTCACAGCACAAAAGGACGAGTTCGAAGACACGGAGAAGATGAAGCAGATTGCTGAGGAGGCCAAAGAGATCTTCCGCGTTTCTGATCGTCGTCGCGCTCAAGTACCTGCTGTGTCCTTCCTGGTCAGCATTCTGGCAGAAGCCATCCCTCACGGCATCCGCGAAGCCCACTTCTGTCAAGGAGGTGTCCGCGAAGGCGTCCTCTACAACCGCCTTCATCCCGAAACCCGCGCTCAGGATCCTTTGGAAGTCGCAACCCGCGACATGGCCAAACCGATTTCACCAAAACTCGCCGCTCTGGTCACGCAGTCCCTCCCAGCAGCTGCTAAAGGATATTCTAGTGTCCCTGAGTCAATCGATGTACACATGATCAGAGCATTCGCAAACATGTTCTACTTCCACGCCAACATGAACAAGGAAGTCTCTTCTACGTCTGCATTGTACAGCACGGGTACTGGTATCTTGTGCTCGACACATGGATCTTCGCATGCAGATAGAGCTTTACTGGCCCTCATGCTCGAAGCCCGCTACGAAGGAGAACTGGCCCCTCGTGAGACCGACTACCGTGATTCACTCATTCGCCTGGTATCGAATGAAGAAGCATGGTGGACGCAATACATTGGTGTTATTGGTCTAGTCCTGTCTCGCGCCTTCCCAGCTGGTGTCGTTCAGGACGACCTTTACGATGTTGCCCATAAAACCATTCTCAAGAAGCCCGAGATCCGCATTGCGTCCGAGTATGTGGATAATCTGGGTAAGAGAGGCAATAAGGAGGGGTTGATGGTTACCTTTACTCTGGTATGGGCAACGGAGAACAGAGACGATCCTATGGAGGTCAAGGAGACGCTGTACAGGCATCTTAAGAACCTTGTCAAGGTCGGAAAGAAGAAGCATGCCATCAACGGGTGGAGGATCAAGGTTGGAGCGCAGGTCAAGGATGACTACCCCAATGATTTGTAATTACCACGTCGAGCCCACAATTGATATAGGGAATGGCGTTAAAGTTAATGCGGATGCAACGTGTAAATTCCAACGACAGATCCAACCATGCGTATATAAATCCAAAAAACAATTGCGAGCTATGCGGCTTCCAGCAGACAGAAACATCCATCTCACAACTTGGCCCCTCCACCCCCAGCAACCCTCTCATACATTTCTCTCTCGAACAAATCAATCATACCCCCNACCTTTTCATCCCCAGGAGGATACACCTGCGTACCGAATAACCCACATATTCCNCTCTCCCTATCCACAAACCAGAAGTTGTTCGGCATACCACTCCATATCATCGTCTTCTGCTTTCTATACTCATCATCTGCACTGTCTACCAACACGCCCCCAATACCCCAATCATAGGTTACATTGCCTGGGAACTTGCCCACGAAAAGCGAGACTACTTCTGGCGTTCTGAAGACTTTGTTGATACCGGTTCGAGATTCAGGCGTGAGGTGAGGTGAAAACATGATGGAATTGCTGGTCTTGCTCAGCAGTTTTCCGTCGTCGAGTAGCAGTGATTCCAGGACTTTGAAGTAATCGGTAAAGTCTGCGTAGCCACCGTGGCCGCCGAAACACTCTGCATCGCCGAAATCAATATTCTTTCTTTCTGGAAGATTGACGAGGTTGCCAGAAGGGATTCTGAGTGCGATTGTTGCTGTTTCATTCCTCATCTCGTCGGTCAAGTAGGGAGTAAATTTTATCCTGTTAATGCTTAGAGGTGTGAAGATGTGTTCTTGCATGTAGTCCTGTAGAGACTGTTTTGTGACTTTCTCGATCACCTTGCCTGCCCAGTCGATTCCTGTGCCGTAGGTCCAGTAGGTGCCTGGTTCGAAAAGAAGGGGATATACGCATTTTCCCTTCATTGTCGTTCTGTCCTTCGGGTTGTCGTTGATGCTTTCTCTATACTTTTCCAGCATCGGGACCGTCTTATCGTATGCCGTGCCCGCAGAATGGGTAAGCAGGTGCACGAATGTGATGGTGTTTTTGCGTTCCGTGAGGATGGGTTTGTCGTTGGTGTCGAAACCGTGGAGGATAGGTTGAGCAGCTAATTCGGGGATATATGGCGAAACATCGGTTTCCAGAGATATCAAGTCTTTTTCAATGATTTGCATTGCGGCAATCGAGGTGAGGAGTTTTGTCATTGAGGCTAGAAAGAGGATGCTGTTGAGTTGGAGAGGTTTGGCATTGTCGCCGAGGCAAGTGCTGCCGAACACTTTTGCATAGTCTAGTTTTCCTGTTCATGGATTCTTAGGTCAGCCGTCTCGTTTCTGCAAATACAGGACTGTGATGGGATTCTTCTTACCAGACTTGTCTTTGGCCATCATGATGGCACCGGGAAAGACGCCATCTTTGACGACTTGCTCGAACCTGTCCTCGAAGGAAAGAGACATGTTGCCAGATATTTGATACACTATCGGGTAGTGTGAAACGAGAGAATGTTGTAGAGAATCGAGGGGTCTGACGATTGATCAATGGTTGGAGTCTACGTATATGTTATACAATAGCCGATGATTCTATGTGCTGAACCGAGGCTTGCGGGGCAGAGAGGAGATAAAAAGCCCCAGATGCCGTTGCCTACAAGGCATCCCATGATCCCTCTCTTGGTTGGTTGCGTGACATTCCAGTATGCGTCTCTTACTTGAATGTCTCGGCGCTATGTAATCTGATCTAAAATCGTGCAGGGTGTTGGGAGAAGGATCAGAGTCGCATCGCGAATCAGCATGTCCTCGAGCTTCACCACCAGCGAAGCCACGGATTACTACCCCACTTTGAACCCTTACAACACCACAGCCCCTTGCTCTAAAAAGATGAAAAATAGCTCAGAAGATGCGCCGTCCCTCGCTCTGTATTTCTGTCTCTTCAAAGAATTGTAAAAGGATCTGTCAGACGCTAAAGCGGGCAAAAGATCGACGCCTAAGAGATTCGAACTCTTGCTCCCGAAGGAAATGCCTTAGCAGGGCATCGCGTTAACCACTCCGCCAAAGCGCCTTGATGATACCAAGCTTCTTTACGAGTCTTAGTCCCAGGTTTCCGATCCCGGGATTGGTCAGATCCCGTTGGATGGAATGTGGGGTAAATAATTTGTATATGACCTTTCATGGGAGGAAGAAGCGACCCACGATCTCAAAAATGGAAGGAACAAAACTCAAGAGGAGCCAACGACCCACGACCTTGAAGGGGATGGAGCGATTAATACCTCTCGATGCCTCCAGGTTTGTAACGAGCAATCGTAAATTGTAAACTCTCATGGCTGTTGTGCGAAGAATTAGGACAAGGTATGTTGCAAAGGAAAAGTCGAGAAATATGAAGCCAAGGAGAAATTTGTCTCGGGTCAGATTCCCAGCCAACCTACCCAACGGCAAAAATAAGCCTCCCGGTCACTACTTAGATGAGGTTGAACCATCGACTAGACACAAAATCGAAGATAGACCATCACGCATCCTACACAGTTGTTGTATCAATACGCTCATGACCAAACGATACTGAAAGTGGTACTACCTTGAATTCAGAGTCTCCCAAACAGATCTCAAGTGCAGATGACTCTTCTCTATCGCGGCAATATGCCACAAGAACAAATCATACACACTCGTCCTCATAAAGCCAGGAAACCCTTCCTCGTCGCCCTCGACACTCGCATCATGCAAATATATCGGCGGATCATTTGGATTTTCACCCTCTCTTGCCTTCATGTCATTCGCTGATATGAAGAATTGCCGGTTTATTTGCATGCGCACATCTTCATTCCATTTGTTCTGATCCCAGTACTTGACTAACTTGGCTTGATCGACAGGTCCGGAAAGCGCAGAAAAGTCTTCGAGATAGGTAAAACGGAACATGGAACGTATGTGTTCAGGTACATCACTGCCTTGTAATCTCTTCTGAGCAGCTTCCTCAACAGAAGCTTTGAAGGTCTCCCAAGCTCCATCATCGCTATAGTTGAGTCGTAAGATCGCAAATCCCCATATCCCTATATCGAAGTAGGGTTTCCTTTGGGCTTTTATGGCGAAATTTTGAATCTTTTGCGATGTAGAGATGTTGGTGGGATACAGGGGAAACTCAGTCTGGCCATTTGTCTCTCTCATGATTTGCTCGAATGATTTTCGCTTTAGAGAGTAGGAAGGCCTGGCAGGCTTGTCTTTTTGCAAGTCGTCGTGGAGGAGTTCTTGGTAGCGGCGTTGGACTAGATGGTAGCGTTGCAATTGCCTTGTTGCTCTTGCTGCTTCTCTGCGAAGACTCTGTTCTTTGTAGCATTGCGATATAGCTTTGAATTCTCCAGGACCGTCGGGCCCATCGAGGTCGTCCATTTTGCTCCGGAGTTCGGGCGTTTGTCGGCTTCCAAAATTTAAGATCTGTTCTAGTGAGAGTTTTTGTTCAGGAGGAGAGCCGTGGATGATGATGTTCAGTTCTCCATCTGTCATAGTCCAAGCTCCGTGGTGAAGGGATCCCTTGATCAATTCTGCACGACGACCATCTCTCGGATCTGGTAGCACCAAGGCATCTTCATCTACTAGTGGGAGGCAGATTTCAGGACCACGGCGCTCAGGTTGTAGGAGAGTCTCTGGTGAATCAACAGACTCACGAGACATGTTGATAGTTCCCTTGGCGGGGTTTTCTGACATGATTCGAGTTTTCAGTTGTTTGGTGAATTTGTTCGGAAGGAGGTGAGGTTGGATTGCTCTTGCCCGCCTCCCCAGATTGGGACGCCGCATTTTCTGGCGTCACCAAGAATCCTTCCTTCTTTTCAAACACGTTTCATGGACAAACTCACCAACTATGTGAGAGCACTCGCCAGCTGATACGCTCATTAAATCACATTCAGTGACTCGAAGTGGCATTCTACCACCGACTCGAACCGCTTTACCTTGAGGTCGCAAGAAGCATAAATTACTGTCTATAAAGGATATGCTAACAAAACGCTACAAGGATACGATGACCTACTCCCATTTATTATCAAACAGGTTGCCATTGACATAGTTGACCATCTCCTTCACCGGCGGCAATCTCTCACCATCTCCAAACATCATGCCTTGCTTCATGACTGTCCTGTAATTCTTTCCGGGAGCCACCTTTCCAAGGACATACTCTTGCCTTGTCTCCACGCGGTCAGGAACAGGTATCGAACGACCAACAACTGCTTCCATGGCTTGCCATGCAAACGTGATGGCTTCTTTTGCACCAGCCGGCACACCTGCATCGTCCAGCATGAAGATCTTGGTGTTTGGATAGCTCTTCTGAATGTACGCGGTGATGTTCGGGTTGTAAGCACCGCCACCACACATAAATATTTCATCAATGTCTTGTGATGGTGCGTATCGACGGTAGTGGTCCACTATAGCCTGTGCAGTGATGCGCGTCACGGTCGCAACAACATCATCCTGTGACATTCCCAGCTTTTCGGCCTTTTCGATCAACTCGTGGGCCACGGCGTCTCGGAACACTTCTCTGCCAGTCGTCTTTGGGGGATCGAGCTTGAAGTATTTGAACATCAGGAACTCATCTACCAGCTCTTGGTTCACGGTTCCGCGCTTGCCCATGGCACCGTCTTTGTCATATTCCTGCTTGCCGTTGGTGTAGTGACGTACGACGGCGTCGATGAAGACATTGCCCGGGCCAGTGTCGAAGTCAAAGCACTGGTCGATACCTCCAGCATTGTCGGGTGGGATGAAGCAGACGTTGGCGATACCGCCGATGTTCTGACAAGCACGCAGCTTCGTGGGGTGGTGTAGAAGGAGAGCATCGAAGAAGGCGATCAGAGGAGCTCCCTGACGACCGGCAGCTTGATCACTGACGCGGAAGTCTGTGACTGTGGTGATGCCAGTTTGTGCAGCGATGAAGGTTCCCTCAGCCATGGTCAATGCACTCTTCGTCTGACCTGCCTCGGGCATACTAAGTAGCCAGATCGTCTGGCCATGCGAGCCAATCACATCGATACTGTTGATGAAAACATCTTGCTCCTTGCAAAACTCCTTGACCGCATCGGCAAAGGTGTTTCCTAACAAGACATTGACTTCGGACAACTCCTCAGGTGTCGTGCGGTTATGGTAAATCATATTCATAACCCTCTTCTTGATCTTCTGCTCCAGTGGAATTTCTCCATACTTGAGAAGTTCAAAGTGCATCGGTGCCTCTGGACTGGTCTGGCGGAATCTGCAAAGCGCACAGTCGATACCGTCCATACTCGTTCCACTGTTCAATCCGAGTACGGTCAGGTCGAGTGCCGTTGCGTCGCCATTGATGTGTTCGGTGTGGCCGTTCATGGTGGTTGTGATGTGATGGTGTAACAGAGATTAGAAAACGAGGAAGCTTACACCCCAGCTGACAAGCAGGGAGCTCCTTCCAATAAATACATCCTCACATGACGTTCGAGCAGATGACTACCGACATATCGGACGTAGCGAGATGTCATTGCCCACAAGACAGAGGCCACCAGTGAGGAAGGTTAGTCGGAAGACCGTAAGAATGTTACTCTGACACGTTTAAGCGAATAACCGAATATCAAACCCGTCATCTCCACGACACCAGCAGTACGGTATCCCTGGGGTGCTTAGCAACTACGAACACCTTCCGGGGCCCCGAGCATTTTCTCGACCTCTTTCTCGGTTCCCGGTAACAGCGTGTACAGAAATGGGTTTCTAAGCCATACTCCAGACTAAGGTACAGCCATCTTGGATGAAGCAGATATAAAACCTTGGGTGACTACCCTCGAATGTCAATCACTCACCTCGACAACTCTTCATTATCCAGTCCATTTGTTACTGCTATGGGTTTCACAACAGCTTGGAAGAGGCTTTCGCCTACTCAACTCAACATTGCTATCCAGACGTTTGCTTTGATTTCTATTTTCTTCGAAGGCTATGATCAGGGTGTTATGGGTGGTGTCAATGCATCGCCAAACTACATCAGCGAAGTCAAGATTGGTCTACCAGATGGTACAGTAACGAACACCACCAAGCAGGGCGGCATCGTCAGTATTGTGAGTTAGGTCTCTTGGTCTGGAGACAAGACCCATGAGCTAACTAACCTCCAAAGTNACTATCTTGGTGCCATCGTCGGTTGTTTCGTCGGTGGGTGGGCAGCCGATCGTATCGGAAGAATCAATGGTCTCTTCTTCGCTGCAGTATTTGCTCTCATTGGAGGCGCCCTACAAGCTGCGACCCAGAGTGCCGATTTCATCCTCGTCGCCCGAGTAGTCACAGGTCTTGGAACAGGAGGTAAGCTCCCTCCCTTCATCCACCGATGACACCACTTTTCTAATCACCTACACCATCACACAGCCCTCACAGGTATCACCNCCGTCCTAGTCTCCGAAGTCTCGAGCGCAGAACACCGCGGCGGCTTCCTTGGCTACGTCTTCATCGCAAACTACCTCGGTATCTCTGTGGCCTACTGGCTGGACTTTGGCCTCTCCTTCGTCAACAATGGATACTCTGCTGTACGCTGGCGTTTCCTTCTCGGCTTCCAATGTTTGCCTGCCCTGCTCCTTCTCGCGGGCATAAAGATGCTGCCAGATTCTCCTCGCTATCTAGCTTCCGTGGGCAGAAACGCCGAAGCGCGCGAAGTTCTTGAGCGTGTGCGTGGAGACGCTGACCCCGAAGCCGTGGAAAAGGAATTCAATGAGATTGTCGCTATGGCTGAAGATACGAAACCCGCTTCTCCGATTGAGTTCATCAAAATTATGTTCGGGTTTGACAAGGACAAGGGTGCTCATTTGGGTCGCAGAGCTTGGTTATGCATCTGGCTGCAGATTATGGCGAGTTGGACTGGTATCACGGCTGTCACTGCTTATAGTCCAGTCTTGCTGCGACAGGCCGGGTACAGTCAGATCAAGCAGAACGGACTTGCAGGAGGCCTCAACACCATCGGTATTATCGGCACCATCATCTCTGCGCAAATCGTCGACAAATTCGGCAGACGCAAGTGTTTGATGTGGGGAGCTGCTGGCTTATTTGCTGTGAACTTGATCGTAAGTTTTGCCTCATTTTGACACTGCTGTCCATAATACTGACCTCTATCAAAGGCTGCCTCACTCTACGAAGCTTCCCGCCACGATCCCGCAAAAGCAGCCAGCATCGCGCCTGCAGCAGTCACCATGCTCTTCCTCTTCAACCTCGTTTATGCATCCACTTGGGGCACAGTTGCCTTCTTGATCCCCACAGAAATCTTCCCCAGCAGAATGCGAGCACAAGGCAATGGTTTCGGCATCACTGGTTGGGCGATCGGTGTCGGCTGGACTGTTTTAGTCAACCCAATCATGTTTGAGAACATCCAGGTATGGCTCAGAACTCCGTCTTGCCTCACTTACCAGTTACTGACAAGATACCNNCAGAGTCGAACATACTTTCTGTTTGCCGGTCTCAACTTCATCTGGATTGGTATCGTCTGGCTACTTTATCCCGAAACCGCAAACCGCTCACTTGAATCCATCGAAGCCATGTTCACAACATTGCCATTTTATTGGCAAATGGAAAAAGCCTATGCCGAGAACAAAGACATGTTTGCTACCAGCAAGCATGAAATGGAAAGAGATAGACTGTCAAAAGAAAAGGAGCTGGAATGTTTGCACGATGAATTGCCACATGTTTAGAAAGGCGGCTGACGGAAGCAGAGTTTTTTGATCTTGTTGTCTCGATTCTGTATGAATAGAGTAGTTGTCCGGAAGGCACTCAAACGTTATGAAGAGCTTTAGTTGAAGTCAAACGCCCAAGACCAGTTCTCGAATAGCTCTGCCGGAAAGTGTATCTGTGGTGAATCTTCAGAGATGGCTATTTGCTGCTGTACATGCAGACCAGGAGATGCCAATTCATGGCTGGCTTGATGCGTCCAAGGTGTCAATCCTGCAACAGCACTATTCGCATCTACCGACCGTTGTATCTTCATGAATTCGTCAATCCTGGAGACCTGAGCCCGCAACTTGTCGCTCGTCCCTGCAGGGCAGTAAAGATCGACCTCCAAGTTTGCCAGCAGGTTTGCGAGATCTAGCAACACTGATCGCACACGCCGATACGAGGATTCAGTGAGACCATTTTCGAAAGCTGAGCCCATTGTACTTCCAATACCCGCCAAGTGATGAAGAAGGGGAGAGCTGATGGCGCGAAGGTAGGCAACAGGAACACTAGCAAACCCGTTGATGACTTCGCTCGCGACCTGACACTTTTGATCTACAGTCGAGTTTTCAGTGGTGAACAGGACCATGCGGACTAGCTGCAGTGAGGCAGCGATATTTGCGGCTTGAAACCCGAAAAGATCTCTCTCGAGTCTACCCGTCAAGGGCTGTGTTGCTTTGAAAACAGGCGGCAACTGTTCGTAGAGGTTCATGATGTTGGTAAGGACAGATGTCTGCTGGGGGCTGCCTTGGTCAATATCGCCTAGGACAGAGGGTGTGCGCTTTACTGGATTTCGGAGATGGCCAAGCCGGTCGACTGCGTGCTCAAGTATGCGGTAGAGATCCGTGACGAAGTTCCATCCTTTCACCCAACTAGGGGCATTGTGCATGTTGCCTGTATTTATGGGGTTCGTGTCGCTAAAATACTCGTCGTCGCACTCGGCTGGGTAGCAGACATTGAAACAAGCTTCTCTACTTCGGGCGAAACCACCCCAAATAATGGAGGAGAAAATGTCCAGAGTATACATAGACCAAAATAGCCTTCTCCGTTCCTCAACTTCAACATGACCGATACCGGAAGGCCAATTGCTTTCGTTCTGTAGCATGCCTACAGCGATGAAACTTTGATAAAGACCGATATAGTAGTTCATCCGGGCAGTGTCTCCATATTGTATAGAAGCAATGGCGAGCAGAGCATAAGCTCGCATGTAATCGAACTCTTGCGATAATGGGGCATCGTGAGGAATGGCTTCTTTAGCAGCTCGGAATAGCTCTTCAGAAGACGGACTCTGCAACAAGGTTGCATCCCATTTAGCAGTGTACAGAGCGCCATCACGGACACGAGCCGATGAAAGGGCACACATCGCCAAGACTGAAGCAAAAAGAGGTCGACTCGTGGCGTACTCTCCACGCGAGACCCTTCGTAACAAGGTAGGGCGGTGGAAGTAAGGAAAGACTGGATATACGACCTCGAAGTATATCTCAGTCAGATCCATTACAATTGCTTGTGCAGGCATCATCCCCGGCTTCCAGGTGAAGGCGTCAAGCTCAGTCTCATGGTCAGCAGGAGACACCTGAGCCTGTACTTGTTGGCGGTTGGAAGTCATCTCTTGTACGTCGCTTCTCGATTGGCTTGTTGCCGACCTGGCTGATCTCGGCTTGGGGCCTCGCCGGGCCATAGGGCGGAGGGAAGTGCAAATCTCGCCATAATCAACACAATTCTGACATTGCCCTTGCTCTCCATCAGTAGGTCGACATTTGACACTACGAGCGCTGCACTGATCACATGCACGTCGATTGCGTCGTAGTTTCCGCGGCCTTTGAGAAATTTCAATCTGGCTCATGGCAGACAGTGGTCAAGTTGTTGCATCGTGTTGTAGATGAGCGGCAGAATTGAGCTTGGACGCCGAGGGACATCTTGGCATGATGTGCGTCATCATGATCACACATTGAGTCAGATCATGTTGCGGAATCATGAGAGCAAGATCATGATCCTCAAGCAACCTCTATTCCAACGTGTGGCTCATGCTACAACTTCTGGCATCTCAATGCCACTGTAATCGATCAAGTAGCTGTCGATGTCGTTCNNTGCCTGCGTATCAGTACTGTTACGTTGCTATATCGATTGAAACGTGACACTTACCCAATTCAGCAGGTCGGGGTTATCGAAAATGCTTTCTAGGGATGTGATATCCATCATGTCGTAAGTAGCATCTTGAGGTGGTGTTACATCTTGTTGCAGAACACGAGTGTTCCGTGTCGTAGTAGATGAAAACCGGTCAACCTCTTGTGGGTTGTGGCTGTCAGGCGCTAAAATCGATTGATGTTCACCATTCAATTTCGCTAGCATGAAACCCAGAACACGACTCGCGCGAACAGCGTCACGGTATGCGGGCTTTTTGCTGGACCAGACATGTCGGGCCTTCCGTAACGCTTCGATTTTGCGTGACCTCACCTCGTGGCTTCAATTAAATTAGTCACATATACCCAGAGCTGATCTTGGAAGATATGCATACCTTTGAGATCTTGACTCATTCAAATCCAAACAGATGATCATGGCTGCCGCGAACTGTTCGTGGAGGGTGATGTTGGTAAACATCCACTTGCTCTGGTACAGACGTCCTTGTGGCTGCAGAGCTTCAAAGTAGTCGTTCTGTAGGTCGAGCTGTCGGAGTGCAGATCTGACGCAGATTTCTCTCGATCGTTGAAAGGCAGGATCATCCTTTTTGCAACTCAAGTAAGGTCTGTGTAGGATACAGAATGCCTTGAGATACTGGAGTTCTAGCATGAACCGCTGCATGATCAGGTAATCCTGGTCAACGAAACTGGTCTCTGCAATAGTACGAATACGCAAGGAAGGTGGAACGTTTTGATGGCTTCTTTCGAGGCTCTCATGGAGAATGTTGGTTTCCTCGACGTCATGTCTTCGACTTGACAACGCATGTCGGATGACCGGACGGATGAGACGTACAGCTTCAGCTTTAGAGATGAAGAACAGCATGGGGATGTGAATTGTATCAGAGCGCGGCGGCGGCATGACAGTAGTGTTCTCGTCAAAATCCTCGTCCAACAGGTTGGCGGGAAATCGGCAGTCGCACTCGTCTACGCTGATCATCGCGGGTATACCTTGATGAGCTGACATGGTGATATCAAATATCTCGATATAGTGCCACGCCCGACGACGCATCTCGCTTTCGAACGCGGATAGCCTTGCCGACAGATGTGTGGGATCACGGTGATAGCCCATCTTTTGTGCAAGTCTTGTGGCCATAGTGAGAATGGGCCATGGCTGGATTTCAGGATCCGCATGAAGGGCATAAACGCAATGAAAATGGAACAGCAATGCTTCGACGGAGTATGGCTGAGCTTTGAGATATTGCCCGGCCACGAGGCACCTTGCAGCCATCCTCAACGAGCCGGCGGTCTTCGTGTTGCAAGGTTCGAAAGGCGCAGTTTGACCCCTTGCAATGGCAAGTTTTCCTGCCATGAACATGATGGAGAATAAGATGCTCAACCAACAGAAGGTTGTCGACGTGGGGTCTTTCCAGAAAGCTTCGTATTCTCTTCGAAACTTGGCACTATGTATGAAAGTCAAAGTTAAGAAAGACTCCTTGAAGTAAGATGCAACAAGACTGTCGGCTCTGTGGCGCTCAGGAAGTGCTGTAAGGACTTGTTCGATGGTCAGGAGCTCTTCTTGGCCGAACAAGGGATCTGCTTTGAGTGATGATTGTATTGGTTGTGCTGGTTCGGATGGGTCGTCATTTAGATCTGAGTCCATCACCGAGCGGATCTCATGGATGCTTTCTAGAATGGAAGCCCAGTGAGTCCCTCCAATGTAGTTGACTTGAGTTCCTTGTTGGCTCAGATGGCCACCGGCAGACACTTGAGAATATGCAGGGGTGTCTATGTGGGGCGAGGTGGTAGAGCTCGGAGGCGTGACAACAAAAGTGCTCATAGGTGCAGTATGCATCAAACCGTTGACCAGATCCTCGAGTTTCTGTAAACGACCAGCAGCAGCATCGCTATTGAAAGAGCGAGGTTTCGGGTTTTGCTTGACGGCGACCGAGGTGTACTCGCAAGCCGAAGGCTCTCCTCTCTTGATACAGGAACTGCATGGTCTTTGGCGGTCACATTTCAATTTCCTGTCGCGGCACGTCGAGCAAGACAGAGGACGGCGGTTCCGTTTCGCGACGCGATTATTGTTGGTGCTGGACGAAAAGACAGAAGTGAAGTTTGACAGATCTGCCATGAACTTCTATGTCGCAACCAGGACTGGATGCAAGCCTCGAGACACAAATTGCCAACTAGTATTGTAATGTTGTACAAGACTCGAATGGATGATGTGCGAAGCATTGTCGGAGTTAGCTCCTTCCGTTTTGGGCCAGCACGTAGACCCTGAGAATGCTCACGCCAAGAGAATTGCGGGCAAAGGGCGGAGGTGAGTCGGACGAAGCTTTTGGTTCGCGAAATGAAATTGGCATGTGATGATTGAGCTTGACGAGGCCGCCAGGGAGGGTTTCTTTCTCTTCTAGTAGTGTTTCAATACAACTGGCCTATGTTAAGAGACGCTCTGATTTTCTATCGCGTGTGCCAGTGAGATCAAATCGTATCCGACGTGAAGAGCGTCGTCAGCACCGGGTAAACACGAACAGCATCACCAAAACATAGCCTCAAGGTTCGAGGCAGCCACATGTCCCCATGAACCGCCCAAACCCATTCGCGTCCAACAGCTTCTTCAAGCCAGCGTCTTCGCTCCTCGGGTCCTCGAACAATTTCAATAACGCTACGCGCCGAAGAAGCCTATCATTGGACTCGGACACCGAAGCCCAACGCCATACCCCTGAGCCACCATCTCTATCAGCTATCATGGACGGGGAACCTGCTGCCTCAACCTCTGGGACACAGCAATTGATAGCAAGCCCTACGATTCCTCTCGTCGACATATCACGCTCTCCGTCACCATTCGCAAAGGCCAAAAGTGCCGCACAATCCAAAGATGACGAGGAATACGAGATGCGATCCATGTCTCAAACCAGACACTTGGTCGCAAAAGACAATGTTGCCAGAGACCAAAGCAGTGCACAGCGAATCTTTCAGAAAGGTGGCATTGGTCAATTCTTGTTCGGCACTGCTGTGGGCTGGCGTGTGTACTTGGCTTTGTTGGTCTTTTGGGTCGGAGGTTGTCAGTTTGGCACACTGCTCATGAACAGATTCATTCTTTGGACGGGCACATACAAGTTTCCTTATCCACTCACCCTCACTCTGTTACAAATCTGTATAACCCATGTGTTCTTGCTCAGCTTCGCTGCTTTGACCAGAGGACTTGCTGGACCCCTGAGAAGCATTGGGCTGGGTGCCATTGTCGCCCCATCCCAGGCATACAACAAGGGAAACAGGCCCACAAGATATACTGGAGGCTTGAAAACTAAATCTGTCTTCAGCAACATCTCGCACTGGTTTATGCACGGCTCTGGAGGCATCGCAGGGNGCGGTCTGTTTGAATATCAGCGCAATACAGCCAAGCATGTCTTTCCTGTCGCTATCGTCTTTCTCGCCAAGACCGTCCTGTCCAACATTTCCTTTGCTTACGCCGTCATGCCCATGTACATGATCTCGAGGATTGCCGTCATCCCTTTGACTTTGATATTTACAGCCATCTTGCTTCGCCAACAGCATTCAATTCAAACCATGTCAGCAGCCATGATCGCCACACTGAATCTTCTCATGACCAGCATTCGGCCCGGAGAGCGCGACCCCTGGGAGTCAGTGGTTGCCGGTGTCTCCAGCTCAATTTTCGTCGCCCTATATCCAATCCTTCTTCTCCGTGGGTACCGCCAGCTAGTCTCTGATCTAGTACCACAAGGTGATCGACTCAGCGCCGCAGACCCACACGCCNCCTCCACCACCACAGGCACCAAAGAAGAAACACGCGCATACTGGAGAATCCTACACTACACCTCTTCCCTCACAATCACCCTCCTAATCCCCTTCGTCCTCCTCTCCGGCGAACTCCAGCAAATAAACCGCAACTGCTACTTCTTGGACGTGCCTTGGTTTTGGTTTCTCATGTCTTGCGCAGGTTTAGGTGGCTTTGGAGTCTTTTGCTCGTTTTTGCTGTTGGTAAAGGCGACGTCGCCATTGTCGGCTAATTTTGTGTCGTTGCCGAGGAGTGTGTTTCAGATTGTGGTGTTGAGTAGGTTTAAGATGCCGGCGCATAGTTGGGTCGGTGCTGGGTTGTGTGTGCTTAGTTGTTTTTGGTATTGTCTTGCTAGGATCAGGGATGGGAGAGGTAGAGGCGGGTTTGGTGTTTGATTGATCGAGAGTACCACACCTAATTAAATTTGTCACAACACGCACTGCGATTGTTCGAGGGCGAACTGACAGACGCTTCTTATTCATGATCTGTGATCATCTTGTCAAGACCTAGACCGCTTTGATCACATGTATCTGTCTTGAGTTTGGTCTGCTCTAATTGAATAATCGCCAACCAGCGACTAGCTATTTGACGCCCTCCATCACAAGCTGACAGACATACTACGCTGTCCGTCCCCCAGATCCCTTCTGACAAGCGTACCAAACCATCGCCTGTTCCTCAACTTCTCAGCCCTTCTCTCAGGATGCAATTCCTCTCTCGGACCCTTCCACTCCCTCAACTCATCCTTGCCATCAGCATCCTTACCAATGATGACATCAAAGTCAAACAACCCGCCGTAAGAGCCAATGCAGAAACTCGCTCTCACGTGCATACCTCCATGTTGGGACTTTGCTTGCTCGCTGATGTATGGACCCATCAAGGCGACGATTCTTGCTGCCATGACGCTAGGTTCGTATTTGGAAGCTAGTTCTTCGGCCCAGCCTGTAGCTGGTTCATTGGATGTTGTGACGAGGGCTGTTGTAGAGGGCGAACGTGTATTGAGCCAGTAGTCAAGGATCTCATCGTCACGATGATCATCCTCCCACAGTGTATGCAGCCAAAGTGATAGGATCAGATGGCGTAGGCTGTGGAAATGGCGGAGTGGTGCGAGCATGTATTCTGTGATCGCTGTAGGGTTCCAGAGAAGGGGTGCTCCACGATATCCGCAAAATTTGAGCTCTGTAACTGTATTCGCATGGTATGAGGCCAGCGTATGCAGAAATGGCGGAGCTGGCGGCCATCCGTACTCGGCCTCAAAGACTTCACTAGAGCCAACCGACTCTGGTGCCGTTGTACCAAGACGAATGATCTCGTCAGTGTCTTCCTCCTCCAGAGAGCCAAAGTCGTCAAAATCGTTGGGATCCTCGTTAATGCCTAAGGATCCAATGTCTCGTCCAGCGAAGCCCCATGAATTGCCGATGGGGCTGTTAACTCCTATCATGACAATTCTTTGCAAAGGTGACTGGCGCAAGGCTCTGGTTGTTTCGCGTTTCTCGTCACGCGGTATACCTCCCTCCATCTTCAGGGTTTCAAGTTTTTGCATACGAGCTGCAAATTCGGAGATAAACCTTCTGCGACTTTCGCGACGACTTGAGTCTATGGGATCGTCCGAGTCGTCAGTCTTGAATTCACCACTCCGGCTGTAGACAGTGTCTACTCGAAGATCTTCGAGCGTACGTGCCATCTTAGATATCACGACGTTGATCCGTTGCTGAAGTTCTGGTTTGGTGGTGTTTTTGTGCCTGAAGAAACGATCGGCTGGCCAAGCGAAAGATCGAAGCCTTTGATGTGACTCCAACCAGCTTACACACATATCTGCGTCAAATGTAGAATCGGAAGTCAGTCCACATGTATCCAAGAGATAAAGGTCTTGTGGCAGCTCGGATTCGGGTATCACCGCATTCCTAAATTGGAAAGCGCGAAGATGAGGGAAGTGTAGCTTGAACATCCTGCTGAACATCGCTTCCAGACCTGTTTTCGACTCGGACGAAGCGCGTTGGTCTGTCCTTCTAAAGAGCACCCAATCCAGGTTCAGCGAGGTAAGAGAAGCAGCAGAATGCTCTAGTATGTGTATGAATGTAGGGTACGGATCTGTATCAGATGGGGCGTAATCTGGATGGTTACGATCGAGAAGCTGCTTCACACTGTTTGTAGGAGATTTTTCTTCGTCTGATAGTTCTTGCTGAATCGAAGAGATTAGCCCGCCAATGTCAGGGATTTTCTTGTATATCTCTTCGTCAAAGTTATGAGCGTCCTTGAACGAGAGGTCGAACTGTTTTCTGGCTGCTTCGATATCTGACTCGTCTGCTTGAGGATTGTGGGCTATGATCAAATTTCGGATGAGTGCTTCTTGGTGTCTGAAGAGCTCAGTCGAAGTCTTGATCACACCACCGCGGCCATCCTGCCTGATTTCAAAAGCTCTATCATTTCGCCAGTCCGGGAATGGGCCTCGAGTGTAGACTTCTTGTGAGTCGTGTCTCCCAGTGTTGGCTAGCAGTGGTAATCGACGTAATCGAAAACTCTCTAATCCCCTGAGGTCGAATGACTGGAGTAGTCTTTGTGAGATGCCAGCAATGCTACAATTCTCGAGCCAAAGGTGTCGAACGGTAGAACCATTTGGGTTACCTAGCAGTCCAAGTAGAAGACCGCGGGTGAGATTCCAGTGGCCGAAGATGATCCGCAGCGTGTGTATGCTAGTGAAATTCTGGCAAGCCTTGTCCAATAGCCGAAGTGTCCTTATGTCATGAGACAGTGTGCGGCCTTGAAAATTGATCCTCGGTAGTTCATAAAAGATAGCAGGCGGTGGTAGATGACAGCGATGTGTCAAAGTGTGGACATGGGACGCGATCCACGGATTGCTTGCCAGAACAAGGAGTTTGCGAATAATGGGCGTATCGTCGTGCTCATCACTCAAGTCAGGCGTTGCAGGATTCGTTGTACTGCAGTCTATAAGATCAACGTTCTGCCACAGTAGGGGAGTTCCCTTGTCGTATGACCAGCGACATGCTTGGGCGAAGTTGGCCAAGCTGTGATCATCAAGGTATTGTAGAGTTTCGTGTAGAATCTCCTCAGGCAGTCGACCAAGCAGATTCGACCTTTCACCCATGTTGTCTTTATTCCCTGGTTGGAATGAATACAGATTTTTGGGGCTCACTGGAGTGTCGTTATCTGTTGACAATGAGTTTGATGTTTGGTATAGCGGAGACGAGCGCCTCGGCTCGGGGTTACGAGATGACGTACCGGTTTGTAAGTACCAGACAGCGGTGAGAGCAACGAGAAGAGTGATTGAGAGTTGCAGATAGACTGTATTGTCGGTCGACGCCATCTTGGCTACATGGTTCGCGTTCATCGGAAAACAAACACGACGACGACGAATGTTTGTATAGGGTCATTCCAAGGTGCAGTGGTTGGCTGCCGCGTTGAGCTGGTCGAATTAAGGTTTGGGATTTATCGATAAGGGAAGGAGCGGGAAAGTTTTCGGACTTGTCTTTGGCAAGAGCATCTTTCACGCAGTCCCTCACAATCACACATCTACCATAATAACCAAACAAGAAATGTCAGACACAGAAGAAGGAGGAGTCGGTATCCCCTTGATGGAACCCCTGTCGCCATCAACATCGCCCGAGCCCCAGACTCGACCCTCAGGATCCAAGCGCAAGCGTGAAGACGGAGACGAAGACGAAGCACCCGCTACACAGACCAAGGCCGCAAAGCGCAAGAAGGCGAAGAATGCAAAGAAGGCAAAGCAGCCCAAGGACATCGAGGAGGACGCCCTGGATCTTGAGGCTGGAGTCAACCACGCCATTGCCCATATGGACAGTCAGTTGCTTGCCGACCACGTCGCCCAGCGCACCAAGCGCTTCCACAACGAGTTGAGCGACATGGAGTTGGAGGACATGCACATACCATGTTAGTGAACTTCATGCGACAGCCTAGGACTATACTGACGAGGGACAGCACACGCCATCGTGGATACCACATCCTGGGACAAGCCGCGCAACCTGGAGAACCTACCCGCCTTCATCGAGCAGTTCAAAGACGAAAGACGAAGCGACAAGCCAGGAAAGACTCTCTCGGACTCGGTCAAACAAAAGTCAACACCGCACACAATTGTCATTGCTGGCTCTGGAATCCGAGCTGCCGAATTGACAAGATCGCTGCGCAAATTCCAGACGAAGGACTCTTTCATCGCAAAGCTGTTTGCCAAGCACATCAAACTGCAAGATGCTATCAAGATGGTGAAGGAGTCAAAACTTGGCATGGGTGTGGGTACACCTCAAAGACTGATTGATCTGTTCGACGATGGTAAGTTCGACCATTTTGCAAAGCCCGAAGCGAATGCTAACACTTCCAAGNGTGCTCTATCGGCAGGTAGACTGGAGAGAATCATCATTGATGCTTCGCATATTGATTCCAAGAAGCGCGGCATCCTGGACATGAAGGACACGGAAAGCCCCTTGATTAAGCTGCTGACAAGATCCAGCTTCAAGGAGAAGTATAACGAGGACAAAATGAAGAAGATTGAGTTGATCTTCTACTAAGGAAGGAAAGACCCTGTTTGTCACGTTTAGCAACTCTGTTCATACTGTCTTTGATACCCGATTTACTATCACATGGAGAACAACAACCATATATCACCTGCACGAGGCGCTCGTTTGCATCATATCTCTTCTTCGTGCGAAGAGCAGGTTTTGAACATTTATATGCTGTCTTAAGGCAGACAGTCTAGGGGCTTCGTAAGTCACAGCCTCGTAAACAAAGGCGGTAATGCTGTTTGTCGCACTGCCTCCAACACCGTCCGATTCGCACCTTGATAACGCCGTTTCCCGTCCGTAGCCTTCTTTTGGTATCTCGATCCGTGTCCAAGTAAGGGGATGCACATTGTCGTGGGCAGCTCCGTAATGGCGGGTGGAGGTCGCATTGTATAATCGTTGCATCTTGTATCGGTAAAAAGCCGCTCAAGTGAGAATAACCATGATGACCGAGTCTCCTCTCAGGAACNNCTGGCAGTATTGAACGTCAGCTTCAATCGATATGTTCGGACTAAGTATAACAACGCACATCTTGCTGATGAAGCGGTCCTTGTTAACACCTCTGCCCTTCTTTCCCTGGCTGTTCCTTGGGAACTCGGTCCACATCTCCTTGACGTTCTCGAGGACCATGTTGCAATGTCTGTCAAATGCTTTTACGCGAGCGAGGAGTTTGCGGTTGTTGCGACACGAGATGACGACCTGGTTGTGGTTGCGGACAGCGGTCTGGAGGATGGAAAGAGGGCCAGCAGTAAATTCATGCTCTTCAACGCGAGCAATCTCGTACTCGNNCTATCCGAAGTGTCAGTCGATGCGATGCAGAAGGAATCGGGGTAGGATTTACGTGAGCTCGCTGCGCGGCTTCTGCAGAAGGTCGCTGTGGGGAGGTTAGCATTGCGGTTCACAGAGCGCATAGATATAGCATCATCACTCACGTAATCTTTGCTGACTCGGACATGGTTGTGGATGTATGTGATGAAGCAGATGGAATGTCGCAACGAGGCAGGTGCAGGTACGACGGCTTGCGGCGAGCTGGAGGCCGGTCTTGGCGCGTCGGGACAGTGACGATTGGTGTTGGTCGCCGCTGCGATTGTCCAACATCGACAAGCTCTCCCGTTTGATTCCCATCCATCACCTGAAGTCCTCCCCTACACATCACACATCGCCGCCCATCATGTCTGAAGGCCGCCTGAAAGCAGACAGAGATTTCACCAAAGAGGTTGACAAGGCCGTCCCCGAAGCTCAGGACCTCGCANAAGGTAGCTCTGTCGTGTGTCCGCAACACCACTCACTCTGGCTAACCCTATCGTAGAGCAATGTACAAGGCGCCATCGAGAAGCTCCTCGCCCTAGAGAAGCAAACCAGACAAGTGCGCTCCATCCGCCGTCCATCACATCAATCAGCAACACTAACATCATCCNAGGCGTCGGACCTCCCTTCCACATCCAGACTCGTTGTCGCCATCGTTACGATATGCAAAGAAGCCAAGGACTGGCCGCTGCTGAACGAGCAAGTCCAGCTTCTGTCCAAGAAGCATGGTCAACTCAAACAGGCCATCACCAAGATGGTCCAGGTTTCCATGGACTTCATTGACGATACCCCCAACATCGACACCAAGCTGTCCCTGATCGAGACACTCCGTACCGTTACCGAGGGAAAGATTTTTGTTGAAGTCGAGAGAGCCAGAGTCACACGCATCCTGTCAAACATCAAAAAGAGCCAAGGAGACATCACTGCCGCCACCGACATTCTGTGCGAGCTGCAGGTCGAGACTTTCGGTTCCATGACACGCCGTGAAAAGACAGAATTTATCCTGGAGCAAGTTGCACTTTGCATCGAGAAGGGCGATTGGACACAAGCAAGTATTCTGAGCCGCAAGATCAGCACTCGCTACTTTGCCCGCAAGCCCAAGAAGACAGCCGAGCAGTTGGAGCAGGAGCGCAAGGAGCGTGAAGAGGAGGAGAAGAAGCGTGGTCCTGATGACGCTCCGGTCGAGCCCGAAGACGATGTCACAGACCTAAAGCTGCGTTACTACGAGCAGCAAATCACCCTGGCCAAGCACGACGACAAGTACCTCGACGCCTGCAAGCACTACCGTCAAGTTCTCGATACCGAGGCCGTCGAGAATAACCCTGAGCAACTAAGAGCTGCTCTGCAACGCGTCGTCTACTTCATCATCCTCGCCCCTTACGACAACGAGCAGTCAGATCTCCTTCACAGAATCCACCGCGACTCCCGCAACTCACAAATCTCACACGACGCCGCCCTCCTTAACCTCTTCACCGTTCCCGAGCTTATGCGTTGGCCCGCAGTTGCTGAGAACTACGGTCCTCATCTTTGCAAGACCGACATCTTCGATGCTACCGAGAACATTGCCGACCCCAAGGCTCACAAGCGCTGGCAAGACCTGCGCAAGCGTGTCATCGAGCACAATGTCAGAGTCATTGCCAAGTACTACACCAGAGTCCACTTCAAGCGCTTGACTGAACTGCTCGACCTTAGCGAGGAAGAGACGGAGAAGTACATTAGCGATCTTGTCGTGAGCAAGACAATCTACGCCAAGATTGATCGTCCTGCTAGACTCGTCAGTTTCGAGAAGAGACGTGATGCTGACGAGGTGCTCAATGAGTGGTCAGGCAACATGAAGAGTCTACTCGGCCATCTCGAGAGAATCGACCATCTCATCACCAAGGAGGAAATGATGGCCAGAATCCAGCCCACCAACAAGGGCGAGAAGGCACCGAGCAAGGTTCGGTAAGCCCTGAGAACTGGCTATGTACTAGTATAATCTCTCTATAGACCCACGAAATGCACCATGATCCATGAGCTTCTATCATCTACATCTATTAGAATGGCATGTCCATGTCTTCGGCCTTGTCTTCCTTTTTGTTTTCTAGCGAGTCCTCTGGTGGTCCGCCAACGACTTCTCTGATGAAAGCCACCAAGGCCGCGACATATTGCTTCTGACTACTGGGCAAGAAGTGACCGCCAGGGTGGTAGACAAGTCTAGCAACACCACCCTCAACACCCCTGCCAGTCACGCAGGCATCTACAAGACGCAGACTCCTCGACTCTTCCACCACCGTATCCACACTACCGATAAAGTGCAACATGGGCGTCATGATCTTTGGCTCATAAAACGCAGTATACAGCTCATTCGGTGCAGCCCCAAACCCACTATAGCTCACCGCAAATTTGAGCGGCTCTTGAATGACATCCGTCATGAATCCAGTATCGTTCTCAAAGCTCTCTGGGTAGCGCATACCACCCTTCAACTGTTGTTTCTCAAACGCTTCTCTGCGGTTTGCTTCTAGCAGGGAAGCGAGCATGCCTGCGCACGCACCGCCTTGGGAGAACCCTATACAGCCGTCAAAAGGTCCTTGCTCTTTTATCACTGCTGCGATGGTGGAGAAGCCTTGTTCCATGCCTTCATAGCGGAAAGGCTCGCCATCGCCTTTTCTTCTCCACCATGCATAGGCTTCTGGGTCGGAGTCGCTTGCTGCGCCGTCTACATCGTAGCCGGGTATATCGTTTACCGACAGCTTTAGAGGCGCAGTTGGATATACCAATTCCACGCCGCCGGGGAACGAAGGCAAGAAACCCGGCTTCGGGGCGGCGGGGAATGCTTTCTCCAGGTTTTTNTCCAGGGCGCGGGTTTTTGCGTGGAAGAGGGGTCCATTTTGGGTGTACCCGTGGATCATGAGGATCTTGAGTTTGCGCTGGGGTGGGTTTGGAGACATGGTGGTGTTGGTTGAGGAGGAGAGGATTGAGAGATTGCGGGTGGGGTTGCAGAGGTGGGAGGTAGTGAGGTGGGTGCGTCGCAGAGCTGAGGACGATAGCATGGCACGTCCTTGGATCGAGGAGTGTTGCTTGCGGTATGGGCATTGATATATGTTGGCCGTGCGTTTTCTGTTGATGAGAGCATATCGCCGTTAAGTCCGTAGAGTCTATGACATAGGCGGCTCGTGCATGTCCTTATCAGGTACAGATGTTGTCTCAGAAGGTTGAAAATCATGTTGTTATCGAAGCAATTCATGATTAAATCCATCCACAAGGACTACTTTATCAGATCGACCAAGATGTTGCTCTCCAAGCGTATGACAAGCCAAGTCAGCCGTGTCGCGATCAATCGAGGGTTCTCCATCGGATCTCCTCTTATGACAGCCACCAGAAGAAGACGAGTACAAGACGAGATTCACCGACCATCGCTCTCGGGCTCCTCAGTCGGCCACCTGTTCTCCGAGATCAATGCCATGAGGCCCGGCATGGAAGCACTAAGAGCGGAAGGCATGACCGAAGACCAACGAACCTATGCTCGCAAGACTGCAACATGGTTGATGGGAGTTCCTGTTGTTCTGGGCGCATTGATCGTGGGCGGGAATTGGATCTCGAAAGACAGAGAGAGTAGTACGGAATCCAAGGAATGAATAGGATGGTACTTGTTCATGAGAAATGGATAGGACAAGAAATGAGGATTGACGTTGCATGTGGATATGAAGATTTCGTAGGTACTACCAGTCGTGCATGAACCCCTGGTTGGGCTCAACTTACGCTACAAACAGATGTTCTTGTCGTCGGCGACCGCGGTTGTACGCGGACACTGATCCATCGTGTCAAGGCGTACAAATTTAGCTGCAAACAGATGAACAATCGAAGAGAGCATGACGTCTTGTTATATACGACGACTGGGCGCCAAGATGGAGCATTACGAGGCGGTATACGAGGCAGGCTGAGTTATGGTTGAGGGGGCAGAGTCGCACTGTAGAGCGAATCATGTAGGCAGTTTTCGTGAGTTGCAAATAAGCAGCATTGCGGTTGCAGAGATAAGACGATATTGCGAGATAGATATCAAAGGAACGATGCAGGCTAGGGGCCAACGTGAAACCATGTCGGTGCAGGCTCGGTCGGGCCAAATCAACAAGCGTTAGGTTGGCAGCGAAACTTGGAGTTGGTCACCGTCGTCAGTCCGGCTCTTGCAGGAAGGTTGAAACCCGCATGACAGCCCCCTAGCCTTCGCTTTTCCTTCAAAGCATATTATTCCCGTCAGCTGAGACTTCCAGACTTTGCTCTGACACATCTTCGGTCACGTCGTGGTGTCGACATTCAGTCGCGACGACGCACCCCCACGGGCAACAACGGCGGGGATTCGAACAATTGTTATGCCATGAGAGTGCAGCAGTAGACTGACTTGTTGGATATGGAACGCCCATACCAGTTTTCCGACGACCGAGACGGCGCGCGTTCACCCNTTGTATGTGGCACCCTCGCCCTGTCACTCGCAACGACTAACACTGCGCGCAGCAACCAGCAACTGCTCAACCCCGTCACACAGCCGCCAGGCACGTCTTTCAAAACGAATGTGAATCGTAGCAAAACGCGCAAATGGGCAGAGGCCAAGAACTATTCTTACGACGGCGACGACTGGGGCGGCTATGATCCCTACGACGAGTACGGCAGTTACGACGACAAGCAGGACCCTCCCCTGCCTGCTGCCCAACCACGGCGGAACTCGTTCGAGGCTGGTGAAGAAGTCGCTGCCTTCTCTTCTGGTCAACAGCAGCAGCAGCAGCATCCGCCACCTCCTCCGGCGCATACCACTCCTACCAAGCCGCAGCCTCTCCAGCCAGCGTCGCAACCACAGAACGACTATGGCATACGCCGCGACTTTTCCCAGATTGCTCATGTCCCGCCACCCTTGAAGACGAACACCTCTCCTCAGGCCGTTCGCGAACGTATCCCTGCCAATTTCCCTGCCAGGNAAGAGCAGTCTACAGACCAGCCTGCCATCTTCGCCCGGTCAAACCTCGCAGCAACCCCCTGTTCAAGAGCCTGTCTCGCCAACCTTGAGCGCTTCTGCTGCTCCGAATNNGCTACTAAGGCTCTACCATTCATCCGTCCTGCCGATATCTACAAGCGTATGGAAGAGGAGCGTTTGAGGGAACAAGAAGCGAAGAACCAGATTGAACAGACCCCTGTCAGACAAGAAGAACACCAAGGCTTTGTTGTCAAAAGCCCTGTTCTGGCCAGAGCCATTGGCGCAGACGTTGCTCCTGCTGCCCCTGCTGAAACGAACAGTGTGGAGGAGGCAAGTGCCTCACTGGGTTCTGCTCTGCCAGCAGTCAGCCGTGTCGCTTCTGGATTCGGCTCAGATTTCTGGAATGCTTCCGAGTTGTCTAGTACGCTGAACGCTGCCGACAATCTCTCGCCAACAACCACCAACACTGAGCCTGTAGCACCTGCTGAAATCAACAGTGTTGAAGATGCATCCCATGAATTGCAAGATGCCGTGAGTCAAGCATTCGAGCGACGAGACGACTTGTCTGTCCCTCCTACGCCCATCTCTCGCGACAATTCTCAGTCAGGTCATGGATCGGACACGGCAGGGATAAGTCCCATCATGAGCCGTGTGCCGAGTGCTGCGACCGCTGAAGCGAAAGCCCGCCTTGCTGACAACCGAGAGATGGGTCCCATCGCTGAGGAAAGCAGTGTGCCTGCTAGTCCCAGCTCACGCCCGTCTTCCTCACAACAGATCATCCCGAAGAGGCACTCGCCTGCACACTCCCGCCACGTATCGGCGGAGTCTTTCAATAACAGCCCTGCCAGAACCCCACAGTTGGAATACACTAAGCGACTCTCGACTCCAATGTCGGCGGAGAGCACGAGTCTGCAAGATGAGCAAGCTGTTTCGCCTGTCGATCCGCCTAGCAAGCCTCTTCCCGTCGCTTCGGTTCGTGTCATTGCGCCTTCGGCAGACTACAGCCGTAGGGAGTCAGACATCGCTGCCGATGCGTCTTCGAGTTCGCCGATTGATACTGCCGAAGCCGCAAAGGCTGCCAGAGCAGATTTCTTACAAACTCACGAGAGGGTCAGATCACCAGTGATTGGTAGTCCTAGGTCGCCCGTGATTGGAAGCCCTATCGACCGCAGTTCCTCTCCGATTTCACGGCAAGGATCACCTGGGCCTGGAAGAGTCCGTGATCTTGCAGGAAAGTACAATGAGCTTCACACTCTCTCGAGGAGCAATTCTGCCATGTCTTTTGGCTCGCAGAAGAGTGATAACATGTCCTTGAGAAGGAGTGGTACTTTTGACAGCACCACCAGCGATACTAGCGGTGTGACTGGTGACGACAAAGTTGTCGAATCTATCGAACAAGACCCCTCGACTCGTCCAGACCCCACCCGAGGCCCTAGCTTCCGTCCACACTTGCCTGGCGAATGGGTGTCATATGTAGGAACTCCTGGAGCAGAAATTCCTGTGGCGCAAGAGGCTACCAGACGTACTGTTGAAGACACAAGAGATGACGTTCAGCCTGATCAGAGCACTCCTAGGCAGGCAACATTCCCCTCCACAGAAGACCTCGATCCCACACCTGCAACAGTGAAGCAACCACTTGCTCACAGGGACATCCAACCCAAAGAGACTAGTCCCGTGGATACCCTGAAGAATGCAGGAGAAGCACTAGGCGCCGCGCTATTATCCTCGTTCGGTCAAAACCATGGTACTAGAGACTTTGCTCAGACAGAGCCACAATCACCGGAGGAGGATTTGACTGAACCTCGACGATCAGTCGGAGATGTCTACCTTAGACCCTTGATGGTCGACCGTAAGGCTTCATCTATCGCTTCCAGTGTTGGTCCTACACCGCCAGCCAAGGACACTCCTGATGGACTCAACATCTCAGGGGCGTCTGGTTACTTCCCTCCACCAACTCTGCGCATCAACTCAGACGCAATGACACCAGCATCTGATTGTTCGCCTGCTGATATGGAAAGCGACCGTTTGCGCAGAGAGATTGAAAGAAGTCTCACACCCCAGATACATTCTGAGGATCAGCAGATTCGTGATCAGGATGCTCTGGACGCGCCTGCAACCCTTAGAGAACTCCAGAAGACTGAAGGTCTCCGAACTGTTGAAGCCCAGCCTAGGTCGAATGCGCCTGCAGTTGTTGCTGAGCCTACAGCATCGCAAACAACAACACAGGCTGCAGACGCTGGTCTCCTTGGTAAGCGCTTCAGTTTCGAGAGAGATCAGAGCGCGTCTAGCCTGTGGGGCGAGGTCGGTGAGGAAGTAAAACGTGCTTCTTACGAGCGGCCCAGATCTGGCGTCGGGCTCCATGTAGTGAACACGAATTTGAGCAGCAGCAGTGATTCGAGTGCCTCCTCTGTTAGGAGTGTCCTAGCGGAGACAATCGAGGAACCTGTTGGTGTGCCTCTACAAGCCGTCATCAGTCCGCCTTCGCCTATGGCATCGCCAGATATTCCTGCAGTGGTCACCAGGGACGAGACAATGACTGATACAGTCGCTCCTCCTACGGTAGAGCTGCCAACTTCGATAGAGGAGCCTATCGGTGAACAACAACTTCCCACAATTCCTAAGGAAAGCAAGACCCCATTGACGCCCTCCACGACCACAAACACAGCAGCTCGCATTCCTACCGTCAGAGAGATCATGGCGTTGAAGTCGGTTGATGAGCGTGTCAACACTTACAACTCTTCGCGCGAGCAGATTGCTTCAATGGACACCGGTCTTGGTAGTTGGCTTAGTTCGACTCTTTCTTTTCATCCTGAGCATGCACATGTTGTGGCGGATGCAGCAAAGAAACCTGCGACGACAAATGCAGTTGGTGGCAGTATTCGCTACAAGTCTCAGCCTGGAAACATCATGAAGATGGCCAGAAAGGGCCTTAGTGGCGTTACAAACAGAGAGCCTTCGGGCTCACACGCAGCTGATCCTAGTCAGACGCCTTCCCCTGTCGACCGCCAAAACTCCAATGCAGCTCTTCGCTCACCATCGGCACAGCATGGAGGCGTGGAAAAGATGCAGACAAAGGGCAAGGACTTGTTGCATTCCGCCGGCATGTTTGGTGGTAAGGCCACCGTAGGGGCTAAGGGCCTATTTGCAAGAGCCAAGGGAAAGCTTCGAGAAGGTGGAAGCGAGAAGGTAGATTGATTCTTTCCTTCTGTTCAAAATCCCCTCACTGATCTTTTTGATGTTCTTCTTGATTCTCTTGCCACATGCATCTCAACGATTCAACGTCATGTTACTGCGATACTTTTCTTTGGCGGTCACTTTCCCAGCCGGCGGACTTGTCTCTTTGCGACTTCAGCATGAGCGTTGACCTTGGATGGGAGGCATTAATGATCTGAATGGCGGGTTGCATGTACCGTTTCGGCTGCGTAATGTTAACTGAATAATCCCCCAACTCATCACTCAATCCAAAAGACTTGAAAGAACGTATGTTGATAGGTGTATTTTCACAGGCTTCCGGATGCGCTACATCCAGCAACGCCGCGCTTGCCTCGCCCACGTCCCCGAATGCCACGGACGAGAGTGGCAGCAAAGCCAACAACCGTTTCTCCACAGCGTTCGGCCGTTTTGGTGGTGGGTCTTCTGCAGAGCGATCGTTGTCTCAGTCTGCAGCGAGTACCCTGCAGCCACCTACAGAAGGCCCACAGGTCGTTGTATCTCCAACTGTGGAACGACCTCCCGCATTAAACATACCATCAAGTGGCGCGGATGCGTACATCGCTCCATGGATGGAAGACAAGCCAGGCGCGTCGAACAAGGATCTTGAGAACGAGAGATTCAAGAGAATTGGTCTGTTGCCGAGTCCTGCATTCGGTGGGTCGATGAACTCGCGCGAGTCCAATGAGAACATTAAACCCAGTGACGAGAATGATGATCCGATGGAAGGAGCGACACGCTTGGATGAGCTGAGCAGGGACCATGACAACGAAGTTCCGAAGGCATTCGCTATCGACACTCTTCCAGAATCAGCTGCGCCCTCGCATGGGGAAGAAGTTGCATCCGAAGCAAAAGCTGATTTGCCTGTTTCAGCTCTCGCTTCGGACGATGCTGGACTATCGACAGGCACTAATGATGTTGCATCAGAACACCCCGGTCCTGTCGAGCACACTTCAAACATCAACAGAAGCCCGACACGCCGTCCTGTTCTTCAACAGTCCGTCCCCGATGTACAGCCTTCGTCTCGTAAACCTTCGGTGTCCAGCCTAGATCCTGATGACAACAACTTAGCCCAAAACCTAGTGCCTCTGAAGAGGAGTGTGAGCCCCCTGCTTGCCGAGTCGACTACGCACCTACCTGTTACTGCCGAGAAGGCAGAGCCTGAGTCTCAAAACACAGGGGAAGAGACAGACGATTCCAGACCCCGAATCGTCAGCCGCAGCAGTCTTCCATCACAGCAACGTCCTCAATCACAATCAAGACAGTCGTCCTGGCAATGGAAGAGCTCAGGTACATCGTTGGTCGGACTAAACAAGGCTCAAGGAGATGCAACCGCTTCTCCGGTAAAGGCTAGATCGATGTCTGGTCAACCCATCGCTTCCGGACCTGTGAGTCGTGCTGAATCGCCAGTCTCTTTCCTCGAGATGGCACCCGCTCAAAAGCAAAGAAGTACAACTGCGCCTGGTGCATACTCGTCAGAGGATGCCAGTGCTGTCCCTGGAGCACGATCAGAGCAGGCAGGCCCGGCCGTGCCTCAGAATCTTATTCTTGCGCCCGCTCCCTACGAAGTTGGTCGCATGGCCCCGATCGTGCAGTCGCCTGTCGAGATGCAAGGTCCTTGGCAGAACGATCAGTTCAATGCACCGATGGCTCCGGGACCCTTTGTTGGACCAGGCGCGATGTACAACCAACCTAACACCATGAGCAGCGAGCAGATAATCTACGAGGAGCCAGTCAACCGGACCTTCTCAACGACGGTCATGGATCCTCGACAGCATGGTAGCGAGTATCAGCTGCCTGGCGTCGGGCCCCCTGATATGAGCCAAAGCTCAATGAGAAGGAGCAGATTCTCTATAAGAAGTCCAGTCCGCCCGGTGCACAGCCCAGTACAGGTCGAACGCATAAACCCAAATGCAGTAGCTTTCGATCATCAACGTACCTTCTCTGGTGACGAAGTCCCATTGACGGCTTCCGCACAGGAAAACAGGGAGAAGCGTCGCTCTGGCCTTTTCAGTGCACTTAGTCGCGGCTCGAGCTTTTCTGGTTTATCTGGCATGAACTCGGATGGAAGACAAAGTCGTGGTAACGACTTGAGTCAAGCTGGTTCGCAGCAGCCGGTCCCGGCACAACAGACATCCGCAGCACAAAAGCTAGAGAGATATCAGGTGGTAGCTCGAGAGGCAACACACTCAAGAAGGTACAGCGCTCATCCACTTCCGCCGGTACACCCGGCACACCTGGCACGCCTGATCCCGAGAAGAAGAACAAACGCTTCTCGCGACTTGGTTCGATCTTTGGACGATCCAACTCAGAAGCTAAGAAAACCAACAAACTGGTTAAGGGCATGCCTAAGACTCAATCTGAACGCATCCCAGAAGCTGCTGCAGCGACAAAGACAAAAACAACATGTCTCCGCAGAATGTCCCTCCTCCGCCTATGGGCTATGGCATGGAGAATGTTATGCAACCTCCGCAACAGTGGTCGGAGCAGCCTGACCAGCAGAGCGGTGCACCGCCGCCTCCTGGTGGATGGTATGCACCTACTTCGAGAAGAAGTTCTTACCACCAAGACCAGCAAGCCACACTGCCGCAAATCACACCTACGATGTCTAGAAGAAGCTCTTATCACCAGGAGCAGCAAGGCAATCTGGCCCAAATTCAGCCCACAATGACAGGCCAATCCTGGCAGTCTATGCAACCACCTCAGCAACAGCAGTCGCCAGTAATGCAACCAACTCGTCGTCTTCACAGCGAAGGATACCGTCACGAGCCTCGCTACAACGCTCCATCTGACTACAGATCAATGTCTCCTAGTCCATTGCGCGGTCAGCGAGGCAGTCAGCAGTATGATACTACTACCCCTCAGAACTACCAGCGCACACCTTCATGGACTGGAGGTCCACGACAGCAGCCGCCACCACCTGGACGCACCTTCTCTTGGGGCTCTGTGGAGCAACAGCAGCAGCAACAAGGCCACTTTCCTCAACCCGCAATGTCGGGCTCACCTGTCAGACAAAGTCCTGCCGGCTCACCATCACATTCAAGAAACGCATCCTTTGGTAGTATGACCAATATCCAAGCTGCCGCACCACCATTGTACCGTAACTCCAGCTCGGGTGCTTTGCAGCGTTCATCGTCTCCGTCCATGTACGGAGCCACGCAACCTTATCAAGTCCCCGTGCCTGCGCCCACAGAAGCCCAACTCATGTCAAAGACCCAACAGGACTGGTATCCCAGATACAGCGTCGGATCACCAGGACCACCACAACAAGCCAGCACACCTGGCATGTACATCAGAGGCTACAGCAACAGCAGACCAGGCAGCTCGAACGGCTTTGACGGGATCCCTGAGGTAGATCATGTCAGACCTGGTTCTGCTGGTGGAATGATGATGCCTCCCCACAGCAACAATCACCACAGAGTCCTGCAAGAGGTCAGCAGAGAAGATATTATGGCAATGGCGGAGCTATGGGACCGAGACCTTATCCCTCGGGTAATGCTCAGCAGCAAGGTGATTGGCAGGGCACTTATCGTGATGTCTAAAAGCCTCTTGTGATGTCGATCTCTTTCTTTCTTTTCTTGTTCTATATTTATCCCATGAAGAAGTGAGTTTTGGAGATGTTTTAATGTGGATGGTTACTGGAGATGGGGTTTGAGGGTATACAATGTTGATATCAAGTATAGCTTTTGTGTGTGCGTGTCCTGCGATCTCGAAAGTGATCGTTGCCATATACTGTATCATATCTGGATAATGTGCCATCAAATGAAATTTCTCACTCTGCATCCTTTTACCTTCACTTCACCACCAATCTCTTGTATCCCAGGCAAGCCAACATCACTCAACAATCGGTAGAATTGTTTGGACAGGGAAAACCATTCCCCTGCAGCAAACCTTCTGGATGTCCTTGATTCGGTTCTTAGATGTAGTAGAACATTGTGTTTCTTTTTTCTCTTGCAAGTCACATCCGAAACAACATGATACATAATTAAGCTGAACTTGAAAGAAACAAAACGACTCGTAGACGCTTTTTTTCTACCGTCCACCTTCGTTCCGATAACCAAATAAATATAAAAGCAACACACGCTGGTTTCATGCTCCTCCATTATAAACGCCAGTTGTCCCCCGCATCACCAAGTCACATCGTGCTAGTCCCATCATGCAACTCCTCCAACGACCAGAGCTGCCAACATGTCCTCTTCGCTTCGCACCTTGATGTTGATGGTAACACCGCTCTTGGCACTGAATGCCATTCTGACCAGTGATGCCACCTTGCCGCCCGTCACACTCTTGCCGTAGAGCTTCAGACTATGCGTGCTTGCAGAAAGCGTCACTTCGCTGCCTTCGAGAGGTTGCATGCCCAAACTCTTGACGAGCAACTCGGTTGCCTCGGCCAAAGTCTTGGCGTTGGAAAGCTGGAGGGTTTCCTCGGCTTCGTGTTCGTCGTCAGAGGGTATGCCGTTGAAGATGCTGTCAAAGTTGCCGGCGAAGGCGGGAACAATGTAGTCGGATCCGACGAGATCCAAGTCAAAGATTTCGTACTCGTCTTCGTAGCCGTGCTCTTCGGGCTCGTTGGTTGATGGGTCAATCTCCTTGCTTGTGAACTTGAGCACGTTGGTAAAGTTTGCTGCCGAGAACTCTTGACCTTCGGGCCGCTTGAAAGAGACGTAAACAGTACCGGGCTCGTCTGTCTTGAGCATGGGAGCAGGGATGGTGAACTCTTCCTCCAGACCTGTTTCCTCTGACTCGTCGACGGCTGCCGGTGTGCAGACCACCGTCACATCGGCGAGAACTGTGTCAGGCAGCGTGTTCTTGATATCGTACTGGATGACAACATGTTCCTTGAACAAGTGCTTGACGGCAGTAACAACATACTCGGTCTCACTCTCGGTCAGCTCGACGATAGCACTGCTCTTCAGAACGCCTCCATACGAAGCAAGTTCGGGAATGGCTTGCAGTTGTTGAGCATACTTCTGAGCAGCTGCGCTTGCTGAGGCAATAGCTTCCGCTGAACCACGAGCAGCCGCAGGTTTGGGTCCGGCTGAAGGCGCCTTGAGGGTGGGAGTCGCGGTGGTGAGTTTCTTTGTGCGGTCCTCGGCGAGTGACTGTTCACGAGTAACGACAGGAACGGAACTAAGATCGAAAGGCTGAGAGAAGGCAGCCGATGAGTCTGCTGTCACGTACATGACAAGCTGGTGCTCCAGAACTGGCAACGAGAACATCGAGTCTNNAGACGAAGATTAGCACACGTTCACGAAACATACAAGAGTTAGCAATATCTTACCGTTTCTGACAAACTTGCTAGCCATGTCGTCATCCTCCTTCATCAAGCGCAAGTTGAGAGCTGCACGGTCTCTGACCTCATCATCGGTATCGTCAAGGCAGCGGGTCAGAAGAACGTTGACACTGCGCTTAACGTCTGGATCTTGCTGACCAACACCGAACTTGGCCAGAGCAGTGACAGCAGCGGCACGAACAATGGCATTTTCGAGTACAACACGGTTGTAGATGTAACGAATGTACTTGGTGGGGTTGGCAGTCTTGGGACCCTCCATTCCTAGTAGGTGCAAGATACGGACAGCCAGCTTGGTGAACTCGCAATCTTCGATGAACTCGCACAGATGCGAAAGAGCATCTTCCTTGCTTTCCGGCACAAACTTGATAAGGTCAAAGATGGCCTCGACAACACTGCTCTTAAACTCGTAGCTTCCCTCGTCGCGGATTGAAGTACTGAGGAAAGCAAGCATACCGGCCTGCTTGCTAGGGAACTTGAGGGCAAGAGTGCGAACGGCCTCAACAACAGTAATCTTGAACTCGTCGGTGATCTCAGCCATAAAGCCAGAGATCTGTTTCATCAGACGATCGACGCTTGACTCATTTCCGGTCTTGAGGAGAGTGGTGATGGCGAATGTGGCAACAGATCTGTTAGAGTTTGTGATGAGAGCCTCAATGTCCGGGTTGCATTGGCGAACGGCCTCGGGCTTAAAGGAGGCAAAGTTGTGGAGGATGCGAATAGCAGCAAACTTGGTGACGGATCGGGGCGAGGTCAAGAAGAGTTGGAGGACGTGAACGGCTTGCATAACCTCGTTGTCGGTCAGATCGCCAACCTCGCAGATGGCCTTGGCGGCTTCGATGTTGACCAGCTCGCTCTTGTCGCGCAACCAGCCGTCGAGCAGCTTCATCATGGGGGCGCGAAGGCCAGGATCCTCCTCGATGAGCTTTGCGGCCAGACGGACCAGCATGAGACGGGCTGCGGGGCTCTTGACGACTCCAGGGGCACTGTACTGTTGGACCATCTTGACCAGAGCCATGCGGTCATGGGAGCGCATCTGGTAGAGCAGACCAATAGCATGGTATTGGGTCATGAAGTTTGTGTTTGACGCAGCCAGACTGTGCGAGGCCGAGGTGCCAAAGCCAAGTGAGAAGCCACCTGAGGACTTTGTGCTGGAAGCAGCCTCCTGGGTCTCGCTCTGCCAGCGACGTACGATGTCGCGGGCAATGGGCAGCAGGTGGTATGAGGATACGAGAGCGGCCGAGGAGACGGAGGGGGTCTTGTCGACGATGGCCGTCTTGATGTTGCGCTCAATGGCCTGGACGGTGGAAGCGTCGATGATGCGACAGAGAGCACGGATGGCGTTGGCGCGGTATACGACGTCGCTGCCGACAGCGGTGTCCTTCATGATGGAGCTGGTGACCATGATGACATCCTGGGCAGTGTTGGCAAGCTCCTTGATGACCAGGTAGACCATCTGGCGGAGTGAGGCATCTTTGTTTTGGAACAGCTTGGAAATGCCAAAGAAGAGCGAGGTGGCTTCATTTTGAGGGAACTTCTCGCCGGTGAAGAGCAGGAGGGAGATCTTGGTGAGCAGGACGCGGCATTTGCGAGGGGAGATGGGCGACACATTGAAGACACGAGCTATTGGGAGCGAGTGAGCGGCATGTGATGGTGATTACAAAGAGACAAACTCACCCTCCTGGAAGACCGAGGTGCGGTCGACCTTGAGCAGGCCGGCCTCGTCCTCGTTCTTNTTGTCGTAGCTCATGGTTGCTCGTCAATTGCTATGTTCCTGCTTGCCGTCGACTGTAAACGTAGCATCCACAACTCCCTAACCCCCGAGCGCGGCACCTTCCGTCGCAGCGACCCCGTCATCCCCGCCAAGGCCCCTCCAAAAGACCCTCTCCGCGCTTTCCCAGTCTGCAACAGCTGCGCTCCCTCCTAAAGAGCCTCTATTGTTTCTCCGGAATCACCACAGTTATGGGAGGAATGGGAGGAATGCCCGGCGGCATGCCAGACATGCCAGTCAATGTTCCCATCGATGACCCTAACGCCGACACTGAATGGTAAGTTGCTCTAACATGTCCCACCACACTGTTCTTTCCTTAGCCTCTTTTCTGTATCAGCATGCTTAACGTACCAAAACAGGAACGACATCCTCCGCAAGCACAAGATCATCCCCGAGAAGCCCCCTTCGCCCACCCCCATGATCGAGGAAGCCTTGACCGAAGCCCGTAGACTTGCCCACGAGAACCGCTTAGAAGGCAAGGAGCTCGNNACGAACTGGCTGAACTCGAAGACGAAGAAGACGAGGACTTTCTCGAGTTTTACCGGTAAGTCCGTGCCGTCGTCATCATCTCTCCTCCTCTGACCCTTCCCCTCCAGACAGAAGCGAATGAACGAACTCGCTGCCATCCAATCCGCTTCCGTCTACAACCAGGTTTATCCCGTGCAAAAGCCCGATTGGTCGCGCGACGTGACTGAAGAATCAAAGAAAGCCTTCGTCTTCGTAATCCTCACCTCTTCATCTGGCACAAACGTTGAGTCCCGTCTGTTGATCGAAATCTGGCGCGAGCTGGCCACAAAATTTGGCGACATCAAGTTCTGTCAAATACAGGCAAACCTCTGCATTGAAGGTTATCCAGACAAGAACACTCCAACAGTTTTGGTCTACAAGGATGGCGACATCAAGCGCCAATTAGTCACCCTGCGGGACTTGAAGGGCGATCGAACAACCATTCGCGACCTGGAAGATCTGCTTCGTTCTCTGGGCGCCGTTGACCCTAACGACTCCAGACTGCAACCTCGTCAACATGATGAATCAGCACAAACCTCTCTTCGTGGTACCGGCCAAGGCGCTGGTCTAGGTAACGATGATAGTGACAGCGATTGGGACTAGACCTGTCCACTCTCCTGACATGACTCGAGCTTTAGCCGGAGACGTCTCCTTCACCGTCCAAGTCCGAGATGCCTGACCCTAGCAAGCCTCTTGCTAGGTTCCGCGGCATTGGGGATCTACCTCCTGCAGCTGCGGATTTGTAATCGATGCTTGGAACTTGGAATCACCGATGGACAAGTATCATTCTATTGGAAAAACGGTATTCGATTTGTTTACGAATGCCACATGGCCCTGCCAGTGTTGGCCGATGTAGCAGCACCTTCCGACCTCATGCTCGACCTGCTGCAAGAGCCAGTCTCGACAGTCAATGGTCCATACGTATTCCGACCTACAAACGCCTGGCTCGCGATTCTGTAACGCCACCGGGAAAACAAAAATAAGAATAGAAGACATTAAACATTGGTCGCTTCTGGGCCGCTTTCAGAAGTTGGTGAATCTCGGAAAGGAGTCGATGATGCATCAAGACCATGGTGTTCTTGTTATTGCGCTGGTAGGTTCAGACCTACTCCGTCTATCTTCGTTGCTGTCATGCGTCGAGCAGGCTGCAATGTGTTACTCGGCGATAGGGGTTGATTGACCCTTCGCAAGATCTCGTTTTCTTCCCGTGTCCGGAGTAGCTCATGTTTCAACCTCTCGTTGTCTGACTCCAGGGAATTGGTTCTCACTTCTAGAGCCGACAATTGAGCCTCTAGTTCTTGTACTCTCTGGCGCTTGCGATCACGGAATGCTCGTTGACTATGGCCACCGCGACGTGTTAGCAATAAAATCTTTACGAAATTAGAAGATCCGGATACTTACGCGGCCCGATTCTGTGCCTTTCGCCTTCGCTGTGCTGGTGTCAGGGGTTCCTTTTCCTCGGACGTGGCACTGCTGCGTCGTCTTTGATACTCCAGGAGTTCATCAACGTTGAACTCGATTGGAGAGGTAGGTTGCCCATAGTTGGCTTCGACACCATTACGATACATCAATGGCTGTCCTGGTGGCACTGTTGCATACCCGCGGTGGCCGTCGACAGCTACCGGTTCAGCTGGTGTAGTGTGGTCTGGAGTCATGATCGGAGCCTGAACGTAGGTGTTGCCTACTGGCGGAACCAGCGTGTGCTGCTCATAACCATAGGGATACTGANNGACGCCATGAGTACATATGTTGTGCGACCTGTCATAGGGCCTGCGTACCTGTGGCACAGCCGTCCACACAGGATGTGTATGCGTGTACCCTTGATTGTGATGTGCATATACAGGCTGGTGACAGGCGCCTGTCGTCACGCAAGCTTGTTGGTAATCCATGCTTGATTGGATAGTCGTAGAATCACTGGCAGAATGAGTTGAGCTGGGGAAAGAAGACCCTGCGTGAGAAAGTGCTGTTTATAGGATGAGGTGAGTTATGAACAAAGTCCCAATAATGCGTTTTGTCGCACAGTTGGGTTCTGGACTGGATTGACAGAAGTAAACACGATCTTGACTCTTAACACAAATTGATGTGGCTTCCACGTTTGAGGCAGAGAGCCTTATTGAATTGCGAAGAGTCAGCCGTCCGAGTCAAGCAACAGACGCAGGGGCTTTGGTGTGTCAATCAATCCACGGCACGCAAGGTCGTGGCTTGATCCCAAATGGGTATTCAGTACCAGTCTGGACTCTGGAGCCTCGACAGCAGTGTCAGACAGTTTTTCGATGGACCCGGCGCCGGTGAACCGATCTATCGCGGATCGACCAAGCACGTTCTGGCGGATCCACCTTCTCTGTGTAAGCGGAGGCCTACCTTGCCTGATGTGATTGGTTCGATGGCCGTTATGAACCATTGTACAACCCTGCATTCGATTACTGACATCCTAGTAGGAATCAGGGCTAGTTTCTGGGACACTTCACTCATTCATCAGAAATTTTGGGATATGGTAGAGAGCCTGTTATACTGTATTTGTGTGGATGCCCATAGCAATGCACACGCGTCGAACTCTCATAACTTCCTAGCACCTATAGACTTCTGCGTTGCTTGAGTGTCTAACCTTGTTATTGGGAGCATGGCTTGTGATCCTCGCTAGAGGCAAGCCACAAGCTCCACATCCCGAAGGATCCCCCAACCAGTCGTTCTTTCGGGAGACGAACCGTACTCTCGACCAACCTCTCGTCTTGGGTCTCGAGACAAATGGCTGGTTACCTTCGCAAAGGGAAGGATCATGATGTTTCGTGCCATGATTCTTCGTTGCTCCCCAGAGGCTGGTGGGTCCAACGTTTGAGATCTATGCATCTCCCGAGATCCTTCCTCCGCACACTACCTCCAAACCTTGATACTTTTCAGCTCACACATCAAAAGACACTTGCTCTGTTATCTCTGGCCGAAGGAATCCGTACTTTACACAGGCCACCCGGGCTTGGGCCTGGAGTTCATCCAGAAGGTTAAGCTGAAGACAGCTAGAGCGACGTTGATTATTTGAGTAACTTCACCGCAACAGCTATCTGCGGAACCAGTTCAACTGCTGGCGGCACCAGGGCCGGAGAGAGGCTCAACGTACCAAAACCCTTTTGATGCGTGAGTTATTTGTCCAAAACGATTCTTCCCTGCGTGCCCACCGGCAGGGTACCTGAATGTTGTCTCAGTACCGTGACTGTGTATTCATAGTGATTCGGCTGCAATTCCGAAAATGTCTCTAATATGTCACTCGAACAACTGTATGCATGCACGCAGCCTGCAGAACTGTTGATCATGTCTTGCGACTGTCGCTGGCGGCAGGCAGGTGCGATGTGCGATGACTATCCCGCTTCCCGCAACCCTATCGAATATGTGACCCTTCGTGAAACATGTACCCTGCGTTGCTGCTGGGCATCTCTTTCCTTGAACCGAACCTGGATATCAAACCCATGTCTGTTTAGCCATTAGGCTTCTGTCACTGCCGGATCCCGGCTGAATGGTTCGGACCTTGCTACCTGCTTGCTCATCGACCGAAAGCAAATCAACAAAGCGTCAGCCATGTTTTTGCAGGTGAGTGACCTTCTTCTAACTTGCAGCTCTCACGCATATGGCAGGGGAAGGTACGTCAGCTAGCAAAGGATATCATTGGGGGCTTTTGTTCCGATCAGCTCGCTCCTATCTCCAATCTCCTAACCCCGCAAGACAAGGCGCATACCCAGGTTTTCGGTTCCAAGAGGCTGGACAGAGGCCCTCTCTGTTTGCATGCGCACCCGTTGCGACAATTGTTTTGTTCCTTGCGGCGCTGCTGCTGCTGCTTCTCTTGGACCTCGCCTTTTGTTCCAGGGCCCATATGCCGCAAACTACCGTCCAGATGCACTTTGCTCTAGTGTTCGATTGTCCATCTCCCCTTTGATGCCAATTGGCCAGCACAAACGGCCATTACGGGCCCATTTGGTACCGAGCAAGCTGTCTCGGCTGATGCATGCCGCACGCATTGACCCAAAGATTCGTCCAGCAAAGCAGACTACTGTCTCATCCTCTATCCTCATCCTCCTTGCCAAGCCACGCTGACAATGATTTGAATTCCGGAAGGTGTGTCTGAGCTCCTTGTCACCATACCATCGCAAGCACGTCACCAAAAATTCCTTCTGTTGCTTGAATCGTACAGTGACATTAACCTGTCTTACAGAGTACCCACGTGGGATTCAATTAATTTCTCTGTGGATGAAATCGAGATTTGAGACCTTGATCGAGCTCAATTAGCCTACCTACACCGAGGATGCTGATCAAACAGGGTATCATCACGTTTCTCTGGTCAAAAGTACGTGAGTCAATGATGTTTTGCGACCTCTCATCAGCATCCAAAATTCGACTTCAGGGCAGTAACGCTAGCCATAGGTCGACTTCGCTGCAACCGCGACCAAGAACCTGTGGAGATTTCACGGACAGATGGCCGCCATTCTTGATGCACACGGGTTGATCACGTTCGTTCCATCGCTTCTCCATAAACTCTAAATCCACTCTTTTACAAGTACGTACAGAGGTAGCTGCGAAAGCTGCCCTATCCTAACACAAGCATATTCTGCTTCAGGCAGGTTCATTAAAAGGGGCTACACGTTGATCTGTCACCTCCAAAATCTATCGATCTAGATATCGACGCTGGAAGTTTGCAACGAATTACGGTATCGTCTGAAGACGTTCACTGACTCCAAAAGTGGCCCCACGAGACGGGCCCCATCCACCCCAAGTCGTCCCCACACACACTCACATCGTCTCAAGTCGACCAAGAACACCGGATCAAGAACTTAGCGAGCGAGCCGTCCATCATACCGTAGCATACCTCGGACTTTGTTTTGATGCTTTCACCTCTTATGGTCTGGATTTTCAAGATTCGCAGCGGCAGCTCATGCCATCAGATCATGTTTGTTATTTCTTCGCGAGCCAAGATCTACAGCTCCATCAAGTATGCATGTAACAAGTCATGTACCAAATAACGGGAGTGCAGACTCGGTACGCTATGGGCAGAGGGTACATGAACGAAACAGGTTTGCTCTCTGTCGCCCCGCAGGGTGAATTGCACGCAGTTCCAAATAGAGGTCGGCCAGAATTAACGGTGATCGATTCTTCGGCTCGTTCGGCGGTCGGCCACGTCTACAAGACGTGCAGATAGAAGTGCCATTCAGAGTGCACTCCTCTTTAGTTTCCCCGTTCACACCGCTTCCTGTCGGTCCTGCACAACTGTACGCAGGCCCATCAATCCCAGCCATACCGCCTCTTCTGTACGGATCGTCCTGCTTCCTTGCTGAGGCACGAGATTGACCCAATAGTCGAACACGTCTTTGGCCTCCGTCACGCCCTTGGACGTTAGATTCTTGTCCGCTTTTAACGCGACTTCTAGACCTGCCACGCCGCCGAAAACAACAACCATATGCCTCCATTGGGTTGGGACTGGCGGCACTTCGAAACTGTTGCCCGAAGCGTTGAAAAGAGACGCCAGTGTGATACCACGCTCAGATGTACCGAAGCTGATATCGTAGCCACCATCATAGGGACACTCCGTAAATACTGCCGACAGGGAGGATGCCATCCTTGTCGAGTAGCCCCAATAGTAGCCGGTCTCCTCTCTCGGTGTATCAGGNGAGACGGCCTCGGCATCCAAGGGNGTATAACCATCCAGCTGAGGCTCATCGGCAGACGCAAACTTGACTGTGACGCGAGATCCGGGAGGTACTTCGACTGGGATGCGCGTCTTCACAGGCAGACCGCAATCAACTAGAGTTGAGACGGCGTGGCCTTTACTGCGCTTGCCGTGCGGCTCTGCGAACGCTGCATCCGCGCCCATAGTCACTCCCTCGCGGTACTGACACCATTCGTTTGCGCGCAAATGATGCGGCATATCCAAGCTCGGCATTGCCCCAGCGGTTCTAAGGTTGGGGTGCATAGGGAACAGCGTCTTCCTGAGATGTGGGGGTGTTTCCAGGTAGCTCAGGACATGGTAGAGGAAGTCGTCAGGGTCCGAGTAGCCCGTGTAGCCGTCTCCTTCGAATCCTCTCCGAGGCCGAGCTCCGGCTTGCGATTGGCCGTCATTGAAGACAACAATTTCGTCGACTTGGAATACGGCACAGGCCCGCGCCACTTGGGCAGCCATCATTGTTTTGAGATCATGTGATTGAGCACTNGCGATAAGAGTTTAGGGCAAGAAATTCTGTTGGAGTCGAGACGCCAACGCGGACGGAGCCAAAATCAATAGCTGACGTGGTGGTACAGGATAAGAAAAGTAATAGGGAGTGGGGTACAACTCAGAAACCGCGACTCTTCCACGAGAAGGATTTGAGACAAATGAGCAACGCAGGAAGGTCCGAATGGCATCGAATACATGAAACAAAACAAATCAGAGCGGTAGTCTTTTTCCAGTGCCTCGTGTCAACGATGCACCGAAGGAAGGCATGGCCGAGGAGATGAAGCAAGAAAATATATTTTCACTTACTTTGCGATCACGCTTCCAGGCAGCGCGATACTCAGTGTGTGTTGACGGCCACCTGTAGGTGTAAATACAGCTGAAGGCCTCGAAGTATCGACCTCATCGTCGGCACTCTGATGTTGCTGTTGAGGCTGCTGGAAGTCCTGCTTCCTCTTCTGTCACGCGCAACACAATCAGTATGCCACAATTCTTTCAGCCGCAAAGGTGAGATATTGTGCCGGTGGACATACCTTATTCTGATATCCCGACATTGGTCAACAAAAATATCACAAAGAAAATCTGGTGCTTCACATGAAATTTGGGCGATCTGATTCGGAAAAGACTTGAACCACATGGATCATTGGCCAAGGCTTCTTAGTGTGCACGGACGCCTTCCAATCGACGACCTCCTTCCTAGGTTGGGTTGTGACCATGACTTGTACATCGCGACCCTGACCCTTGGCAGCCAACGACATATCCCTTTCGTCTCATCCACTTTCCCTCTTGGACAACTAGACTCTCAACCACTATTCCCGGAACCGTACCTTGTCGCGAGCGCACAACATGTCGGCATCCCAACAACCAAGCAGACCATACTTCCACAACGGCCAAGCCCTCTCAGCGTAAGTAGATTAGTCGCATGGGACCTACTTCAGCTCTAGCTGGTAGCTGTCCGGACTTCTTTCCAGCTAGTCGTCCGGATCCCGCTCCACCTATTTCCTGGATAGTAGGAACTAATCCACTTTCTCTTGTTTAGCCNCTCCGGTCACCGTGCGCGTCCGCAACTTCTTGGATAGCGCCTATGTCTTTGTCGGTCTCTACGTAACCACCTTCTTCTCCGTAAGTGTCCTACTACCCATGCAACTGACTCGTCCTACGGCTTCTTTCGCTTATTCATCTTGAATCTACTAGTGCTGATATCNNCACCTTTTTTTCTAGTTCGATCCTGCTGCTGCAGCTGCTGCATCGCCGTTCAATGCTAGCAACAAGACTCCCGGCAGAAGACCTGGCTGGGGCTTTGGAGGCAGCAACGGTAATGGCGGTAGAGGTGGAGGTCCTCCTCCCGGAGGACGCAAGGTTGGCAGGGTGGATGATGTGAGAGGACCCGAATGTAAATCCTGCAAGTGATTTTCGAGGGACGCCTAGCATGCATGGATCTGCTTGCCTTTGTTTCTGATGTTGAAAGTTTGTTAATGGCGTTTGTGGGTAATAATTATCTGAAAACGAATACTGGACCAATGGGCAAGAAGTTCTGTCTTTCTACCGCCGCGATCTGGTATCATCCTTGCCATCGTGAGGGATGCTTGTATGTCATTTCTCTCGCTGAGAATGAATTCACAGTGTTTAACCTCGTTCGTGTGAGACAGTTCAAGAACATGCCACGTCTACAGTGTTGCTGAGGTAGGTGTAGTCCACATGGCAAGAGCTTGATCGTTCCTACTCTGGCTCCTCTATTTACATCAATTATCGTTCCTTCCTTGTTCACAAACTTCCTGTTTGCAATCTCACACACTTTCTGTCTGTTTTGTTTACTCTCTAGCCAGAATCAGTGTACCCTTTTTCATCCGGACTACCAGCAAGATTCAACATTCGACTATGATTCTGTCATCGTTTCTATTTGTTTTTCTATCATATCGACTGTTATACCGAATCTTTATTCCTTCTTCTATACATCACTGTCGTTCTTTTGTATCGTGTTCTTGACTTGCAGAAGAAAGAACACTTTTGGTATTAGCGAGACAAAATTGTTGTAGCTATCACCCTGTCATCTTCTTATCATGGCTTTGTTCATGTCATACGCGTCTGACAATGGAAGTTTCTTGGGTTTCAAGCAACTCTAAAGATCTCTCAGGAGCTCCACACTATATCGTATTGACGATAAACGCATATAATTGACCTAACACGTCAACTTCGATATCTTGTCGATTTTGTCTAAAAACTTCATCCTTGCATCACGAAATCCATATCTTATTATCGTTCACTCTCCAAGTCGAGAGTCGAGAAAGACGTGGTCACAGTTATCCAATCTGTTATGCCAGAAGCGTTATAGAAATCTTGTCTGTGGAAACAAAAGCAGTCTTTTGTGCAAATGCTTTGAAGTCTTTGTTCCCTTCCCCTTCTATATGTAGCCTTTTACTCTTCATTCACCTTGTCAAAGACCTTGGCACATGTGATTTATTGATCCAACAATGTAGCTTACGTGCAAGGAGTATTTTACACAGCTTCGGCGCAACTTATGGTCAAGCACATGATCCAATCCTTCTTCTTCCCTATAAGGTTGTCTTCTCTGCCCCTATTCTTCTGCTTCTCCTGAATAAAAACACCCTAACTTTCATCAGCACCTTTCTGTATATCATATCGGATAAGCTCTTGTTGAACTTTGATTCTCATAGCCCTTTCCTGAACAATCCTGATCTACACCAACAAGCTCGAGAAGCGCTGTTTCACTGCTCTCGTTGTCTTCGCCTCAGCTGCTTTCAGCAGCGCTGCTGCTATCGACAAGCGTGGCTTCATAGACAGCATCCTTAACAAGACCGGCTGCCTGCCTGGTCGAAACGACATCACCAACAACGGTGCCGCCTGGATCGGTAACGATGGCGCGTACATCACTGAGTTCACCAACGATTCTGAAGAAAACCTCGTCCCTATTATGTGGGGATCAGGACCTCAGAGTCCTTTTGTCATTGCCCGAGCACCTTTGATCACCTAGGAGATGCAAAAGGATTCCAGTATTAACGTTTCTGTTGCATCGAATACTTATGGCGCATAGGCTGCCCTCTACGCGGACACCACGCTGTGGAATGGGATGATCAGCAATACCTGGGGTGAATATACCTCCAATGGCCAGTATTCCATGTTCGACGTGTACCGCACCATCAACATGAACGGTCGTGGTATGTCCATCGAGGGCGCCCATTGTTTTTTCAGTACGGAGAAGTGCGTCTTTGTCTGCAGATCTGGCAATTTCTGTTCCTCTCAAGCTTCCGTTTCTACTCTCAAGGACTGCTCTTCTCAGCCTAGTGCTCAATCTGCTTACGACGCCATCGCGTCTTTCTATACCGGTGGCTGTCTTGTAGGTGCTCAGAATTTTGTAAAGACTACTTTCTCATAGACTACCTCAACAGTTTCTTACTTTCTTACCGATATCGCAAATCTGATTTCTGACTGTTCATGTATGATAGCGGACTGAGAACCTGATTTTCAGCTAGCTATGGCTGTATATATCGGAATTGCTCCGTATCGTATACTTATCCAGACCCAGCATCTGACAATCTTTAACAGCTTACAAAATGCACGACTCAACGCGGCCAACCCGCTGCATCCATCGCAGCATACTTTTCCTTCAACGCATCTTTGACACTCTTCCTCGCCATCAACCGCTGATTCCATTCATAGCAGCGTGGATAGTTTTCCCTCCACTCTGCCTTGAAATTGTCGGTGATGTTTGCCATCAGTTTCTCTGGAAGAACCAGGTGGAAGGGTATATACATCAAATCCGCATAAGTGCATTTATCTCCCACGAGATAAGGTGTTTTCGTGATGCAGAGTTGGCGCTCGATGGTGGAGAGTACCCAGCGGATCATGGTTGCGTAGTGTTGGTGGACGGAAGATAAATCTTGGTCGGTGTGAAACTGTTGTTGCATTGGTTAGTATGCTGAAACAACAGGAGATGTTCTTAGAAGAGGGAGCATAGTCATACCATGGTAAAGTAAGCCTTTTGACCGAGAAATAAGTCGTGGCCTGCTATCTGATAGTCCTTCCAATTCTTCTGGTGGTACTTTTCGGGAAAAGTGGTGTACTGTAATTTGGCGGAGTGATCGTATGTGTCTTCTAGGTATTCGACGATTGTGCCGGACTATTGTTCGACAAGAGGTTGTTGTCAGTAACCTCGCACAACAGTCTTTGAGCATTACACCGAGGAGAATATACATACCTCCCACAATGTGATGCCTGTATTGGCGTCGAATATCGTTGGAACTCTTCCATTGGGACATATGTCAATGTAAGGTGCCACCTTCATCTCTTCTGCGCTGAGGAAGTCGATGGTGTAGGATATATCGAGCTCTTTGAGCAGGATGACGACTTTCAGGGATGTGGACCCTGTTGAGTAGGCATTGGTGTCAGCTCATACTCTTATTGACTATGGTGATGATGTATAAAGTGATACTGACAGCAACATGACCGTATATTTTGATGGGCTGAAGTTCAGCTTTCTTGATTGTGGGTTCTTGCATGGAGGTTGGATATTTACGAGGTGGGTGTGCTGTGGATTTGGTTCCGAGTTCCTTTGCTTGTCACAGGCATCGCTCTGGACACTGAACATAGTCATCGTTTTCTAGATCTTCAACTGTTGTTTTGCCGGGTTCAGCGGTCCGAGTCGACTGCCGAGACATGGGAAAGAGGTGTTGTAAAGTCATGTTTGGGCTCGGCGGACTCGGAGGTGGTTTCGGCGAGCGTCGGGTCAGGACATTGACCATTGATCGACATGTTCCGGAGATAGACAGCAACTACCGGGCATACAGCAGCTAAGAAGAACAATGACAATGGATGCCAGCATAATGTATTATCACTCAGACGACTCTTGGACTCGATCTTCAGCAGAACAACCACACCACAGTCATGTCTACGACCCCAATCATCATCATCGGAGCCGGAATCGCTGGCTTATCTGCAGCACGTCTTCTCAAGCAGCAGAACATTCCTTGCATCGTATTCGAACAGTCTTCTCCCGACAAAAGCCAGGGTTATGCCATCACATTGCGGGACTGGGCGTGCCTGCCTCTCTTGGCTGGGCTCGGTGATATTCCGCTCGATGCTTTTGTCAAGGCAGTAGCTGTGGATCGTGAACTCCATGGCTGTGGAAACATTGATTTGACCTTCCGAGATAACGGGACAGGAGAGACGTTATTCAACCCTGATCCTCTGCAGCCGGGGCAGGAGAAGGCGTTGTTCAGGGCCAATAGGAGTGTTCTGAGGGACTGGCTAAGTCAAGGGTTGAATATACGTTATGACCATAAACTCTCGACTGTGCAGGGCAAATCTGGGAACGTAAATGCTGTCTTTGAAAATGGTTATAAATGTCGGGGTTCGATGATCATTGCAGCGGATGGCGTGCATTCAGCAGNNGTACGATCAAGACTTCACTCGGCTCAAGCGTCTTAGGCCCCTTACTGACATCTCGATCAATCAGTCCGACAACACATACTTCCAGAGACACAACCAGAAGTCTTACCAGTCATCCTCTTCCACGGCCAAAAAACAATGTCCCTGACTCAATGGCAACACCACTGCGCCCAACTAAACTCAACCTCCACAATCCTCGCCGGCGTCGGCGACAACTTCAACACCTTCCTCACAATCGCCAACACAACCCCAGACGCAACTCTCCACCTCGACTGGACATACTCGCGCGCAAAGCAAAGCCCCACCGATGCCCTCTGGATGCCTTCCCGCGCCGAACTAATCAAAGTCCCCCAACACCTGCTCAAAGAGATCAGAGGCCTTGATTTGGTGCCGCCCTTCACGACTCTAATCAATGCCGACTCGGTGAAACAGGGCAAAGTCTACAATTGGCAGATCCGTGCTTTGCAAGTTAAGAGGCAAGACTTGGATGTTGCTGCTGCGGTGGGAGTGGTGTTTGTTGGTGATGCTGTGCATGCGATGCCTATTTTTGGTGGCGAGGGCGGTAATCATGCCATCTTGGATGCTGTCGAGCTTGTCAAGCTTGTCAGTGCAAAGAAAAGAGGTGGCTTATCGCCTGCGGAAGTCGAGCTGGTCGTGCAGGCCTTCAACGATGGAGCTCATCAAAGAGGGCAAGACGCTGTAAAGCGCTGTACGCAACGCTTCTCTCAATTCCACCAGCCAATGACCAAATGGAAGACGGTGGCAAAGGTGGCCAACAGGAAGGCTGGAGATGCGTGATGAAAAGGACCAGTCGTGGCATGTAGTCACCATATAGCAAGTTTAATATGTATTGAGTTGGTCAGAAATAACGTGCGCTTCCAAATTTTTACTTCTTCAAGTGATACAAATCCTCGGTGTTCGAAGAGTGAAAATCCTCTTGTGCAATAAGTTCACTCTCAAAAGGCGGACAGAAGTTTCTTCGTGAAGATCAGATCTCCATAAAGTGACTCGTAAAATTCATGCTCTGAGTATTGAATCTAGCATGTACTAAGCCAATGACTACTGTCCATGCCCGTTGTGACTTCCCGAAGAATCAAGGCGGAACCCAATTTCAATGACAGAAAGCAGACAGCCCTCAGGGCGACGGATATCGCGGATTTGCAGTCTTGAGTCCACATCATTGATAAGGGTGTGCCATTCTTCAGACTCTCTTTCCTTCGCGTTGAACGTCTGTATCATGGCCAGGTCCTTTTGTCTCAAGGCGCCCTCGGAAAACGGCGACTCTGTACCAGGAGCAGGCAGAACCATGTCCATGATAACGATGCGACTGTAGGGTCCCATGGCAGCGACAAGGCGGCGAAGTATCAGAATTGCTTCTTGGTCAGGCCAGTCGTGGATAATGGTCCTCAAGAAGTAGACATCTGCTCCTTTGACAGGTTGGACGTCGAACATGTCGTGTTCGCAAAGCTCGATTCTGTGTTTGATCGTCTGGTGTATGGTGTCAACCTGGCCTTGAGCACTTCCAATTGGGCCTCGCAGATCCTGTACGATAATGCGGAGATGTACGTGCTCGGTAGCCAAGATGACAGCTACGTCGCCTCCTCCACCACCGACCTGTGATATTAGTCAAAACGATCTCATAAGCGGGAGTGGACAATTACATACGTCCACGACAGTGGCATCGGGTCTCAGTTGAGCCCAGTCATAGCCTCGCAGCAGATAGTCGGCTTTGGCCCCGGGATTGACTACAGCTTGACTCTTCATGTACGAGTCAAATTCGGCCCCCAACTCCGGCTGCGATTTGAGGTGCTCAAAGAAAGGCAGCCCGGTTCGCATGGCAAGGTTGTATGCTGTCTGATTCGCGACTTTTGTGTCTCCCCACATCTCAGTCGCTTTTNNGGTGAGGNNGGAGGCCATGAGCTTTGTCGTCTGCTCTACCATATGCTGCAGCTGGATACGAAGGTGCGCGCTCTCGGTGAAACAGGTGGAAAGAGCACTATGCGACAGTCTCCCATCGCTAGTCTCGGCGAGAAACTTGGTTATCATGGCCATTCTTACAACTGCTCTGAGTCTCGATACTGGTACATCGGCTCGCGCAGCACTGTCTGCGTACGATGCGCTGCCGGGAAGTCTCGGGAGGTGGTCGAGTATGCGAAAGTGGCATAGAAACTCGAGACAGTAGTACTGCTGCTGCTGAATCAGAATATTGGTGATGAATTTACTGGCATCTTCGATGGGTGTCTTCGTGATCGTGCTTCCGTTTGTTGGCGCCATGCTGTATAGAACTGGATGAGAAGATCTGTCAACGCAAGGCAGTCGATGTATTTTCTAGGCGACTGAATACTGTATCATGATTCCAGAACACCGGGAGAACCTGAACAGTTCAGCCGGAGTGACGAACGGCGTTCAAAATCTCTCTGCGTGGTTCGACAAATCCGTCGCCGAGCGTGAACGCCGAGGAATGATCCAGCTCCGACCCCGAACCATCAACCACCTTGATAGTACCGATGATATCAGAGAACAAGAACATGTTGATTGATAAGTTCATTGCCAGTTCTGTGCCTCCAGAGATTCTGATCCAAGCTCCGTTTATCACATTGAGAAAATGTTGGCAGAACAACTACCATCGTGGTCGACACTTTTTGTCGGCAGCATTTTCATTTCCATCTTGTTTGTCATCTTCTTGCCCTTCATATTTACGGACAGACGGCTCAGAAGGATCCCCAGTCCCAATCTGAATCCCTACGTCGGTCTTGGAACCCAGCTGCCTCCAGACGTGTTGCCAAAGTTTCGAGAATGGGCGGCACGATATGGCGAGGTTTTTCGTGTCCAAGTCGGGTGGCATCATTGGGTTGTGCTGAATAGCCCAGAAGCTGTCAAAGCCGTGTTCGATAAACAGGTAATGCTCAACCTCGTGTCATGAGATGTTCGTTGCTAATTCGCTCGCAGTCTGTTTCAACTTCGTCGAAATTGCCAATGCCCATGTCAGNATGTCGTGGTCGGCGGGATGCGCATGCCAACGATGGGATACACCCCCAAATGGAGAGCTTATCGTCAGCTCTGCCATAAAATCCTGACGCCAAAAGCTGTGGACTCTTTTATCCCATATCAAACAGTCGAAATTTCCCGTCTGCTATACGACCTCGCTACCGACAACGATGATCAAGCCGCATTCTACAAGCACATTCATCGAATGTTATTCTCGACCCTGATGCGTGCTGTGTACGGACGTGCAACGGCAAGCAGCGACGACGAGGATATTCGGTATACCGAGCAGAGCGCAAAACTTCTCTCCAAGATTCAGCAACCAGGATATTTCATCGAGGACGTCATTCCGCCACTTGCCAACCTTCCGAAGTGGGCACAACCTTCATACCGCCAGGCTTCGAGAGATGCTGAGTGGATCCTCTGGGTCAAGATGCGCATGTGGAACCGTCTCAAGGAGGCTTTCACGAGCAAGACTGCTCCTCCTTGCTATGCGAAGCAGATGATAGAGTCTGATTTCAAGGAACAGGGCCTCAAAGAGGAGGATCTGGCGTGGATAGCTGGTGGCCTGGTTGATGCGGGCTCGGCCACGTCTACAGCAACTTTCCATAACTTAATCCTCTACCTGGCCGCAAATCCCGAGGTTCAGAGGAGAGCTGCAGAAGAACTCGGTGCCGTGGTAGGCGATGATCGTACGCCCGTAATGTCGGACATTGCAAGATTACCGTACGTCTGGGCCTGCGTCAAAGAGGTTCTGAGACGCAATCCAATGCCTCCCTGGGCCATCCGCCACTTCACCGACGCAGATGTGGTTTACAAGGACCTTGTGATTCCGAAGGGAACTGCAGTGGTCTGCAATACGGTGGCATTGCAGTACGACGCCGACAAATACCCTGACCCTATGGCTTTCCAACCTGAACGGTATCTCAATCATCCGAAATTTGCGGGCGAGTATGCTGCCATGTCGGACCCACAGGAAAGAGATCATTGGACATTTGGCGCAGGCAGAAGAGTATGCCCGGGCACACGTCTTGCAGAGAGCAATTTGGCCTTGATGCTAGCCAACGTGCTGTGGGCATTTGAGATTCGGCCTTCCGTGAACAGAGAAAAGACGNGAGGGGCTATAGACGTCTCTGATGATGCTTTTGACATGTACCCACTGCGACACGCGAAGCCGTTCAAGGCTCGCTTTGTCTCCAGAAACCAGGCTCGTATGTCCATCGTTCAACAGATTGGATTAGCCGCTCGGGATGCGTAGCAACATTTGGTAGCAGGCATCCGATGGCGTTAGATGGAATTCAAAAGAGCTTGTTCTCTTGTTAGGACAGATATGATGTCGAATGAACTTCTGACAATATATCCAGCACGTATACGCTAATAGTGACTTGACTTTACAAAGGCGGATGGAGGTCGACGCAACAGGCGCATTTTGAGAAAATGACACGTCTAGGTTGGGATACGGTAGGGTCACCGATCGCGGATATTGCATGAAGGCGCAGGCAAAGGTGAAGCCATGGCGCAGCTTTCTAGGGCTTGTCGTGGTCAAGGTGATGATAGCCGTGACCGTGTGTGTGTGTTTGTCCTCCTCTTCTCTTCCGATAGTGGCAAAATCGAGGTCAACAAGCGTGGATAGATGACTCTGAGATGTGCACGCGTGCGAACGTCGGTCTGGCAAGTGGTCGACAAGGAGGTGACGCCGGGGTGGTGGGGGACGTGGTGAATGAACGAAACGCTACAAACACATGGCAGAGAAGATGATACGTTGAGATCGCAAGAGACGAGGCGTTGGCTACGTTGTCAATCGGCTATATAGAGGGCAACTGCAACCTAACAGCTACCTACCAAGCCAAGCCATTCCTTTCGTTGTTGAGAACCATCGACATCCAAGTAAAATCAACCTTCTGACTTCTGAATCAACGAATCTTCCCAACACCTCCGAAGGGCACAGGTTTTGTATTCACGTCTTGTCTAAATACTGCTATGCGGATAGTAAATACCACTGTTTACCTCGACTGGCATACATAAAAAGCTTCAAACAACAGAAGGGGTCGAGATAGCACGCTGTGCAGGCAGCTGATTGCGCCTGGGCTGCCTCTGCTCTCGTACGAACCAGCGCCTGTCCCCATAACCAATCTCAAATCCAACTCGGCGGTCTTCGGCGAGCTTTCCTAGCACGGCCAGCACACTGGGCTCAAATACTGGCTTGCAGATCTCGGCAGGAAGGTTGCCATAGATCTTGTGGACCAGTTCCGACACTGTCAAGCTGCCCTTGCCACCAACGCTCGCTTTGTGGGCTACGAGAGTGAGCCAGATCTGTCGTTCTCGAGCATCTTTCTGTCGAATGCATTCCTCCATTTTGTAGGGAAGATCTAGGATCACTGGTCCATGGGCAGGATATCCGATTTGACAGTTCAAGCCAGCCATGTCGCTCAGGCTCTGTGTGAAGGCACCGAGATCTTCGAAGACCGTCTGACCTTGGCCCAGCACGTTGTCTCCAGTGAACAACGCATTTTCCTCTAGCAGCATAAAGCACATATGGTCATGTGCGTGGCCGGGCGTGAAGATTGCCTGCACTGTGGCTCCTTTGACGCGAAACTGTTGACCGTCGATGATAGGCTGCTGTCCTCGGTCAGGATCACATTTGTACACTCGATCTTTGTAATGAGGTCGTTGTTCTAGCAGATCCGGTACGCCTCCAGTGTGGTCGCTATGCCAGTGTGTAAGGAGGATGTGAGAAACATCTATCTCCAGATCGTCCAGTACACTGATAAGGCTGTCGATCCACTGACGATGACCTTGGGCCGTATCAATCAGCAAGCGGCTCTTGCCCGTACCCACGAGATACGTGTTGGTCCCTTGCAGGCGCATCAAGCCGGCATTACCACCCATGATGCGGTTCACGCGAGGTGTCAATTGTTCGATGTCAGGCAAGTCATCCAGGCGGCCATGTTGTGCCTCGAGATACTCCCCCATACATCTTCGTTGAGTTTGGCCAATGCAGATGGCATGTTGAATAGTTGTGAGAATAGATGAAACAAGGCTTCTAAGGTCTGAAGATTGCTACATCTGTCAAAGCACGGTCAATATCAACACCTACTGGACTGGTAGGATTTGAAGGAATGACGAGCTCGGCGTTGGTCGGTTTCGGTCGGCGGTGACCGGCCACAGTCGGTGTTGGGTAATCCTGAACGCCATTCACATGAGTACAAGGTATATTGACTGATTCTATATGACGTCATGTTGCGCTGACTACAGATTCTGTGGCTTTGACGTTGGTCTAAGCCTCCAATTGGTCGGGGTTTCACTTCTTGTTGAGCGCTTTCTTGAGCGTATCGATGACCTCCTGCTCATCATATCCCATAACGCTTTCCCTGGTTTCGATCGCTTGTCTCCAGCGAGAGAAATTCGGTAAGGCATCCATGCTATCTTTGAAACTGCTCGGCAGCAGTACTCCGTCCTTGGCGAGAATGTACCAGCGAACCACAAACGGAGCGGCAAGCACCTCGGCGAATGTGAGATCCTTACTTTCAGCAAGGAAAGGCGTAGCACCTTCGAGAAGAGGTTCTAGCTCTTTGCTCATGACATCTGCCCATTCCTTTGCCCTAGTTTGTTGTTCATCCTCATTTGAGGCACGCATGACCTTGAACTGGTAACGCAGGATCTTTGTGTTGAAAACTTCAATAAAATGATCCATTCTTTCACGTCGATTGGCAAAGTTGGGCTGGCCTAGAGCTGGTAGAAGCGGCGATGGGTGTTTCTCGCATAAGAATTGAGCAATTTCGGCGCTCTCGGTGACGATTTGCTTGTGCGAAGAGTCTTGCTCCGAATACTCGATCGCTGGGACGGCGCCTTGAGGATTGATATCTAGGTACCATTGAGGGCGAGGGACGTCTAGATCGATGACAACTTCCTCGAACGGGAGTTTGAGTTCCCGCAGTGTGATATTCACCCGGTGGGCATAAGGACAGCGATGATTCGTGTAGAACTTGATCTTCGGGATCGCCATGCTTGTCGTCGTAGTGGAAATGTGGCAGACGTTAACTTGCTGAGGACGGAGTCGAAAATTTTGCCGAGCCAAAAGCTTGAAGGGAAAGTGCCTCTGAGGTCTCATAGGTCTGAGGGTTTTCAAAATCCACTGGGGGTATGGTCCAATTTATGTTTCTCTACTTCGCTAACTATCATCCTAGCAGGCCCCACGGGTCTTGGCGATCCGGTTCCTCGGTAGGTACCCACTATATGGAGAGAGCCTTCGATGTCGATAGCTCGCTAGTTCGCTTCGCACATCTCCGAGCTCATCGACATCCCAAGACCTTCGCATACGACCTCAACGACACCATTCACAAACTTCCGCGCCTGTTCGACGGTAATGTACGCATCGTTATAAATCATGTCCAGAGAGGTTCGCGCCTGCCAACTATTCAAGCACAAAGTTGGCTGTGGACTTCGCAGGGACGAGAAACTATGCACTCTTTCGATCGTGAACTTTCCGTGACGAGGTTCTAAGTACTTTTCCAGGATTCCGAGACTACTAATCACTGGTGGGACAAAGTGTGGTATCTGCGAGTCCGCTGTCAGCAAAAGCTTTCGAAAAGATGTCGTTATGGATCACGCTACCTGGTCAGAAGAAGCGCCAGCATCGAGCATGTTCTCGAAGGCAGCAGAAGCTGCACGCAGTGATGAAAGCAATTGATGCATGTCGAAACCTTTAGATCGATGCATCACCATTCTTGCAATGGTCGCAAAGTCCGGCTCGATGATGCTGTCGAAGCCTGTCAACTGTGGCATTGAGCTGATGCTCACGGCATAACATCCAGTACCATATCTTTGATACAAAGTCAGCAAAGGGTAAGAACAACAACACCAGAATCCAAACTTACGGTTCAGGCAGGTATGGTCTTAGGTCGGACATCAGAACATCCATGAACTTGTTGCCTCTGGTGTCAGGATCACACATATGCCATGTCTGGATGATAGCGGCAGCGTGGAGAGCTGCGGTGACAGTGATACCTGCGCTCTTACATCCAGCCACCAGTTTGGCAGTATCGTCCTTGCTCAGCATGACGAGCTCTCGCCTCGGATCCCCTGGAGACCTGCTTTGCTGACAAGTAAGACCGATCGAAGGTGCAGCGGCAATGAATCCGCCCAGCCAGTCAGAGCTCCACTGTTCAGCCTCTTCGATGAAATCTGTAGGCAATCCAAGGATATCTTCAATCGCAGGTGGAAGTCGGGGAACTTCCGAACCCCAATCATCGCTAGAAGGTTGATTGTCGGATTGTCTTTCGCCAGCAAGAATGTCGAAGAAGTCGTTCATCAACAACGAGCAACCCGCTCCATCGATCCGCCAATGCGAAGATCTCAAGAGCAGCTCACTGGTCTTCGGAAAGTAATGCAGTTCCATCATGCGAGGAGCTCCAAGGCTAGCAGATGTTTCTCCAGCAGATCTGTCGTTCGAAGCATGAATGATGAAAGTGTTCTGCGACCACAGAGCCAATTGAGCTTCATTTCCAGGAACTGTGTATTGAAGGCTTTGTTGGCCTAGACCGAGCTGTACAGCAATCATTGGATGCATGAATCGGAGCGTCTCCCAAGCGTTGCTCAGCATTTGGTCTAGAGTTTTGGCTTGAGATGTTGGAGAATCGACGTTTTCTGTGAATTTGATCACGTACTCCACGACGAAGTCTTCGCATCCGTGGCGTCTAGTGGAATGGACCATTTTGACATAGGCACGCTCCGTTGGTCCACATGGTCGAACGTAGGTCCGTTCATCTTCCTGGGTCCAAGTAGACATGGCTAAGGCCCATGCAAAGCAGTAGAGTGATGAGACCAGCTTAGTCTCGACGAAAAACTGGTGTCGGAGGATGTGGAGGTAGGCCTTTTGTTCTTAGAAATCGCAATTACTTGGTCCTTATATGGAAGAAGCATTCCACATTCATCGACCCCCAATCTAGCTGTCACGCCGAGCCCGAGACGACTGGAAATGGGAATTCGCCAAACTGCGTCACATCTTTATACAATTCATTGAAGACAGCAACAGAGAGAGAATCATGCACCAGTATTCACTCACATACGTTCAAAGACTACATCTTCCGCTACTCCACAACACACACCCCTTGGCTTCTGATATAATCCACTAAGCAGAGAAGATGTGCAGATGAGACAGCTTTGGATCGCCCGCCTCATAGCTAGCCTTGTCAGTGACAGCCCAAGCGACAAAGCCTCCCTCAATGGCCGTCCCATTCCTCATCACGGCCTTCATAAATGTTAATCAGGCACCATAACATATTCAGCCTTGTGGAAGAAGCATACCTTCGCATGTCCCCGAAGCATGAGTTCCAAACCCGGACTCTGGTCGGCGAACACGGCATAAATCATATGCGTCTGCTCGGCAAACCCACTCTCGAATGCCGTAGTAATGGCATTGGAGATAACTATACAAAGTGTCGTCAGCGGAGCAAGGAGCAAAGCATCGGTGAGACACCAACCTTCACGCCCGGTAAACGTCATACCGAGATCGGTAAAGATACCGCCCTCGGTGAATGCAGCGGCGACGTCCGGGCCACCCTTGGGGTCGTCTGCGGCTTTGTAGGCCCGAGCAAGGTTGTCTTTGATCAAAGGGTCAATCTCGATGGCTGGCCAGCTTGCTTCGTCTGTTCCTGCCGAGGTGACCATGGGAGACAGAAACCCCAGTGCGGCAAAAGCCACGCCGAAGATGGTGGAGTTCAACATGCTTGGATACAGATTGTGATACTGAGATCTCCTCTACAAGTCTTCTTTGTAGGGATTATATGTGTGGTGAGGGGAACTTTTTGCCGCTCGGCGAGGCATCGGGGACGCTTTCGGGCATCGGTGATGTTTGTTGTTTCGGTGGAGTTTTCAAGACGCAAGTATGTGAGCCTTGTGTTCTTCGGTCTCGTGCATCAACTGCATGATCGTGGAAGATCTACGATTGTACATGGTCAGCTTGACGTAATGCCTCAAAGCATATCAAGAGTAACTCTCGATGGCAGAATGGTTGTGGTATTGAATGTTGAGTTTCAGCATGATGGCAGTATCCATTGTTCATCCGCACTTTCATGAGGTCTGTTGTGGGTGTGTCAAGAGTACATTACGGCACACAGAGGTGGTGACATCAAACTTTCCTCCGCGTTTGTGGGTTTCTGTTATGTTTCATCAGGCCGGTCATCGTTTCGTCGAACAGGTATTATAATTAATTCACGACCCGAAACACGTCGTAGCAGAATGGTAAAAGTATCCTGAAGAATTGAATCTTTGTCTATTACTCCAGTTTTCTAGATCCATATAGAGACACTATTTCTTTCGCTCAGATCTCAGGCTCTCGACGTCCTCCTTGCTCTCAACCTTGATACGACTGCTTCTAACATCAGACTCAAGAATCTTCTCGAAAACACGGCCAAAGATGGACGATTTCATTGTGCCGTGCTCCTGCGCGACTTCATCAACTTCGACACGCTGTGCAAGGTAGACTTCGTTGAAGCGGACGTTCGTGTCGACCAAATCTTTGCAAGCAGAGTAGCACATCGAGAACATGGCTCCTTGCGAGATGGCGGGCAATGCAAGATCTCCCTTGTCACCTTGCGAGCCGGTGCAGGTCGTCCAAGTACATTTCTTGCCCTCTTGCTCGAGCAGGTAGGGGATGGTAGCACGGTATGCGACTGTGTTGCGAAACGTCAGTAGATTTTCTATGTCCGTAGCACAATCGACTGACAGNAAGTTGGACTCAAAGTTGTGCGTCATGAATTCGCGCAAACTCTCAGGAGAGGTATCGAGCATCTTCTGGAAGGTATAGCCTCCACCAACTGGTTGATTGTCAGCTAGTCGAAGATAGGCTCAGAGTGACATTGACGAACTAGAACACCAGACATGCTGGAATGCGGGAAGAGACCCGGCACGAACTTTGTCAACAACACCTTGGACACCAGTCTCAGAGACAACATTGGCCTCGACGGTAGTGATGCGATCGCGACCTTCGCTAATGTGCTCGGACAGCTTTTTCTCTGAGTCCTTGTTGCGTACGACGGCGAGGACGTTTCGTCCAGATTTGAGTGCGCCGATGATGGCGGCAACGCCAATGTTGCCGGTAGCACCAACTACGAGGACGGTTTCAACTCCTTGGGCCATTTTGGAAAGCATAAATAGAGAAATGTTGTTAATGGTGCGCAATCGAGACGGGGAGCCTGGCGCTTTTTGTGCAAGCTGTCCACCGGCTGTTTACTCATCGAATCGAGTAAATGGTCCAGATTGTTTGGAGTGAGTGGGGACTCGGTAATGCCTAGCCATCGTGTCAACGAAAGTGCTGTGACCGGTGATCTTCCACGAAGGATGTAGTTTGCAACACGATGAGCGAGGTGCGGTGCAGGTGGTCGCCGTATGACCCCACTATGCAGGACCACCCGAGCGCCGAGACTAACCGTACGGGGCGTCCGGGGCCGCTCGCTAGCGCCGGGACATTTTCTTGGCGGATCCCGCAGACGACGACCGTCGTTCGCCTTCAGACAACAGCATCGGCGGCTCACCAGCGAAACCAACGCCGATACCATCTTGACAAGTAGAGACGTGAGCCGAGGACGAGACCGTATGCACTGTTTTGTTGACCTATATAGTTGCGTATCTGAATAGAAAGGTAGGTGGTTGAATACTTTGATTATCGTTCTACAAGAAGCAACAACTCGACAGCCGTCTATTATCAAACCAATTCTCTATCATCATGATCTCCCGTATCGAATCAGCTGCAGTCATAGCACCCGGTTCGCTTATCCTCGTTACGGGTGCCAATGGGTACTTAGGGTGTCGTTTCTCCAACACCTTGATTCAGCAAGGGTATCAGGTCCGTGGAGTTGTGAGGGACAAGACTCGATGTGCACATGTGCAAGAGTTTTTTGACAGCAAGTATGGATCTAAGGGTCACTTCGAGATGGTTGAAGAGACCGACTTGACTGCTGAGGGTGCCTTCCAAGAAGTCGTCANNAAGGTATGCATCACTTGCTCCTGTGTCTGTTTAAGTTGCTGACCAAGTACAGGCTGCGCTGGGTTCGTTCACTTTGCTGTCGACAACAGCTTTTCGCCCAACCCCGAAGTCATCGTAAACGGCTCAGTGGCACTCACCATGCGTGCACTGGAGGCTGCTGCCAACGAACCCGGCATGAAGCGCTTCGTTTTGACCTCTTCGTACATCACTGCCTGTCAGTATCGCATGAACGAAGTCTACGATGTTACCCAAGACAGCTGGAACAGAGACTTCGTGGAGAAGGCCTGGGCACCTCCGCCCTACACTCAAGAGCGTGCCTTGTTCACCTATGGTGCTGCCAAGGTGCAGTGCGAAGAAGCCATGTGGAAATTCATGGCTGACAGAAAGCCGTCCTTTGTTGCCAATGCTGTGCTTCCAGACTTTGTCACAGGAGCATCCATGCCACATGCCAAGCCCAATGTTGGCCCCATGTCTTTCGCTCTGGAAGCACTATGGTCAGGCGGCGATTCTTGGAAGTTCCTGGGTCCGCAGTGGATGATTGACGCCGAAGATACCAGCCTTCTTCATCTTGGCGCTCTACTCCACCCCGACTACCAGAATGAGAGAATCTTTGGTTGTGCTCACCACAAGAATTGGAGTGATTGGATTGCCAGATTGCGCATCATGTATCCCGAGCATTCGTTCCCAGGTAAGACACATCAAATTGCTGTTCTTTCCAATCCAGTCTGACACTTTGAAACCTGCANNGATCCCCCTGAGAAGGAAGACAAGAACATGGAAAACATTGTTGATCAATCACGCGCCGAGGACCTGCTCAGATGGCTTGGAAGGGATGGATTCCGACCAATGCAAGATTCCATGAAAGACGTCTTTGACACGATGAATTGAAGATGGCGGCACATGTGTAGGCTCATGTGTTTGGAGAGTCAGCAAATCTGACCAAATTCTTTGTCTTTCCATAAATACAACAGCAAATCTATCGGTCTAACTATATTTTGTCTTCTTCTTTGCTACACAGCTGAGAAATATTTGACCAAGTCTCGGGAAGTCGGCCTGTATCATCATAAGTATGTGCAGATTGCCTAGGAAATCATGTCTCGGTTTCCCAGAGCTATCTGGATGAGCGCATCCAATTCTTGACATATTTTCGGCATGGCGAGGCGGTACCATTGAGTCGCACTGGCCTCGCCGGAAGTTTTTGCATCGTCGGCTGCCCACGACACATCCAAGGTGATGAATCGGTCCATGGCTCTTTTCATCTTGCGGAGCTCTCTGAGTAGGATGCCACTTTGAAGTGTGGCTTGATCATCGGCATCAAGTGGCAGCTCTCCTAGCTGTATTCTGACAGGTCTCATAGATGGACCGTTGTCGGAACCGGTCGAGATGATACTGTTATGTCGCATTTGTCCGGACGAAGTCTGCCTCGTAGTCCCATCAGCGCCTGTGCCGATCGTGCTTTGAGTGGACACAGCCACACGGTACCAAAATAGGGCTTTGGAAAATATGGATATATAGAGCAAGGCGAGATGGGGGTATCTTGCACATGAACAAGCTAGTAGATCTGGCAAAGTCACCAAAATTTTACGATTGGCAACCATGATCTTGTCCACGCTTGGAACTGCGGTTTCATCGCCAGAAGATGACGAACCGTCGTAGTCAAGAACCATCGATGTCGGAGATGGACTCGTGAAGTGATTGGGATGATAGTGGAGCGAGCGAAGAATTTCCGATGCTCTGCCTTCGCAATCATGTCCGCTATCCATGGGATCTCCTGATCTAATGGCAGGTTCATTGGCCGCTGCTGATGACGTCTCGACTAGCGCTTGACCNGAAGAAGTTGTTGATCTGGGTCTCGTCTTCATTGCTGTTGAAGAGCTCAGAGTTGAGGTAGTCGTCGCAAAGGCAAAGTCACCATGGTCCCAAGGCTGGTATGAGTCCGCAGATATTACACCCATATTTTTTTCCTCCAGGGGATCGAGTATGNNTTGTAAGGGAAGCTGGCTCGGAGAGTTTGGCGGCCTCATCTGAGTGTTGTGACTGATATTTGAGGAAGTGCCATGCTGGTTCTGCGGCTGTTTCTGCATTCTCTTGTACCAAGGTTCTGAGCCATGCCTACGTGAGACACTGTATACACAAGGTAGGCCATTATTAACGCATCGGGAGCAAGCAGGGCGGCCCTTGTCGCATTTGACTTTGGTCGCCGAGCATGAATCACACGCCAGACGAAGGCGGACGGGTCGATGAGGATTCTGCCCCCGTTGTCGTGACTGATGCTGTCCTTGATGCTGTGCATCGTACTGTTGCTGCTGGTGATTTCCTTGGATAGATGACATGGAGAACAGCTCGGACGCTTCCATAGTTTTCAGTTTCAGAGCACGAACGGACCGAGTAGACAACTTCAGCTGGTGGTGATATCTCTAACAGATATGGTGTCGATCCTATAAGTCCTCTCGGTTGATGTCGCATCCTTCTCTACACCGGTGAAGCAGTGAAGGCCCACAGGCCCTGCTGTTGGTCGAAATCGATTTGCTGAAATCCTGATGCGTGTGCATCTTTGCCATCTATCCAGATCGGGTATTGTGTCTGGCCTCACCGGCAGGTGGACGCCTAACTCCTCGGATACTACCCGGTACTGCTTCCTACCCCCAAATGTCGAAGTCCCTCATGCTCCTGTCCCAGCGCATCGCTTTTGAATGTACTCCAGTGTATTGAGAAATACTCAGCTCACGGAACAATGACACGACTTTGATTTGACCATGAGGAAGAACAGAATTCCGATTCATTCGGCTGAATTGTTGGCCGACCCTCAATTGCAGTTCACTATATGATAGCGAGCCTCAGAACTATGCGTATCTGTTGGTGATTCAGCTTTGATTCGCATCTTAGGGATAGCATAGAGGGATCCGCTATAGGCTTACCCGAGTCACTCTATATTGCAGATCTATGGTCGTTAGCGACGCTTTAGTACGAGGTCGCAATATGAGGATTGACAAGCACCAACATGATGTAGACCAGGTTATGACCCACAATCCTTCGCGGAAGCAGCTGTAGCTGTTCCTGGCATGGTTCCTCTATTGGCTGCCACTTGTTTGCTTGTCAAAACTGCTGAGTGAAGTATTACGAAAGAAGCTTTGCCTTCTCAGGCAACAGGTGAGATACATTGTATGTGATGGGCTAAGAGTCGGTGTCATACAGCGTTCTGAGCAAGTGATGAAGCTGCCATCTCGTAGCCATTGCTCGTAGAGTGTCCAGATCACCTAATGGTATTCTCAGAAACCCCATGTACCCAGTGGTGATTGTTGTGCTTCGGAACTGCACGCCGTCAAACGAATGGCGCACGGGAGGCAAGGGTCGCCATGCCAAATCCTACAGATCCTTCCAATTTGGATGTGTGGTGCACATACGTACGCCAAGAGTATAAAGCTTCCACCTTCACAACTGCCGTTCCACGCGTTTTCATTGAAACCACCTAACATCAACTATCCACGTGTCTGTTGAACATGTACTCAGGCGTCCAGTGGATTTGGCGATCTACCAAGATAGACCTGCGGACCTTCTGATCGCTGTCCCGCCCCCATACCTGTCCTTTGTCGCGACTTGCTTCCGTACCTGGCAAGCTTCAACTTATGATGCATGAAACTGCAGGGGCAACATACCTTCGGCAGACTTGTGATTCGCTCGAAAGCCCGCTCTAGTACAGGGTGTTTTCACATTCGATGGATAGCGCGCACATCCATGCGTCTGCATGTTCAAGGATTACAGCGAATCGCGAGTGTTACCAAGGTCGGAATAGGCAGTCTGCAAGCCACACGCTATCCATCGGCTGCAGACACACCCTGTACAATCATAGTTGGACATGCCGAACATCGACCTGAGCACTGGCATGTGTCCACCAAAATCACGGTCACTAAGTTATGCAAGAGCTAGCTCACATGGACACTATAACTGGATGACATTGCTGATGCTAAGCCCTCCCGAATCCTGCTCAACAAACGTCATAAACTTCTCTTCACAGAGTACACTGTCAGTGTTGTTTCAACCTCTCGGGCAATGAGTCCTCATTAGGAAGGGGACAATACGACCGCCGAGCCATTCTCATCTTGTTGCACCTCAGCCTGCTCGTCACGCATGGTTCTTCTCTCCATGGCGACGACGCCGAGTGTTCCAAGACAAGCAAGTATCAGCGACAGCCTGAATGGCCATCTGAGTGCTTCCATATACGCTCGCAGAGCTCGGGGCAGATCTTCTGCTGGAACGATGTCTTGCAAGGATGTGGCACCACCAGACACCACATCTGAAGACTGGACCCCAGGTATCTCCAATGCATCGATATACGAACGCAATCGGGAGTTGAAAAGATTGTTAGCCGCACTGACAAACACGCTTCCTCCAAGGAATTCGAGCATCAGATTGCTCGCGAGTCCCACAGGGACATCCTCGGCTTTCAGGACCAGCTGGATAACCGATGGAGGGAGTTGGAATGCCAGACCAGCGCCAACACCAATCAGTATCTGATAACCGATCCACTCCCCTGCAGACGTGTCGACCTGAAAGGTCGAGATCAGTCCAGCTCCGAGCGAACTGATGACCGAGCTTGCGTAGAAGAAAGGCAAGTAATGGCCGGTTTTCGATACAAGCACTCCAGCAAGAACGGAAGCGATGACATTGGCAACGATGAACGGGATCATACGGATGCCAGAACCTTCTGCTGATGCGGACTTGATCGCTTGAAAATAGATCGGAATGAAGTAAAGTATGGTCGAAAAATAGCCAAACAGGCAGAACATGAAGAATGACATGGAAGCAAGTGTTCGTTGTCTTGCCAGTCGAGGAGGGATGGTAGCATTATCTTCCATCGCCAGTTGGTCCACAACAAAACCAATCAGACAAACCTGCAGNAGCCGTCAGCATTCTGGGATTCGGTTCATCTTCTCCGAGAGTTGGCCTACAGCGAAGAATACAAGCACGACAATGAGTCTCCAGTCAGACCAAGGATAAACTACGTCGCCCCACTCGAGGGCAAGCAGCAAGCAGATGATACTGGCCAGAAACAACGCAAGACCGACGGGATCGAAAATTGAAATCAGTTGCCAGGAGAATGACTCAAGACGTGGTTTGCTTGGTACCCGAAGGAAGAAGAGCAGCAAAACCGCAGAGACCCCTCCAATTGGGAGGTTGATGTAGAAGCANCCTACTCCGTTAGCGAGATCAACGCAACAGTCAAGCATCGGGGTCTTGAATTACCACCGCCATGTTACTCGATCAGTGAACGCTCCTCCGATCTGNGAGTTCATCGTAACTCAGTCAGCTCTGGTCAAGATTGGCTATCACGAATGAGTACTTACCAAGGGTGCCACGATTGAGCTGACGCCAAACATCACGCCGACCATACTCTGGAAAGCCGGGACGTGCTTGCGAGGCACAATCATACCGACGATAAGCATGGCACCTGAGAAGACACCCGCAGCTCCGATACCCTGGATTGCGCGACCGATGATAAATGCAGTTGATGTCGGTGCTACAGCGCATACGAGCGAGCCAACTTCGAAAAAGAACAAAGCTACCATGAAAGTCCATTTAGCTGAGTATCGCGAGTAGAGGCGGCCGAACATGAGCTGGAATGCGCAAGTCGGCAAAAGGTAAGCAGACCCATACCATCCGATGTCTTTGATTGCCTGTGTTTCATGAGCATTGCTGGCCATTCCCCGGGTGGAGGACCGGAAGAGTCGTCAAACCTTGAAATCGTCGGTGATACGAGGCACTGCTGTAGCTATGATGGTGTTGTCGAGCGCTACACAGAATACAGAAAGTGCAAGAGCAATGTAGGTGGATATGAAGCTCCAACTCCACATCTGCCATTCTGCCTCTTGTGGACGAATGGGCCCTCTTGAGTCTTCGGCGCCTTTGGTCTCAACTGCTTGACGATCCGACGAGGTAGCCATCTTGGTGAAATTGTTCAAGTCTATGCTTGGTGTATTGGGAAAGGAATCAAGCTATTGAGGTTGAAGTGTAACAAAGTGTGTTTGTGCTCTTCGGACAAGCTGGTAAGATCCTTGAGTGACAGGATATGTGTGCCCCGCGCTGGAGCATGTATGTCGGACTTGGTCAATGTCGTTGCTCAGGCATCGATTTTCCTTGTAACTCCATCTTCCCACATTACGTGCCTCTCGCCTCGGGGGATCATGTGCGCTGCTGCAGGCTTCGTGGGGCCTTACCATTAGCGTCGGCGAGGCAAAGGGATTTTCGCAGCAGCATCACTCGACTAGTTCCAGGCCCGAGGATTGTAACATCGCCATATCATCTTCCAGAATCCTTCGGGATTACCAGGCAACTCTCCATTGTGCTTCGTACGCTGACCGAGTGGATAGCGATGCTTAAGCTGCTTCGGCGTTGCGAATCCTGTTGCCACCAACCAACAGAGGCAACAGAGTCGGACAAAGCGATAGAAAATCTACGATGGCATTATGATGTTGAATGGCACGACAGAGACAAAGTATATTATGAGTGAGAGATGTACCATGAAAGTGCAAGATCACTCTCGAGTATCCTCAACATCCTCAACCATGTCGACACCTTCAACAGCTTCTTGGGATAGTATTGCTGATGCGAAGAACCCTACTCTCGTATTCTTCGGCAATGACTTCCCCAATGATGATACTGGTCATCTATACCGCGTTCTGTACCAACGCAGTGCTCACATGAAATGCCATGAGCTTGCCCACTTCATCACACTCTGCAACCAAGTTATTAGAGAGGAGATTGCTAGGCTCCCAAAGTCGTGGCAGGACCAGGTTCCTGATTTCGACAATGTCTTGACCTTGGTTGACGACTCGACCTTTCGTAAGGGACCTCTTGGTGGAGCGATGGAGGGAGTCTTCCTGATTATCCTTCAGCTTGGCTTGGTCATTGGGTGAGTCAAGATATTGNTCAAACTACAAAGCATACAAAGCTGACCGCAATCAAGTCACCACGAGGTCCAACAAATGCCCTATCAAATCAGCCACGATGATAATGTCCTCGCCGGCCTGGGCGTGGGCCTGCTCTCCGCTGCCGCGATCTCATACTCACCTACTTTGGCCGATCTTGCAAAGGCCGGTGCTGAGTCTGTTCGCACCGCTTTTCGACTCGGCGTGCATGTATACGAGATTTCCGAAAAGCTGGAAGCTCCAGACACGCAAGAGAGTCCATGGGCTTTCGTGATCCCTGGGTTGAGCTCAGAGGTTGTGCAAACCGAATTGAACACGTTCAACCAGGAAACAGTTAGTTTGTGATCAAATGTGGCGGCTCGAAGGCAAACATCACTAACAATCAGTAGTCGANATCCGGTGCTCACGCAAATCTTCATCAGTGCTTGGGATGCATCCTCAGTTACTGTCAGCGGACCTCCCACCCGCCTGAGATCGTGTCTGAAGAGTTCAGATGTTCTCAGATACTCCAACTTCTTTCCTCTGCCGGTCCATCATGGACTTTGTCATGCCTCACACATCTACACCGATGCCGATGTCCGAGGAATCATGGACGGTGTATTCGCAGACACTCTGAACCTCACACGTCAAACCAAGACGCATTGCCCCTTGCTGTCTTCCGGAACCGGCAAAGCCTATCAAGCCTCTGATCTGAACCATCTGTTCGAACAGATTGTCGAGGAGCTTCTGATGAACAGAATGCATATCGACAATGTTGCGGAAAGCATAGCCACAATGCTTGAACCTCGGTCATCCGACCAACAGCAGCAGCTTCCTTTGTGGACATTCCGAAGTTCTATGGTGCTCAAGGCGATCCTTAGAACCATTGATCAGCGATGGGAGGGTCGTGGTACATTCCAGCCGCACGATTTTGTGGATTGGATCAAAGGTGAAACATCCAATCAGGAGATTCCACGATCCACCAAGCAATCGAAACTGGCAGTCGTGGGTATGTCGTGTCGACTTCCTGGCGGTGCCAACGACCTGGAACTGTTCTGGAAACTTATGCTCGACAAGCGTGACGTGCACACTGAGATTCCTGCAGATCGCTTCGACCTGGAGTCTCACTATGATCCTTCTGGGCAGAAGGAGAATACTACGCAGACTCCATTCATGAACCCCATGGCTAACCCAGGTCTCTTTGATGCTGGCTTCTTCAACATCTCGCCGAAAGAGGTAAGTGTTTCTCAGCGCAAAAGTTGGGCTAGTACTGATGTTGTGTTTTCGTAGGCAGAGCAAATGGATCCGATGCACCGACTTGCGCTGGTCACCGCCTATGAAGCTCTCGAGATGTCTGGTTATGCTCCAAATCGTACGCCTTCTACGTCCTCTCCTCGCGTAGGAACATACTACGGCCAAGCAAGTGACGACTGGCGTGAGCTCAACGCGAGCCAGAACATTGGCACGTATGCGGTTCCAAGTGGCGAGCGTGGTTTCGCCAATGGCCGTATCAATTATTTCTTCAAGTTCAGTGGACCGAGCTTTAACATGGATACTGCATGTTAGTTTATAGAGACGAGTCTGACGAGAACCATGCTAACAAAAGTCTCTAGGTNNTCAAGTGGGCTAGCTGCTGTCAATGCCGCCTGCTCGGCTCTTTGGGCTGGTGAAGCATCCACAGCCATTGCCGGCGGCTTGAACGTCATCACGGATCCCGATAACTTCTGTCAGCTTGGCAAGGGTCACTTTCTGTCACCCACTGGGCAATGCAAAGTCTGGGACGAGGCGGCTGATGGCTACTGCCGAGCAGATGGTGTCGGTAGTATTGTCATCAAGCGCCTCGAAGACGCCTTGGCCGACAACGACAAAATTCTGGCAACCATCTTGGGAGCAAATACCAATCACTCTGCCGAAGCGATCTCAATTACCCATCCACATGCGCCATCTCAGGCAAACAATTACAGAAAAGTCATGTCTCAAGCAGGTCTCTCACCTCTGGACGTAAGCTATGTGGAGCTCCACGGTACCGGCACACAGGCAGGAGACAGAGAGGAAGCAAGATCCGTCTCTGATGTCTTTGCTCCAGTTTCGCCTAGACGTAAGAAGAATCAGCGACTACGACTGGGAGCACTCAAGGCCAACATCGGACACGGCGAGGCGGCAGCAGGTATTGCTTCGTTCATCAAAGTACTGTTGATGTATCAGAAGAATGCCATACCCCCTCAGATTGGCGTTCAGAAATTGAACCCTACACTACCTTCAGACATGGAAGAGCGTAACATGGGGCTCAACTGGGAGTATTGTGAATGGCAGCCGTCCAAGTCAGGTTCTCGAAACGCCATCGTCAACAGCTTTGGTGCTCACGGTGGCAACACTACGGTCCTTCTTAGCGATGCGCCTTTGCGTGTAACCAACGGGGCCGATCCACGTTCTGTCTATCCTTTGGTCATCTCTGCCAGAAGCAAGAACTCCTTGAAGAAGAACACAGAGGCCTTACTGCGATATCTCGAAGACCATCCAGAGACCAAGATTGGAGATTTGTCTTACACTCTTACAGCTCGCCGCATTCATCATCCCTTCCGTCTTGCTAAACATGTAACGGACGTCTCCGAGGCCNAGAAAGTTTTGAGCAACCAACTTGACAAGATGCAGCAGTCGCAGCGGGTGGCATCCATTCCACTCAAGGCTCCTACCATCGCTTTTGTGTTCACGGGACAAGGCGCTTTCTATCTCGGCATGGGTGCACAACTGTACGCTCATTGTGCCAGCTTCCGCGCAAACGTGGAGCGTCTGGGTCGTCTAATCCAGACACTAGATGTGGATGTGGAATCAATCGTACCAATCATCCAAGGCTCCAACAGTGACATTGATCAGGTCTCACCTGTTGCTTCTCAGCTGGCGATCGTGCTGATCCAGATAGCACTTACACACTACTGGCAATCGCTTGGAGTCAAGCCTTCTATGGTCATGGGTCATAGCCTAGGCGAATTTGCCGCGCTCGCCACAGCAGGAGTAATCTCTGAACTCGACGCTCTATACCTCGTTGCCAAGAGAGCAAAGCTCATGATGACTGAGTGTCAGATCGATTCGCACAGCATGCTCGCTGTCAGATGTGGACTCGAACGACTCGAAGAGCTTCTCAACGGCCATGAAGAGGAATACGAGCTCGCTTGCATCAACGGCGAGAACGATCTTGTCATCAGCGGGACAAAACAACACATCTCAACTCTCGCCACCTTGTTGAGTGATTCTGATGTCAAATCTACGATGCTCAAAGTGCCTTTTGCATTCCATTCGGCTCAAATGGATCCTGTGTTGGAGCCGTTCGCCCAGGTGGCCAAGCATATCGCGTACAAGGCTCCTCAGATCCCTGTAATTTCTCCTCTCCTGGCTGAATGTATCTTTGACAGCAAGACCATCAACCATGAGTATTTGCAGCGCGCCACAAGAGAATGCGTTGATGTGGTTGGAGCTTTGGATGCCGCACAAGAACTCGGACTCGCTGATGCCGATACTGTCTGGATAGACATTGGTCCGCATATGGTTGCCGGGAGCATGATCCGCAATATCATGAACCCCACCACTGTCGTTGCTTCATTGAAGAGAGACGAGGATGACTACGCCTCTATCGTCTCTTCTCTGACTGCCTTGCATTGTGCAGGTGTCGCAGTCTCTTGGAACGAGTACTTCCGCCAGTATGAGAGATCACATGAGCTGCTGCATCTACCCACATATCGATGGAATGAGAAGCTATACTGGATCCCGTACCTGGGCACTTGGACGCTCGACAAGGCCAACATAAAGCATAACCTTGAGAAAGCGGCAAACAACCCTTCATTGATCGGCAACTTGAATTCGAAGTTGAAGACTTCGACCATACATGGAATCTTGTCTCAAACAGTTGACGAGTCAAATGTTCGCCTAACAACTATATCGAATTTGCTCGATCCATCGTTTCTCGAAGCTGTGGAAGGTCATCGTATGAACAATTACGGCATCGCTTCCTCATCCATTTGGGCAGACATGGCTTTCGTGGTGGGCGAATACATTCACAAGCTCGGATATCCTGGCGAGAAGAAATGCTCAATGAACGTAATCGACATGGAAATCCTACACGCACAAGTTGCAGGCTCGCCCAAAGATGGATTGCAGATGATTCAGCTTGAAGCGACGCTCGACATCACTTCTCGGATCATCGAAGTGTTCCTGTACAATGTCTCAAGCGATAACAATCGTGCTGTGGATCACTATGGAAGCTTCAAGGTGCAGTTCCAGAATCCTTTACCCTGGACGAAAGAATGGAGACGCGTCGAGTGTCTTGTCAATCAGCGCATTGAAACCTTGGATCGTCTGGCAACTGAAGGTGTTGTAGCGAGTAGACTGACGCGAAACATGGCATACACTCTGTTCAAGAATGTCGTCGACTATGCTGATCATTACCGGGGCATGGACTCGGTCGTTATCCACGACTATGAAGCGTTTGCTGACATAACTCTTCATGTTGATGAGCATGGCGTCTGGCATACACCACCCCACTGGATCGACAGTCTATGTCATCTCGGTGGTCTGGTCATGAACGGATCTGATGCTTCCAACACGGCTGACTTCTTCTACGTCACGCCAGGCTGGGACAGCTTCCGCCTGGCTCAACCTCCACGAGCAGGGGCAAAGTATCGCAGCTATGTCCATATGGAACAGACAGTCGAGGACCCAAAGATGTGGGCGGGCGATGTGTACATCCTGCAGGATGGCGCCATTGTCGGTACGATGGGACAGATGAAATTCAGACAGGTCAATCGGGTCTTGATGGATCGGTTCTTCTCACCAAGCAGTAGCCATGGTCATCCTGCTCAGTCTGAGAAGGCGGAAAAGAAACCCAAGGCAGTCACTGTGGCTACAGTGCCACAGGTTGTTTCCGTTGCAGCTCCAGTCGAGGTAATGCTTCCCCAGAAGATCGAGCCCTCCAACAATCAAAGCCAAGCTGCTGTGGCAGCGCCCGAGGCTACTGCTCCAATCACAGCGCCAAAAGCGGAGGAGGATCCTTTGCTTACCAGTGCCGTCGGTGTTATTGCCAACGAGACAGGCATCGATGCTGCTGAGCTCGGAAACGATACAACCTTCTCACAGATCGGCGTCGACTCGCTCATGTCGCTTGTACTTGTTGAGAAGTTCAAGGCACAACTAAAGATGGAAGTCAAGAGTTCATTGTTCATAGAGTGCGAGACGATTGGTCAGTTCAAGGAGTGGTTGGAGGAGAACCGGTAGTATCATGTCTTGTAGATAGACTGTAAGCAGGTGTCGCTGGTGTAGCTATAGAGTAAATCAAGAGAACAGATTGTTCATGATGAATCCTGTTGCCAGATGTGTTGTTTGTTTGGTGTGGAGTTGAAGTCGAGAGAAGCTGCGGGTGATGACGAACTTCTCCATGTTGCGTGTGGCTTGGCCAGGGGGAGATGGCGCTGGCGGAGAACGTCTCGACTCTCTCGTACGTCGACAGCTGGACATTTGAACAAGAACAATGAAGACGACCTGAACACGCCAACCTACCCCATAAACCACTAATAACGGCAACATCACCCTTTCATCACCTACTCGAACAATTACACGCCTCAAGACGCAACAGCCATGTCGGCAGCCACGTCGTCAATCCAGGACCGCACCCACGAGTTCCGCTCCATCCTCGCCCTCGCCCAAAAACGCCTCGCCCACACAAAGACTCCCCAATCCCGACAACATCTGCTGCACAACAACGGCGCTGCTCCCTCGGCACAACCCACACGCAAGCAGCGCAGCGAGTTTGCGCGCAAGGCCGCCGAGATAGGCAGGGGCATTGCAGCCACCGTCGGCAAACTCGAGCGCTTGGGGCAACTAGCCCGCCGCAAGACTTTATTCGACGACAAGCCTGTAGAAATCGCCGAACTGACCTATGTCATCAAGCAAGATCTTGCGGCGCTGAACCAGCAGATCGGTGCGCTGTCGACGATAAACAAAGTCGCGCATCCCAAAGGCGGCGTCGACCAAGAAGGCCAACACAACGAAAACGTCGTAGTGATGCTCCAAAGCAGACTAGCAAACGTAGGCGGAAACTTCAAAGAAGTGCTCGAAGTGCGGTCCAAGAACGTGCAAGCCAGCCGCTCGCGTCAAGACAACTTTGTCAACACCGTAGGCAGCAATGCCGGACACCTCGCACCCCAAGGCCGCAGCGACAGCCCCCTCTACGCACCGCCATCACGAGGCCGCTCACCCCAACCGCCAACAAACCAAGGACAAGACCTGCTCACCCTCGAACCTCCTTCCGCATCCTCTTCAGCCCTCACCCGCGGCGCACAATCAGAACAACAGATGCTGCTCCTCGAAGAAGGAAACCAAAACAACGAATACATCAACCAGCGCGGAGAAGCCATAGAAGGTATCGAGCGCACCATTGCCGAACTGGGCGGCATCTTTGGCCAACTGGCGCAAATGGTTAGCGAGCAGAGCGACATGATCCAACGCATAGACGCGAATACCGAAGACATCGTCGACAATGTGGAAGGTGCACAGCGCGAGCTCATGAAGTATTGGTCCAGGGTGCAAGGTAATAGATGGCTGGTTGCCAAGATGTTTGGTGTTTTGATGATCTGTGAGTTCTTCCTCCATATCTATCTCTCACAAGCTTTGCAGTTACTGATATGATTCACAGTTTTCTTGTTATGGGTGCTCATCGCCGGTTAATGTGCGAATACTGGTTCATCATTGGCAAGGCGTACAGGTTTGGTTTTTGGGTATATGGGAAAGAGGCAGACTGCACAACTTTTGCAGCAAACTACTGGGCAACTTTTACAATGGGGAGGGCAATCACAGCAATACAACACACGGAGACCTTAGACTTTTATTCTCCTTTGCTCTCACGGGTCATCGACAGCTCTAGAATCCTTTGTACTAATACTTTACCTCCTTTCTTCTCTCTTTTCTCCTTTTCTTATCCTCAACCTCGACTTGGGCACGTACTTGTACTAGTTCGATCCACTGTATTACCCTAGCTCTAATACTAATCGTCAGTCTTCCCAAATCTATTTGTTCTTGACTGTTTGTGATTTTTACTAAGTGATCATTTCTGTTGCTGCTTGAATAATACAACTAACGATATGCTACACACCACTCCCTTCCATGCAGAGAAAAGAAGGTGAAAAACAAAACGAACAAAAAAGCAATACGCCTTCCAAAGAAATAATGACAAAGTCCTTCCTACATAGGAATGATCGAGTCCCCCATGAACGACTAGATCATCTTTTTCAGGTGAAAGAGAAAACTCCCCCTGTACGGCACACTTGGCAGACACTCTGTATCGGGGGTCTTTCAACCTTTGAGAGGCGGCCACTATACCTTTTGAAACACCACCACTTCTAGAAATATTACAACAGATGTATTTCAAACCCCCGCAATCCAGAATCATATACATCATTTTTTTTGCCGTAACTGTCTTGTTGTTTACCAGACGTACTGTAGGAATGATTAGTAATTTGATCAACAGGAGATAGTCAGGAAACTTACAGGGATGAAAAGGTAAGGGCAACGTCTCTCATACTCCTTCCAGGCCTCTCCATACTTTTCTCTGCAACGCTGAATGTCACGCGAAGCGCGGTGTACAATCATGAGGCCGAAGAAAACAGGGTAGAACCAAGGGAAAGGCGAGTTGAAGCCGGTGATCAGACCCCAACAGAGGGCAAAGTACATGTCGCAAGTGTAGTGGATCTTACGGGCGTACTTGTACCAACCATCGCAGAGAAGAGCGTTGCCAGTGTCGGTCTCGATCTTCTGAGGGTTCTTGACAGCCTTCCAGGGCAGTTGAGGGAAGGTCTTGCGGTTCAACTCGGAGCCACGCTCTTGAGCGCGGAACATGTTCTTTTGCGAGTTGCCAGTGTCCCACACCCAGTAGGCAAAGAGGTAGCTGGTGAAGAACCAGACAAGGACGGGCCAGGAGTGCGCGTAGACTTCGGGATCGTGGTTGGCAAGGAAGATGGTGCAGTGGCAGTAAGACAGAGGTACACCGGCCAAGTTCCAGAAGATGAGCATGAAACCCCACTTCTCGTAGTACATGTCCCAGGTGATAGGGATCATCTCCTCACCCTTGCAGCAGGCGTTGGCATACAAGAAGTGAGCCATGAGCAAGAAGGCCATCTCGCCAGTGACATAGCCGTACTGCTCGTATTGACGAGCGCAGCCTCCGAGGGTGACAAGGAACAAGATGAACCAAGGGAGACGGACCTCGAAGAACATCTTGAAGTCGAGCCAGCCAAACATACGAGGGTTCAACTCAGCACCCATGAAGAAGTCATAGATGTGGTGACCGGTCATTCTGTGCTGCGCGCCGCGCATAAGAGCAGAGACGTAGGCGACAATCGAGACAATGAAGCCAGACAGGATGGCGACTGACATCAGAGGACCGAACTCGTCGATCAGAGTGTAGAGCTTGAAGAGGCCAGTGGCGTGGAGCGTCAAGGCGAGGACAATGGTCAGGTAGAAAGATGAGACACCGGAGCAATAGTAGAGGAGCTGCTTGTCACCCATGTGAGGAAGAGCCTTGCCCTTGCTGTACACGCCGGGCATGAACAGGTAGCAGATGCCCTCGAAGACGAAGAAGGACCAGTAGATGACCCATGCCTTTGCGTGAGGGAAGGCACCGTTGTAGGCCAGGCTGAAGAGCTGCTTGCCAAAGTCTGACCACGACTGCTCGGAAGACTCGCGCGTAGGGAAGCCACCGTCGTAGTAGGTAGCGCCGACCCACATGTACCACATGAGGACAGGGAAGCCGAGCATCATGGCCGTGACTCCAGCGCTGCCACCAAACTCGTAGTGAGGGTCCGCGTCCACCTTAGGGTCAGAACCCTCCAGCCAGCCATCGATGATGCGCTTCTTGCCCTTCTTGGACGAGCCATTGGCGTGGCCATTGGTCTTCTCGCTGGCAGGGGCGTCGACAAGGGGAGTTTTCGAGCCGGTGATTGAGGGCGACGGCGAGGCAGTGCGACCAGAGTCGGCCGTCTTGCGCGTTGAACGCTTTCTCGATGGTGTTTCAACAAAGCCCTCGGGCAATTCTGGCTTTCTNGTTGACAGGTGTAAGTGGACACGAAACATGCACACACCACGCGCGATTTGCACTCACCTGGGCGTCTTGCCCGTCTGGCTCCTCGTGACGGTCATAGTGTATCAATGGCGACAGCAATTGATGTCCTAGGAAGGATGCCGGTGGCCGGTAGAGAGAAGTCGCGGAGGACTCGATATTCAATCTCCGTTGTTGTTTTCCCTGGCCCTCGGACCCACTTCTGAAACTTTGTGTTTACATCATCATCCATTTCCACCATCTGCCGCCTCAACATTAATTTTGAATTTTTTCATCATTTATTTCATATCTGTATAGCTGTGTGTATATGGACGTTCGCTACTCGTCCAAGGTATGATACCAATGCAATGCAGTAGGATCCTTCGTAAAACGCCTGATATCTCAAAGCCACAAGTCCAGTCAAATCCAGTCCAGTCCAGTCCAGTCCCAATCATCAAGCACCTCGTCTAGCGTTCGTGCTCATCAACGTAATCTTCTTGCCCTTCTTCTTGCCTTTCGCTGCGCCTGTAACTTTGCTAGAGGAAGAAGATCCTTCACCCAGGCTTGCTGCCTGTACTTGGGCGATCAAATCATCGTCCTGCGTCAACTCTCTCTCCCAGCCGTCCAACCAGCCATCATCCATGTTTCCGTGCTGGAGGGCGGCGAGTTCAGGGCTACTCAACCCGATTGCAGTGGTGCCCCATACTGTCCTTGACGTAGCTGGGCTTGTACCGGGCGATGCAAGAGAAGCATAGGCAGAGCCTTGCGGGCGATTGCTGTTGCTCCAGGGTGGTGATGAAGAGGATCCTTGGCCATCAAAAGAACCTGCTGCGTCCGACCCGTTCGCGCCCAACGGAATGAAATCGTCTGGTCTGAACTTGCTTTCCGTCGGTATGCTGACCCGTCTTCGTCGAGCGGCTGCGAACTCTCGATCTTCAGCCTTCTCTGCGCGAACACGTTCCTTCTCTTCCCGTGCTTCTTTGTCCGTGTTTCGCTTGCGACGTCTTTCGATCTCGCCCTGAAACTGCTCAAGGATTGCTGGCGGGACTGTGTCGGTCCAGTCACATTCCAGGAAGGTGACCTCACAACCGTAGGGTAGATGTCCAAGATACTTGACTCGCTTGCGCAAGTCATCGTCGACAATGTGACCTGTCGAGACGCGTTCAACTCGTGGAAGTATCGAAGAGGGGAAGTTGTCGTAGCTTCCAAACGCAGCCTTCAGTATACGAATGTCCAGCGAAGACAGGTAGTAATGCAGAAGACCCTGGTAGAAGAAGTATGTGTCGGGTTGGCGCTCAAAATTAGCATGTTGTCGAGCACGGAACTCGGCTAATGATGTTGAGAGAATGCTGGTTGTAGGATCATCCTGCTTAGTAGTGACCTCTTTCTCACTAGACGATGAATCCGCTTGTCCAGTCTGTCCATTGGGCAAACTCTGGCCTGATTTGGTGGCCTGTTGAATGGCGTACATTTCCGGCACGCCATCATCAGTCTGGTTGAACTGGATGGCTGGCTTCTTGTGTTCGGACTCTTCGGGTTTCTTGGGTGCTGCTGGTGGGTTTCCGATACCCTTGATTCTCTCTTTCGCTTCGTTTAGAGCACGTACAGCTTTGCTGGTCCATTGAGTGTCGTCTCCGAACATGACTTCGTCCTCTTGTTCCATGGCGCGGACATTCTGGATTTCTTCGTCCAATTGGGCAAGCATGTAATCCTCACCGCCTTTCATGACGCGAGCATAATCCATGACCTCGGCAGCGAAATACCATGGGATGTCGTCCCCTTTTCCAAGCGCGTCGGGACTTTCTCTGGGCATGGCGAGTGTAGAACCAGCAGGACGCTGAATCAAACGCAGTACCACGTCATCACCCTCTCTCGGGGGTTCAAACTCAGCACCAGTATACCAACGAACTGGCCTTGTCTCGGAGACATAGATGGAGTCGTAGCAAATTGGACACTTCTTCCAGCGTGCCTTCTTCTCAGTGCCAGAAGCGGTCCCATCATCCGAGTGCATATACCGAATTAAGCAAGGCAAACAGAATATATGACCGCACTTGGCCATTCTCGGAGCGGTAGGTGTACCCAGGCAGATAGGGCATGCGGAAGACTGAGATTCGGTCGAGACGAGAATCTGCAGTACATTATTCCAGTCAATGTGAACATCGGCATCAACGCGTTGAGGGCGATAGTCGGCCCTAGGATCGACAATGAAACGATAGTTGGCATGAACGTATCTANNCACAATCAGCAGGAGTTACGAGTGGGCGAGGCGAGAGAAGTTATACCTTGCCTTGTCCACGGCGTGATATCCCGAACCTAGTCCCCAAGTGGGGTTGCGTCGAGGCCTACCCGAGGCGTATCTAGAGTTGTGCTGATGTGCTTGAGGACGTGGTGGTAGAGAAAAGTTCATCAAATGAGTGATAGAGGTCTGGCCCTTGCGGCTGCTAGTCGAGTGCATGGCGGCCNNTGTGGCAAAGTGAGCAGGGTGGAAGCTCGCTAACAGGTCGCCAGTATTACTTACGGATTCAGCAAGAGCATCCTCATCCGCGAGTCTAAACTTCTTCGATTGCTTGTGCTTTGCCTTTGCACTTTGGTTGCTGCGCGGGGTCGACGATGGCTTCGAGCTAGCGGCGTTGGAGCTGCCTGAACCGCCACTTCTACGTTGACCGAGAACTTCTCCAAAGTAGGCGTTGGTCTGAGAGAATGAGGTTGTCGATTGATTCGAGAGGCCGATGGATTTGGAGGGGTTCGATGCTTTGGCCGAGAGAGCAGTTTGCGGGTTCGAAGACATGACGGGATGCAGAAGCGGAGATGATGTCGTTAAACGCGTCCAAGAAGGAGGGCTGCTGCCGACGAACAAGCAAAACTCGAGTCGAGGAAAAGTCTGCTAACACGATGCGAGTGGCGTATCTAGGATTGGAGGTTGCGATCTGTCGACCGGCCCAGAGGGTGTCGACGAGATGGTCCGAGAGAAAGGGAAAGACGATAAAGAGGAGGGAGGCAATTGCTCATCGCTCCGAGACACCGAGATGGGCCCCTCGCACGTCACATGAACTGCTAGAGACTGCTTGACATCCTCTTATCCGACACATGCCAAGCATTTACTTTGGTTATCTTTTCCTCTATGCAATGCATGGTCTTGCTCGTCTTCGAGAACACACTGTGATATTAGAGCAAAGAGACTGTCTACTGGAAGCTGTACTCGTCGATGGATAAATCTATTCTAGAAAACTGTCCAAAGCTCTCATGAATCGATGCCAGACTTTTATGCGGCCGAAGGAAAGACGTTCGATAGAAAGGCATCAATCGCTTTGTATCAGCTTCCTTCCATACAGGGTCCAAAGTGCTTTGTTTCCGCGTTGACTGCAGATACTGAACAGCACACACCATTGTCAGTCGTCAAAATGTTGATTGAAGAATCTTATAAGGATGTGGCCACCAAGCATGGCGGAAATATGCGTATGTAGAAACAAGGAAGTCAACCCCGAAATATTCTACGTGCTGATGGTTTCAAGGCGNTGTTTACCTGGCACCCAACGGTCCCCAACTATCCCAAGGCCAAATTCCCTGGTGTAGTTGTCTTCAGCGAGATCTACCAAGGTAAGCCGTCTGCCTCTCTACTCGTTATGACGAGAGGAACATCCTCTCTCACCCAGAGCTCGAGTTGACATGATCCCTTAGTGACTGGACCTGTTGCTCGATTCGCCAAGCAGATTGCTGGTCAGGGATATATCGTTGCTGCACCAAGTAGCTACCACGAGTTTACTGGACCCGAGCCTCTTGCCTACGATGGCCCCGGTACTGACAAGGGAAATGACTGGAAGGTTGCCAAAAAGCTCGCAGCTTACGATGAGGATGCTGAACTGAGTGTCTCGCTGCTCTTGTCCCTTGAGACCTGCAATGGCAGAATTGGTGCAACTGGAATGTGTCTCGGAGGTCACTTGGCTTACCGATGTGCTTTGGACAAGCGTGTCAGCGCTGCTGTCTGCTACTTTGCTACTGATATCCACTCTCAAACCCTTGGTGCTGGCAAGAATGACGACTCTCTGGCTAGAGCCAAGGATATCAAGGGTGAACTAGTTATGGTATACCTTCGACCTCGTCTCGATAGAATGTGTTCATATGCTGACATGCAATCAGNNATCTTCGGCAAGAAGGACAACCATGTACCTCCTGAGGGTCGTGATCTTATCCGCAAGACTTTGCACGAGGCCGGCATTTGCTTCAGCTTCTTCGAGGCCGCTTGGGCTCAGCGTAAGCACAATCGTCAATTACATACTGTTCTGTTGATTCTGACGACCATAGATGCTTTCATCCGTGATGAGATGAGCAAGGGACGCTACGACCCTGGACTTACCAAGATCTGCTTCGAGATGCTGCTAGAACTGTTCAACCGTACACTGAGATCTGATCTTGGTCCCAGAGTTGGAGGCGAGCAGGAGATTGAGGATGTCTGCTAGACCATTGAACGGTCTTGATCATACTGGTCGATAACACCATTCATGTAGATATCCAAACAAGTAATGTCCACATGCATATATAATCTTGAAGGAAAGACGAGAGGCTTCCATTGTTTAGATATTATAAGAGGCCTGATTGAGCATTGGGCAGACATCTCAAGGAGATTTTGGTGATAACACACCAAATTCGAAAAGTCAGTCGTGTCGTCTAAGTTTCGTACAAACGCGACTACAACAGAAGAAATTATCCGTCCGTTCTGTTTCAGAATATTTTATTTCTGAAGTGAATGTTGAGCGCGTCTGGACTGGAGCGTTGATGGGCTGGCTCGATCGAGTTAGCGGGAATATTGCCCCGGCTTGGCGCACAGTCCGACCACCGACCGATATTCAAGCTGCGTTTTCGCGCTCCTTCCTTCTTTTTCGAACTGCGAGCCCTTTCAACGTAAGCGCGACGACTGCCCACGTTCATTTTCAATCACTAACCAGTAGCAAAGCCGACCAACGTTAATTCAAAGTCGTCAACATGGCCAGAGGACCCGGGTAAGCATTCACCGTAACCGGACAGTGTCGAATTTTCGCATTGGACCNGCGACACACGACTTGCGCAAANNACTTCTTACACCTTCTGCAGAAAGCACCAGCACCGCCTGTCGGCACCTTCGCACTGGCTGCTCGACAAACTGTCGGGCGCCTACGCCCCCAAGGCCTCGCCCGGTCCCCACAAGCTCAGAGACTGCATGCCTCTGATCGTCTTCATCCGTAACCGCCTGAAGTACGCCCTCAACGGCCGCGAGACCAAGGCCATTGTTATGCAGCGCCTCATCAAGGTCGATGGCAAGGTCCGCACCGACGCCACCTACCCCGCCGGCTTCATGGACGTTATCTCGATCGAGAAGACTGGCGAGAACTTCCGCCTCGTCTACGACACCAAGGGCCGCTTCACCGTCCACCGCATTACCGCTGAGGAGGCTGAGTACAAGCTCGGCAAGGTCAAGCGCGTCCAGCTTGGCAAGGGCGGCATCCCATACTTGGTTACGCATGATGCACGCACGTAAGTCTGCATCTATCAGCCGTTGGATCAAGATTTGGCGATACGGAAAAAAAGTATACATGGACAAGAGCTGAATTTTGGTGATTAGTNNATCCGCTACCCCGACCCCGCCATCAAGGTCAACGACACCGTCAAGATCGACCTTACCACTGGCAAGATCTCCGACTTCATCCGCTTCGACACTGGTGTTATCGCCATGGCCACCGGTGGTCGTAACATGGGTCGTGTTGGTGTCATCACTCACCGTGAGCGCCACGACGGTGGTTTCAACATCGTCCACATCAAGGATGCCATTGACAACGAGTTCGCTACCCGTGAGAGCAACGTCTTCGTCATTGGCCGCGAGAAGCCTTGGATCTCGCTCCCCAAGGGCAAGGGTGTCAAGGTTCGTAGATGCAGACTCGGAAAGGCATATGAAACAAATACTGACTCTGACTGCAGCNTCTCCATTGCTGAGGAGCGTGACCGCCGCCGCGCCCACGCCATCGCCGGCAACTAAACTGGCTGACCAGCTTCTAGGTTCATGGGGTTCGTTGGTTGATGTTGAGGGTTTCATGCGTCAGGCAGCAAAAAAAAGGCGTCTGGGGAGCATGTTGTTCAGAAGATTTTACGCGATGTGCCATGCAGCACTTTCGTAGCTCTACGACAAAAGAAAGATATCCAAGCTCACAGCCTCGCGCCCAAAATGATTGATGACTTTTCTGCATTCAACTCTTGTGATTTGTGACTGTACCAAGCATCGTGTTGGAATGTGTCAGGCTTAATGTAGATGATCAGCCTCGTAAGCTGTGGTCCTTGCGACAGGTGGAGAGCCAGTAAAATGGCAATGTAGAAGTCGTAATTGTCTTGGGCTTCCAGGGAAAGGCAAAAGTTATGTGAGTGCCTGGCACGAATCTTGGGGCAGTCGCGTTCGGTGACGTTGCGCGGCGTTGGACGGGCGTTGTCCCGGCGGTGCTCGGCAACTTGGACGTCGATGTCTATACGGAAGCTCCAACTTCTGGATATTGCTGCTCTTTATTAACCACTCTCCTTGGTCCCCGCTTGATTTCCCCCTCATTTCCGCTCAAGCAGGGCGACCTCTTTCGTTCTGGTTCCCTACTTCCCAGTGAAGCCCAACACCACGCATCGAGCATACCGCGACATCCACAGCCATCATGTCGATGCACTCGACGCGCAATGTCGACATGGGCAAGTACGTGTTGACCTGTCGCAAACCCCGCGATACATACTGACCAAGTCTTAGGCAGGAGTCCGAGTTGGCCATCAACATCCGCAAGGCCACGAGTATCGGTACGATTCGAGCCCAATGCGTACTCATGACCCCATACTGACACTCTATACAGAGGAGACCGCTCCTAAGCGTACGCTATCCATGTACCCAACTGCTCGACCCGACTGAACACAACTCCAGGAAAACACGTTCGAGCATGCATTGTCTACACATACGACCACCGCAGTTCGCAATCCTTCTGGGCTGGCATGAAGGTGTAAGCAGCAACCACTGCCCGAAAATGTCACAACCATACTGAGCCATTGTTCCAGTCAACCCATCATGGCCGACGAAGTCCAGACCTTCAAGGCTCTCATCACCATCCACAAGGTCCTGCAAGAAGGCCACCCCATCGTTCTGAAAGAGGCTCAGGCACACGTTGGCTGGCTCGAGAGTTTGTCGCGTGGCATGTCAGGTGGTGATGGTATGAAGGGTATGTCTCGATTGGTCTGCGCATGCGGTAGACACGGCTGACAATGCTCAGGATACGGTTCTCTGATCTCCGAATACGTCTACTACCTGATCGCGAAGCTCAACTTCCACAGAAACCACCCTGAATTCAATGGTATGTACTCTACTAAGTAGCCCACGGATTGCGACTGACATGGCCACANNGGAACGTTCGAGTACGAGGAGTACATCAGTTTGAAGTCTATCAACGACCCAAATGAAGGGTGAGCAGTCTCCTGCGACAGATCAACGGACAGCAGCTAATGACTTGGCCCCAGATACGAGACCATCTCCGACCTCATGAACCTCCAGGATCAGATTGAGACATTCCAAAAGCTCGTTTTTGCTAACTTTAGAGGCGGGCTCAACAACGAGTGCAAGATCTCCTGTCTGGTGCCCTTGGTCCAGGAAAGCTACGGAATTTACAAGTTCATTACCAGCATGCTGCGCGCTATGCATACTGCTCTTGGAGACGACGAAGTCCTCGCTCCTCTTCGCGGACGTTACGATGCCCAACATTACCGCCTAGTCAAGTTCTACTACGAGTGCTCCAACTTGCGCTACTTGACCAGTTTGATTACTATCCCTAAGCTGCCTCAGGATCCACCAAGCCTCCTAGGCGACGATGAGGAGAGACCTTCTCTTCCCGCCAGACCGAAGAACGAACCCGTCACCAAACCCGCCGATACCCCTCCCCGCCAGCCTTCCGTGGATCCCGAACCGATCAACGAATTCTGGAAGAACGAGCAAGCACGTCAGCAAGAAGAGTATGAGGCGGAGCAAAGAAGATTGCAAGCACAATGGGATGAGGCGCAAAGGCAACAGCAACAGGCTTCTCTGCAGGCTCAGAGGGATTTCGAGGAACAACAGAGATTACAAGCCGAGCAGCAGAGACTGGCTCAGGAGCAGTTGATGCGTGATCAGTATTCACAACAGACTCAGGGCAGAATGGCCGAGCTGGAGCGCGAGAACCTTAATGCACGCGCGCAATATGAGCGCGACCAGCTTATGCTTGAACAGTACGACCGACGTATGAAGGCTCTTGAGGGAGAGTTGCAGCAGCTCCAAGTCAACTTCGGTCAACAGAACGCTTCCAAGGACGAACAGATTCGTGCTTTGCAGGAGCAAATCAACACCTGGAGAACCAAATATGAGGCTTTGGCTAAGCTATACTCTCAGCTGCGTCATGAGCATCTCGAACTCCTCCAAAAATTCAAGGGTGTTCAGCTCAAGGCAGCCTCGGCACAAGAAGCTATTGACAGAAGGGAAAAGTTGGAGAGAGAATTGAAGACCAAGAACTTGGAGCTTGCCGACATGATTCGCGAGAGAGATCGCGCTCTTCACGACAAGGACCGCTCGTCTGGCGGACACAAGGACGAGCTCGAAAAACTCAGGCGCGAGCTGCGCTTTGCTCTCGATAAGGCAGAAAATGCAGAGAGATCAAAGGGATCCGAACTTTCTTCCCTTCTTTCGAGGCACAACAGAGAGATTGCAGACCTCGAGGAGGCTCTGCGTAACAAGACGAGAGCTCTGGACGATGCTCAGAACAAGTACGGCGAACAAGATTCTGATCTTGAGAGACTTCTCCGTGAGAAGGAGGACGAGCTTGAAATCTTCAAGGCTGGCATGGACCAGACACTGCTGGAGTTGAACGAACTCCGCAACGGCCAGGGTGAGACGGATCAAGCTCTTGACGAGCAGATTGACACTCTTCTCCTCGACAGTGTTCGCAAGATCACCGACATCATCGACTCCGTGCTTCAAAGCGGTGTCCAGCGTGTAGATGACGCTCTCTATGAGTTGGACTCTACCATGCAAGCAGGAAACCAAAGTGCTTCGGGTGCCTATGTTTTGTCGACTATTGAGAAGGCTGCCTCGAGCGCAATGGAGTTCTCGACGGCCTTCAACAACTTCATCGCTGATGGCCCCAACAGCACTCACGCTGAAGTCATTCGCACTGTTCACACTTTCTCCAACTCTGTTGCAGATGTCCTTTCCAACACCAAGGGTTTGACTAGATTCGCTTCTGACGAGAAGAAGTCTGACCAGCTGATGAACGCTGCACGCCAATCTGCCATCAGCACTGTCAGCTTCTTCCGCTCCATCCAGAGCTACCGTCTCGATGGTCTGGATGACCTGCAGAAGACCGATGTTGTCATCAACAAGAACAATGAGGTTCAGATTAACCTCAACAGCTTGTCCAAGATTGCTGATGCATTCGCTCCTAAGCACAAGATTACCTCGGCTTCTGGAGATCTAGGTGATCTTGTTGACCGCGAGATGGCCAATGCCGCCAAGGCAATTGAAGCAGCTACTGACCGTCTTACTGCGCTCATGAACAAGTCCAGAGATGGTTACTCAACCTATGAGCTCAAGATCCACGACGCTATTCTCGGCGCTGCTATTGCTGTCACCAACGCTATTGCAAACTTGATTAAGGCAGCCACTGCATCGCAACAGGAAATTGTCAAGGAAGGTCGTGGCTCGTCCTTGTCGAGATCGGTACGTATAACATACATTAGAGCTCAACAGCCACCAGACGGTGTCTCGGCCTACGCTGAACATCGGATCATACCTATCGCATTGCAGAATATTGTCCAGCAAAGTGATATTTCTATCGAGGGCCTGTTTCTCACGAGAGCGAACGGATTCTCGATGGGTATATCATCAGCTCTGGGTGGCACTCTGTAATGCGACAAGGGTAGATCTTGGTGTCTGTTGCGATCTTACGATCGTCTTGCTATTTTTACTCAAAAGAAACATGCTAATTGTCTGTGACTTCTTTAGGCCTTCTATAAGAAGAACAATAGATGGACTGAAGGTCTCATCTCCGCTGCAAAGGCTGTGGCCAACAGCACGAATCTGCTCATCGAAACTGCAGATGGTGTTATTGGAGGTCGCAACTCGCCCGAGCAGCTGATTGTGGCATCCAACGATGTAGCTGCTTCTACCGCTCAGCTGGTCGCTGCCAGCAGAGTCAAGGCCAGCTTCATGAGCAAGACTCAGGAGAGGCTGGAAGACGCCAGCAAGGCTGTCACTGGTGCATGCCGCAGTCTTGTCAAGCAAGTCCAGGCCATCATTGACGCTCGTGCCAACGGCGAAGAAGTCGTTGACTACTCCAAGCTATCAAAGCACGAGTTCAACAGATCGTACGTATCTCTGATTTCCTCTCATACTAAACACATGCTAACATTCTATCAACAGANNCACATGGAGAAGCAAGTCGAGATTCTTCAGCTCGAGAACGCACTTGGCAGAGCACGAAAAGATTTGGGCGAGATGCGCAAACTCGCTTACCAGGAAGATGAGGAATGAGCGGTTTTCATACAGACCTCTCTTCTTGTTGTCTTGTTTGTGATACCAAATTGCGTTGTCTGTTGTATTGTAATTAAATTTATCTTTCTTGTCTCCAACGTTCTCAACGTTGTTTCACATACGTGATGATGGTTATGTTGTGAATGGCGGTAGCACCCGTCGTTCTCTTAGAGGTTGATAGTGCAAGAAACCCGTCTCCCGGATGCTGGTGACTATCACATTCACTTGCGAAAATACACGATACTTTTGCGGATCAGGGAGTGATCCAGAGAGACAGGCTGATTCACACTCTCTCGGTGAAAATTGAACGGAATGTGAAGACAATTGTTCATTTCCATAGCCGCGCCGCGTAAACTTCTTCAACTCAAGAGAGAAGGAAAGGGCGGGTATGTATACACACCGATCATGAATCGCATCTCCAGAGGCACTCCAAGACTTATACAGACCTATCGAAATCCAGA